GACTATGGACAAAATAAGTAGCTTGTTAGACCACAAAATACAAACTTCTGTCTCCAGAATGCTTGATGAAAAGCTACAAAGTTCGTTGGACACCTTTATGGCGAGCTTTCGTTCAGCCTTACAGGATGATATAAAAAAAATGGTTCACTCGGAGGTCAAGTCTGCGGTCCAGGACCTAGAAAACAACTTCACAACTTCTATCGACTTCGTTTGCGCAGAACAAGCCACGTTGAAATCTCAAATTTCTGACAAAAACAATACTATAAAAAAGCTTGAATCTGATAACTATAAACTCCAGTCTGATATAAACACATTAAACAATAGGCTACTGAACATCGAAACAATGTCACGTAGCTTCAACATCGAGTTGCAAGCCATCCCTGAAAGTCGATCGGAGAACGTTCTAGCCTTATTCAAGAGACTATGCGAGACAATTGGAATGTCCATAGAAGATAATCAAATATCAGCTTGCCGGAGGGTTGCCAAAATGGATCCTAAATCAGACAGACCCAGAAATATACTAGTTACTCTATCTTCTCCACGTCTACGAGATTCTATATTGTCTCTGTCCCGAAGATTTAATAAATCTAAGAAACCCAATGAAATGCTGAACAGTTCCCATCTGGGCATCACTGAAAAAATAACCAGGATCTACGTAACGGAGCATATCTCACCTCAATGCAAGTTTCTCTACGCTGAAACAAGAAAAGTTGCTAAAGAAAAAAAATATTTATTTGTTTGGGTAAAATTTGGTCGTATATTTGTACGTAAAAATGAGGACTCTAGTTCTATACTTATTAAAAACTTAGAATGTTTAAAAAAACTGTAATATTATATTATCTATCTTTTTTTTTATTTTTTTTATTTCTCATACTGTAACCTCATAAATATTATTTTTTTTTTCCTTAAATAATGAATAGTAAAATAATAATTTATTATCAAAACGTTAATCGTATTAGGAGTAAACTAAAAGATGTTTATCTAAATATTCTCAACTGCAACTATGATATTATTTGTCTCACAGAGACTAATTTTAATTCAAGTGTTTTTAATGCAGAAATTTTGGACTCAAGATACTTAATATTTCGAAGGGACCGTTGTAGCACTAGTATTCACAAAACAGAGGGGGGTGGAGTAGCCGTAGCAATCAAAAAAATATTTCCTATTGAAAGATTATATGAGTGGGAGTGTGAAGTTGAGGATATTTGGTTGCGAATTAATTTTCCATCTAACAAACACTTAATACTTTGTTTATGTTATTTGCCACCAGACTTATGCCTATCTAAATTAACTACTTTTTACACTAATTTCCAAAGAAGACTGCTTCAACTTAAAGATAACTCTAGTTTCTTGTGTTTTGGAGATTTTAATGCATGTAACATTCAGTGGCTTAAGTCTTCAGATTCCATCGACATGATTCCCACCCCCACACCTGATGCAAAATCTCAACTTTTTTTGGAATCTTATTCACTGTGTAATCTGAGACAGTTCAACAGTATACCTAACAAGAACAATCGAATTCTTGATCTCGTTCTAAGCACTGAGAGTTCACTCTCTGTATATGGCGCTGATGCACTTAGTCGAATGGATAGCCATCACCCACCACTCTTAATAGACTTTTCTACTTCAGAGTTACCACCGAAGGTTATTTCTGGTACGCATCGAAAAAGACCTAACTTCTATAAGTGTAACCTTAATGGTATTCGGGGTGATCTAAGCTCAATCGATTGGGATGACTGTCTGGCGGGTGATGATATTGATGTAACTGTGAATACATTTTATGAAAAACTAAACCAAATTATTCATAAACATACACCTCTAACAAACAAAAAAATCCATCAGTTTCCCTGCTGGTTTAGTCCGGCTCTAATACGCTGCATGAAAGAAAAAAACAAATACCATAAAAAATACAGGAAATACGGTAACCCACTGGACTATGATACTTTCTGCCTTCTTCGCACTCGCTGTAAGTCATTACGACCATATTGTCTCCAAATGTACTCAACTCCTTGGCTTTGTCACACGTTCTACAAGGGACTTCAAGAACCAATCTACCCTTATATGCCTATACTACTCACTGATCAGAANTTCTTCAATGCCCCTGACAATGAAGTATGGTAACACCATTTCCTCAAATGTTGAAGAAATATGTGACATGTTCTCCAGTTACTTTGGGTCGGTATTTGAAAGTAAACAGAGCCATGACACCTTGTACGCGACCGAGTCTCATCATCACTTCTCATTATCAACTGCTGAAATCGACTTAAAATGTATAAAAGCTAAGATCAAGAGTCTTGACGGCAGTAAGGGTGCGGGACCTGATGGAATACCTCCACATTTTGTAAAGAGTTGTTGCGATGAGCTATGTGCACCACTTTACATAATTTTTAATAACTCGCTTAGGACAGGAAAATTTCCCACTTATTGGAAAATAGCTCATGTAATTCCAATCCATAAATCAGAAGCAAAAGACCAATGTACAAACTACCGGCCAATCAGCATTTTATCGTGCTTCGCCAAGTTATTCGAATCTGTGACTTATGGCATTCTCTATTCTTTCTTCAAGCAACATCTGTCCCCTCGCCAGCATGGGTTCATCGAGAAAAGATCGACAGTGAGTAATCTTTTAGAATACAAGAACTATCTCTGCTCGGCCTTTGCTCGGGGACGCCAGGTGGACTCCATTTACACGGACTTCTCGAAGGCATTTGACAAGGTAAATCACTTCATACTTTGTCGGAAGCTCAAGGGTTATGGTGTCCACGGCAGTCTACTGCGCTGGCTAGAATCGTATCTGGATAATAGGAGTCAAATAGTAAGCGTACATGGGCATCTTTCATCGCCGACAGCGATCACCTCCGGTGTTCCGCAAGGCTCGCATCTGGGACCGTTGCTATTCTCGATTTTCATCAATGACCTGGCTGAACAACTAACGGTTCCCTGCTTGCTCTACGCTGATGATCTCAAAATTTTCTTAGAAATTAATGATCTTGGAAACTGTTCTGAACTGCAGAGGAACTTGTCATTGGTGGCCAAGTGGTGTTCTGATAACCATATGTTCTTAAATACCAACAAATGCCTTGTTATATCTTTTGGTACTTCTAAAAATAAAACATATTATGATTATTCTCTACACGGATTTGTATTAAGACGCGAATCCGTTGTCAGAGACCTGGGGGTGTACTTTGACGAGGGTCTTTCATTTCGTTGTCATTACGACCATATTGTCTCCAAATGTACTCAACTCCTTGGCTTTGTCACACGTTCTACAAGGGACTTCAAGAACCAATCTACCCTTATATGCCTATACTACTCACTGATCAGAAGCATCTTGGAGTATGGTTGTGTAATCTGGTCGCCATTCTATAATGTTCACTCGGACCGAATTGAGGGTGTCCAAAGAAAGTTTCTGAATATTCTTTGCTTCAGATTGGGTTTGGGTCGCGAATATAGGTCATACAGGGCAAGGCTACAGCGCTTCAAAATGACGTCTCTGGCCTCCAGACGTGAATGTCTTGAACTGGTCTGTCTGCACAAGATTTTGCACTCTGAACTTGATTCACCAAATCTTCTTTCCCTTCTTAATTTTAACATTCATTACAAATCCCGAAACCCTATCAAAAAATTATTTTCGCTCCAAGTCTACAAAAACAATACCTCTTTTTACAACCCTATAACCAGAATGTGCAGACTTTATAATGACACTGTCACTGAACACTCTTCTTTGGACATATTCTGTTCTAAGCTATCCAAATTCAGGAGAGATATCCTGAATATAAAGTCAAGTTGTCCTTTGTAAACTTTAATAACACTTATTAACATTAAATACTAAGCATAAAATAAGTTAAACTAACACTACTTACCCTCTTTATTTCATTATTTTCAATTCATTCTGTGCACACATGTTTAGAGTTGCGGTTTAGATTAATCTATGGAATATTATCTATGCCTGAATATGACTGTAACTTGTTTTGTGAGCCTTAAATAAATAAATAAATAAATAAATAAGAGTAAAAAGTAAGAAACATCCTCCAGCGCGACTTAAAAAGTAAGAAACACACTGCAGCAAACACGACTAAAAATTGAGATATACCCTCCATTGCGACTGAAAAGTAAGTAACACCCTGTAGCACGAATAAAAAGTGAAAAACGCCCTCTAAAGCCCGGTCCGTGAGCACGTAGAATTTTGTCCAAAGACCCCAAGCTACCCATCCTTATCGCTCGCGCGTTATTATATTGCTGTCGCGACTGTGCGACGGGCGCCCGCAGTGAGTGTGCGAGCGCGATAGCAACATAATTACGCGCGAGCGATAAAGTAGCTTGGGGTCATTGGACCAAATTCTACGTGCTCACGGACCAGGCTTTACCAAAACTGTGTGACATAATGTGCTGTGTTGCAAAACAATCAAAATCACAATGCGGTGCTTGCTTTAAACCGCTCATACATCACTGCCAAGGTAACAGATAGTACATAAAAGAAATCAGCAGAGCACCCTAGCGGCTTCCTGACCCTCGGCTCGCACGTCACTGCCAATGTAACATCATCCACCAAAAACAGTTAAAGCACAATGAACTGTGTCGCTAAAGAATCAAAGTCTACAATGCATTACGCCGCACGCCCCACCTACTCGCGCTCACTCTTCAAACTTACTGACGTCGTGTTCGCTTCGTAACTCTAGTATTATACCATTTCCAGGGGTGCATCTGACCTGTTTTGGTTTCTCCCACCCCTAGGTACGTCTATCTTATAAACCAGTGTACAAGGTGTGTGTCGACACGTTGTAGCCCTAAATATTTTACATTCTTTCAATTTGTACTCAAAATACTAAACTGCGACATAAATGCGGTCTATGGTGAAATCGCCTGATCATCATACAATTTTCGACACTGTTGCAAGTTGTATTTGATGGCAGATGAGGTAGCATATTAGGCGCTCCCACTTTCTAGCTTGATTGGATACCTTTAAAGAACATAACTACATATTATATTTCTGCCACCAGACCAAAGATGGCAGCACGGTCCACGGCATGGGCATGACGTTCCAGCGTGTGCACCTCGACACGTGCTACGGGAACAAGCAGATATACAAGTCCTATCCTGTGGGAGACGGCCAGGTGAGTGCCAGGATGTTACTTCATAATCCTCCTATGTTCTTCTGATTAATTTCGTTGCGGGTCCAATGACAGTTAACTTTCCCCCGGGACAAACTTGACCTTCACTGGTTGGGTTTTTATTGGCGGTCAAGCTGTNGAAGCTGTAGATCCTGAACACAGGAGTTGCATGGGAACGAAAGATGGGAATAGTCCCGTTCAAATTCTTCAGACCCTGTGAGGAACTTTTTCATGCACCACGCCATTTGTAGAATAATTTAGTGTTTGTCAATTTTATTTTATCTTAAATTTTTCTTGGTGTATAGAAATTATGAGCTTAACCAGTAAAGGTAGCATACCGTAGACATTATTTTTTGGGCGCGATATTAATTCTATCCACTCGTTACTAAGTGTCATAAAGGATGATAAAAAACATTTTAACGTTTACGTACTTACGTTTTAAAATCCCTTTAAATACTCTAACAGATCCAGCTGTCAGACCTGGTGGAAGTGCGTCCATCGCAGGTGTTCGACGCCTCGCTGACTTTCGTCCGCGTGCGCGGCCCGATGGGCGGAGCGCTATCTCTTTGCCCCATGGAGGTGCGATCCGTATTCCTCAACCAAACGCTCCAGCACTGAGCAACCAAGAAACACCATAGAAAACCTGAAAGCATTGAAAATACATGGTTTGTGGACCGTAAGACATGGTGATATTATATTTCAAATGTGAGCAATACTGCGTGTAATTTAACTAACGTAAAAAAAGAAATTAATTAAAATTTAATTGAATCTAATACATTTTTGTCGCAGCGGTTGTAATGGGCGCTTGCGTCTACTATGTATAAAAAATATTTTATTATTTATAAATAATAATCTATCTTCTATCTATCTATATAAATAAAAATGAATTGCTGTTCTTTAGTCTGATTAAAACTCGAGAACGGCTGGACCGATTGAGCTGATTTTGGTTTTAAAATGTTTGTCGTAGTCCAGGGTAGGTCTAAACGGTGAGCAAATAAGGAAACATTGCGATGGCTTATTTATTGCCTTTAAGGTGGAACAGAGTTCGCCGGGTCAGCTAGTTTCTAATAAAAATATTGAACTTGCGTTATTTCAATTACACGTTGTATAATACCACTGCCTTATAAAAGGTTAAAATGTTTACCTTGCGGTGCCTAGTTGATAAGTCCGAGTCCACCTTTACGATGAGTGTGTGAGGTCAAGCAATTAACATCTGAATGCCATGGGCATAAGGTGCATATTCANCAAGCTGTAGATCCTGAACACAGGATTTGCAGCGGTGGTAATGAAAGATGGGAATAGTCCCTTTCAAATTCTTCAGACCCTTTGAGGAACTTTTTCACGCACCACGCCATTTGTAGAATAATTTTGTGTTTCCAGCATTGTCAATTTTATTTTATCATACGTTTTTCTTGGTGTATTGAAATTATGAGTGTTGCTGGCAGTTTGGCCAGCAATCCTCTTTTGATAATTGTTTATGGTTTTTTACTTTTTTTTAATATTGTTTTAGATTTTGAAGTTGCTTTTACTGGCTCTCGTGTTCTAGTGTTAATGTCTTGAGCAATATACCTTTTTGGCCCTATTTTGGAGTGTTTCCTTGCTTCTAGCATAATATCACCACCGGCAGGCCTATCTCTACATACAGTCCACTCCATCGTTTTTAACAATGAGCTTAATGAGTAATGGTAAGAGTATAAGCATACCGTAGACATTATTGTTATGGGCGCGATATTAATTCTATCCACTCATTACTAAGTATCATAAAGGATGATAAAAAACATTTTAACGTTTACGTACTTACGTTTCTAAAATCCCTTTAAATACTCTAACAGATCCAGCTGTCAGACCTGGTGGAAGTGCGTCCATCGCAGGTGTTCGACGCCTCGCTGACTTTCGTGCGGGTACGCGGCGCGATGGGCGGAGCGCTATCTCTTTGCCCCATGGAGGTGCGATCCGTATTCCTCAACCAAACGCTCCAGCACTGAGCAGCCAAGAAACACCATAGAAAACCTGAAAGCATTGAAAATACATGGTTTGTGGACCGTAAGATAGTGTGTGATAATAAGTTTCAAATGTGAAGAGAGCAATACCAGGCCTGTTCATCTCCGCGAGTTTACATCGAAAACAAAACACGCACGATGGCCCACCTACAGGATACTATTCGACAAGGCCTCACATACGAGCGAACATTAACTCACGCACGCGTATTCTTGCGTATGATGGAAGAAAATAAAGAAAATGGTGTACTAAATACTGTGCAGTATTTAACTGCCTAAATAATAATAAAAACACAGAATGTACTTTTTTAAGTTGCCTCAAGACACTGAGAGGTAAATAAGTAGTTAATATTATTCATGATAATTCATGCTAAATCATGTAGTTTCTCCGCCATTTTCCGCAGTTTGGCACCTCACGTCACATCATTTTACCGAAGTCAGCCCTATAGTTTCGGCGCAGTGCCGATCACTGACGTTTGTCAACAAAATGGTGCTTGACTCTTGAGACAGGCTAAATTACACCATATTGTTAATGACATTGAGCATACATTTTTTAAATACCTTCGCGAAGTAAAACTTCTGTACGTAGTACTTATTATTATTCTGTGGCAATACTACGTGTAATTGGAGTAAGGCAAAATAATTAAAATTTGATTAAATCTAAGGCTGAGTCCGCACTACGGTTTTTTCCCGCAAGAGGTAAACCGCCAAGCCGCGAGACCACCCGAAATATATACGATACGCAGGAAAGTGGTGCGGACTCGGCCTAATACATTTTTGTCGTTGCTATAGTAATGGGCGCTTACGACTGTTATAAAAAAAAATTAATTACAAATAATAATAATATTGAACTCTTGCGTTATTTCAATTACACGTTGTATAATACCACTGCCTTAAAAAAAAGGTTAAAAATTTTACCTTGCGGTGCCTAGTTGATAAGTCCATCTTTACGATGAGTGTGTGAGGTCAAGCAATTGACATCTGAATGCCATGGGCATAAGGTGCATATTCAAGCCGAGGTAGCGGTTCCACCACTAAAATTAACTGGTTAGTCTGCTAGCCACCCAATGGTGTGGCGCACAGGATCTTACTTGCGCGAGTTATCACAAATTCGACATTACCAATTAATATTTATGACATTTTGGAAATTATAATTCGAAATAGTCGAAAATGAAGTTGCAGGCAGCCTTATATTATTATAATAACAATGATTATAAGCGTATACAGTGTGTCCGGGCATGTAGTGATCAAACTTTAAAGGCGTAATCTATGAACAATTTTATTGATGAAAATACTTCAAATTTGGGGCTTGACCCATTTCTCGAAAAGTTACATCGATTTAAGTTTTTAATTTTTAGTTTACACCTCTTCTTTAAAAAACAAGTGAAAGCGTGGGTAGCTTAACGTTATTAGACAAATATTTTATATCATGCGATAGCCAATAAAATTATCTATTAGTCGAAGAAGAAAAGAGACACAAATTTCATACATTTTATGGGAGTAAGAATGGATTGAATTAGAAAAATACATTACTTTTTTCACTTCTTTTTCAGTTATTTTCCAACACAAGAAAAACCGGGTCGTTAAGGTATGTTTTATTTGCATTGTATTATTAGTATTTGAGCTATTCTACAAAACGAATGTAAATTTATTAGTCTACGTCTATTAGTTTCGACGTAATTGTTGAACAAAGATACCCCTTCCCAGCGGTTTCCATAGCGCACGCGACATGCGAAAATGCACTGCCTGAAAGAATCACACAACCTATTCCGATTACTATGGAAACCGCTGGGAAGGGGTATCTTTGTTCAACAATTACGTCGAAACTAATAGACGTAGACTAATAAATTTACATTCGTTTTGTAGAATAGCTCAAATACTAATAATACAATGCAAATAAAACATACCTTAACGACCTGGTTTTTCTTGTGTTGGAAAATAACTGAAAAAGAAGTGAAAAAAGTAATGTATTTTTCTAATTAAATCCATTCTTACTCCCATAAAATGTATGAAACTTGTGTCTGCTTTCTTCTTCAACTAATCGATAATTTTATTGGCTATCGCAAGATATAAAATATTTGCCTATTAATGTTAAGCTACCCACGCTTTCACTTGTTTTTAAAGAAGAGGTGTAAACTAAAAATTAAAAACTTAAATCGATGTAATTTTTCGAGAAATGGGTCAGGCCCCAAATTTGAAGTATTTTTATCGATAAAATTGTCCCTAGATTTTGCCCTTAAAGTTTGATCACTACAAGCCCGGACACACTGTATACCTTAAACCATAGAACTATTCAAATATTGCAACGTAACTAATACTTTTTTCGGCTCAAAATTTGTTGTACAATCAGTTTCAAATATTTCGTGACATCCAGAGGACAAAAAGTTATACAGGGTGGAAACGATAAGTGATCTCACTCGTTTATTTCTAAACTATACAAGATATCAATAAACTAGTTACTGATCCTGAAAGTGCTTCATGAGCTCTATCAAACGATATTAATAATAGGTTACAGAATAAACTAGATCTATCCGAAAATTCAATGTTTCCAGCTTCCATACATTTGGTAAAGTCACATTATTTTAAAAACTACACATGATATCGTAAAACTGATTACTGATTCTAAAAGTGCTTCACAAGCTCCATCCAATGGTATCAATAATAGGTTACAGAATAAACTGGATCTATCCAAAAATTAAATGTTTCCTTCTTCCATACATTTAGTACTACCACAGTGATGACACCCATCTCTTGACAATATTATAGCAAGTAAAGCCTAAAACCAATGTTTTCCATGAATAATTTTAAATAAGAATACAATTTACGGGTTTATTTTAAGAGTTTATTATTAAAATAAAATAAAAATACACTTCTAATATTGTGTGTCTGGCATACATTTAGTATGGAAGCTGGAAACATTGAATTTTCAGATAGATCCAGTTTATTCTGTAACCTATTATTGATACCGTTTGAAAGAGCTTATGAAGCACTTTCAGGATCAGTAACCAGTTTTTGAATATCTTGTATAGTTTAGAAATAATCGAGTGAGATCACTTAACGTTTCCACCCTGTATATGTATAATACAACCTTATACACGCTATTTGGGTGCCACGAACTATTTGAGGCTGATTGTAATAAAAAACTTGTGTGATATTTTTTCCAATCGATGATGCTATTAGAAATGCACAATATTAATTTTAGGTATTAATTTATTATTAAAATGTTGACATCGCTGTAATGTGATGTTAAATGCTCAGTTGAGTAGTATTTGTCGATAGTTCCTTTTTATGTACCACATTTAGGAACCTAAAACTTTTGCAGTCGCCTTTTAGAGAAAATATGATAATCACTCCTTATTGCATTATTAAAATATGTAAGGGGTAGATTGACAAAAACTTGTAATAAGTAACTGCTATGATTTCAAGTTGAAAATCACTGGGTTATTTTTGTCAGATAAATTATCGACATTTTCCTTTATTTTTAAAACTTCGTCATTTTTGTTGTATTGAATAGAAATTCCGTAAAGGGAACAGGCCTCTGATTATGTTTTGTAAACTACCCCTTACAATATAAACTACTTCCCCTTTCGGAGTATGCTGCGAATGCGCTTCTGAAGTGTAAATGTTTCTCTTAATATGTATAAAATGTAAATAGGGTTTATGTACATAAGTATTAATCTATGCATTTTCGAATTCTAGCGCGAAATTGTTTTGTATAATCAAAAGACAACATGTATAACAAAATTTCTAGTTTTTTTAAATACCCGTAAAGATGTCTACGTAGACTTAAAATAACTTTTGCTGACGTCCGACATAAAATTTTAATGAATATTATTATGTAAGATATTTTTATTTATGTGTTATTTTGTTATCACAGCTTTTGTTTTTCTTCTTTTGTTTTCTAAACACCTGCACCGTAGAACTGTAATGTTAGGTCCGACGATGTGACGAAAACAAAGTTGTAAATATAGAAAGTTTATCTATAACGACACTGTTTTATTTTTATTAAACCCATTAATTTCATTCTGTAAATAAGATGAGGAGAGATACAGGCCAAGAGGATTCTCGTTGTGGATAAAAAATAATAAAACTACATCTTCATGTAAAAGCTTTTAATTAACAAATAACTGGTAATTATTACATTGCAATGAGATGAATTAAAACAAATCAACACAATAATAATCGAGTTCCATTATATACACATAAATTACTATACATAGTATGGACGTAACACATAATTACAAAATAAATAATACTAAAATAATAACTAATAACACCACCAATCAAAATTATCACAATGAACTAGTTAAAATGGCCGTCAATTCACATCGAACTAGATTGGATGGTACGAATCAATCGCTAGATATAAATATTCGAATTGTTTCAAACACTTGGAAAGATTCCAGACTCTCTTGATAAGTTACAATAAGGAACTTGTATTTAAAATAATTTATCTAATACCAAAGTTAGTATTAGTATGTTGATTAGATAGGTTAATGTGTATTATTCCAAGACGGCGATCTAACTTAATATTNTTTATAATATTTATCTAAATCAATACTTTCACATAAAGTTTATATCAGGTAATTTTCTAATTATTATTAACTAAAAATAATTATTTTTTTAGCTCCAGATACTTTTATACTGTAAAAATTTCGTTATTCACAAGTGACAATCATACCTATCACAACTATTCACTTGACTCAATTGGAAACCCCTAATATTTTAATATTATCAGCTAATTCTAACAACGAATTTATTTATCAACATCACGCTATTAGTTGTTAGGCAGGAAGTTTATCAGTTTACTGACTTGGCACAATAAACATGGCAAAAAACGTGTACATATTTAAGCACTACACCTTTATAGATAAGGATAGAAAGAAAATACTTCGAAGTTAGGCTAACATTAAAAAAATAAGAAGAGGGAATAAAGCGACTAGATTACCACAAATAAAATGGGGATGGGCCAGGCAAAGAAGATTAAAGACTAGATTATGATACACCTAATAATACAAATTGATGTGAATACTTTATTATGACAGGTAGACATTCTATGATAACAAAAAATCTAGTTTGTTTTTAAATAGGTATATGCTTTCACTTATTCACTCATGAAGGTCGGGCTCAATTTGTCTGACCTTTACTGATTGCATATTTGTGACATCGAAAACATTCGAATTTGTATAATACGTTAACATTAATTGTATATTAAATCAATTTTCAGAATTCATTAATCATATTGCAACAACAAGTCGACTTACATCAGTTAAAAGTATTACAATTACCATTCAAACGAGGATAGATATAGATAGTTTCATCCACAAAGACGCGCCCCACCATTCTTCCGCTAATGTTTGAGTGTTATCGGTACACGCCAAATCATCCATGAGTGCACACGCACACTACAATAATGACGCTCGGATTGCTCGGATCAAACTCCCCGCACCCCGCGCTTCCCTCGACCAAAAATTGGTGGGGCGCGTCTTCGTTTCATCTATAGGTACCGAAATTCGCACTACTTTATAGGTAGCCACGTCACATATCGTTGGGAGACTAATGTTTTATATTCCCTAAAGTAATAGTGAGATTGATAAACTTAGTACTAATTGATCGTATCATTAACCATGAACTAATAAAGCTATATTGACTTCGATGTATTGACAGTGCCGAAAAGCAAATACTAAGCCCTGACAAATGGACTAGTTCAATACTCACAGCATATAAAATAAATACAGAACAATTACCGCAGGTAAAACAAACAGTATAGTATATTCCCATTATCTACGACGCAACCGGAGATAAAAACTATATTCGATATCAAGCAACTTGAGATAAATGTAAATGGGGTTGGAATGGGTATCTATTTCGATAATACATTTTAGATTTGTATATTTTCTAATCGCTTGAATGGAGTATTGCAAAAATTGCGTTTAATATAGATAGATATATTTAACGCTTACGCTTATTACAATATAATATACTATGGCAGACAAGAGAATGTCTAATTGAACTATAATAATTTATTATAACAGACGACAGCACATCAACCTACGCTTAGGCGAAGACCACCGATTTTTATTTGGATGATAGTTGGGTCGGGCTGTTGATCAGTATGGAGATGTATCAAAGTGCGCGCATTACGCCGACTTGGTATCGGCCGATTCTTCATACAAATTAGAATCGGGCCCAACTATCCGCCAACTAAAAGTCGGCGATCTGCGCCTAGGCTAAACACTCAACCTTCTTATGTTCCAATAGGTGCTATTTTTGCAACAGCAATGTACTGAATAAATATTTTTGATTTTGATTTTTGATTTTGCTAGTATAGGCTGAGGAGCTGTCGAGTGTACAATTATGAGCTGTTGCGTTACAAGTGAGACTTGGTCCTATAGTCGAGCATGACCGCGTTCCTTGAGCTGAAGTCGACGGTAAAGGATGGCAGTACTGAGCGAACTAAGCTGCGGCACTCCGCCATAACCGCTGGCACCAGGTTGTAGTTTGTGCTTTTAGCTCTGTAAAAAAAATCAAGCTTTATTGGGTTTCGAAATTGAGAATTAGAACATGAGTTAGCTCATACTTGATCAAGCCAAAAATCTCAATTCAGAATCCGGGCGTATGTCTATTTCTATGTAGAACCTGGATACACAGGAGTTATAGCAGTGGAAAGAGAAGGAGATAACAGTTCCGCCTTCTTCTATCGTGTGGATTGTTACAATTAAGATTACAACCATCTGAAATTAATAGATTAGACCGAGGGCTTACATGTTTAAATTTTTAAAGCAAAATTCTATTAAAATTATTGTAAACACATAATATTCAATAAAAAATTGAATTTGAATTATAAACAATTTTCTGGGGTCTTGATGTCTTGACAGACTAATAACGGGACTATTCCCACCTCTCGTTCCCACCACTGCAACTACTGCGTAGCCAAGATCTACAGCTTGACCGCCATAAAAACCCAAGCAATGAAGGTCAACTTTGTCCCGGGGGAAAGTTAAACTATCATTGGACCCGCAACGAAATTAATCAGAAGAACATAGGAGGAGTTTGAAATTAAGGTTCGACTTCCCTCCATTGCAAAGCGGACAGGTGACAAATAAAGGTTTAAAACATGACAGACTAATAGACGACAAAGTCAATAAGGGTCTCATTGACTTTTATATGGCATTGAAAGGCATAAAAATATCGCCAGACGGACTGAGAAAATATTATCTTACGATATGAAAACAGGTGTCATTTTGAAAACATCAAATACTAAAACAAGGTCAGGGCGACAATGTAGGTTAATGTCCTGTTGTGTTTATCTTGAAGATTAGTCAAAGGACGAATTTAATCACGCTATCAAAATTCACGTGTATATTGTACTAGATCGCATCAAGTAGATAAGTAATAGTGTTTTTACAAGAAGCATAGAAGCACATCTTTATGTAAGGACTTGCTACCNTTGTATTATGGCTACCTACTATAGTATTATTAGTTTTTTTCAACCGACTTCTTCTCCATTTGATGAACTCAACGACACGATAAAACACGACGTTGATGACGACATGATGTCGTGCCTGCGTGCCCAAATAACTGCACGCAGGAAGATTTAATGAAGGCTAATGACAACGCCACTCTTGTGGCGGAGTTTTGGGCTGACGCTGTGTAGGTTTGTTGACGACAAGACAAGAAGAAGAAGATAGTATTATTCAGAGATTGGTTATAATAATAACAAGTACATAATAGGTAATCACACCAATATGTATTATCATGAGTAGCAATGCGAACAGCTGGACTGGAATTAGCTTGTTGCTGTCTTTCCCAAACTCTATAAACCGGGTCTTTTTAAGGCGAGAGTGAAAAAGTACTTACAGGGCAGATCCTAGACTGCATCTCACTTAACACCAGGTGCGATTGCGGTCAAATACCTGCCTTGTTTTGTAAAAAAAAGTATATTTTATACTTACTGCTTATCCCTGGTCAGAGCGCCAGTCAACACGAACCCTTGCAGACAATGTGTGGCGGAGTCCAGGCTGAGACAGTATGGGTGGTAGGGGCCGCTTTCTGCACGCTCCTGCACTAGCTTCAACGCCCGGTTGTGCTCGCATGTCTTTAGCTGCGAAGATAGTCAATTATAATTACAGTTAGTAGCTATGGATATCGGAATGTCCTTGCTATTGATATCACTCGAAAATTCAACATTAACAATAAGTACCACAAGTAAACCAGTCATATCATTAGCCTTTCTTTCAATGTTTTACTATACATAAATTTTACGAAACAACACTTTTTAACATGCATAAAGAACCTTGACAAATGTTGAGTTCAGTTCAGTATTTTAAGTATTTATTGACGTTCATACACATACATATTTATATTACAGTAGATTTTTCCCGCGCACTGAGTTAATCGCCCGTACGTTTCTATCTTTTTATTACAAAAAATAATCATGAGTTTTCATATCGCCAACATTCGAAATACATAAATTTTACATACAATCATTCATGCCTTATTTCACCCCGTTAAAGTTTTCGTTCGTTCGTTTCAGCCAAATGACGTCCATTCCTTCCGATCCTTGTGGGACAAAGGCCTTCCCCAAGGATTTCTATGACGACCGGTCCTGCCTTAAAGTTTTATTTTCGCAAAAAACATAGACTTCGTCCTTCTCTAAACTACAATCTATTTAAAAAAATCTGTCATCAATGGTTATGGATATAGACGCAAAATGTAAGTCAACAAATATACCGACAGTGTTACTTGCGCTTTCATAATATTTGTATGGATTTTCAATTAGCATAACAAAGTAGTAATGTATATTCCGTACATTTTTGAAACTTGTTTTACGTTTTCTGTGATGGTTAGAATAAATTTTTGAGACGGCGTGATAATAACAATACAAACATAATATGATATAAGCAGGAAATCGACAGTGTAAACACAAAGTAGGATCCTTGCTGTATGTTGTAGCGTGTATTTGTGGCCTTCTTTAACTCTCCTAGTAAATCAATATTCAGCAACCAGCTAAACACTTCGATAGTACTAAATATGCAGAAGAAATCATTTATATCAACCACCAATGGAACATATGACGTGTACAGTCAGGATCGCTAACATGGAAACACACATAGCGTAGCGTAGGTAACGCGACGCTATGTATTCCGCTGTAATAAGGACACTATTTAAATGTACACAATGAACCTTAGAAATGCCAATAAAAATGTGAGCGGAAGTGATAATTTTATGGACGTCTTTTGTAACGTTGCAATTTTTGCTGTTTTTTCACAAATTAATATTTCTTCTCAATATTCTGATTTTGGATACCACTAGCGACATCTATTGGCGTGATTTAGAATTAATTTGCAATAGATGGCGCTTTTTGCTCAGTTAATTGAAGTATACTTTGATGAAACATTTCCTAGTGTTCTTATTGTGATTATTCTATTTTTTAATAGAATATTTTCAGTGTTCAGGAGATTGTTTTCATCATGGTTTTTATTAGTATTTGCTTTTTTTTATGGGCGGCGAAACGGAACGTCTCGCGACATNTTGCTACCTACTATAGTATTATTAGTTTTTTTCAACCGACTTCTTCTCCATTTGATGAACTCAACGACACGATAAAACACGACGTTGATGACGACATGATGTCGTGCCTGCGTGCCCAAATAACTGCACGCAGGAAGATTTAATGAAGGCTAATGACAACGCCACTCTTGTGGCGGAGTTTTGGGCTGACGCTGTGTAGGTTTGTTGACGACAAGACAAGAAGAAGAAGATAGTATTATTCAGAGATTGGTTATAATAATAACAAGTACGTAATAAGTAATCACACCATTCAATATGTATTATCAAGAGTAGCAATGCGATCAGCTGGACTGCAATTAGCTGCTTGTTGCTGCCTTCCCAAACTCTATAAACCGGGCCTTTTTAAGGCGAGAGTGAATAGGTACTTACAGGGCAGATTATGCATCCTAGACTGCATCTCACTTAACACCAGGTGCGATTGCCTTAATACCTGCCTTGTTTTGTAAAAAAAGTATATACTTACTGCTTATCCCTGGTCAGAGCACCAGCCAGCACGAATCCTTGCAGGCAATGTGTGGCGGAATCCAGGCTGAGACAGTATGGGTGGTAGGGGCCGCTTTCTGCACGCTCCTGCACTAGCTTCAACGCCCGGTTGTGCTCGCATGACTTTAGCTGCAAAGATAGATAGTCAACACTATAATTACAGTTAGTAGCTATCAATATCGGAATGGCCTTGCTATTGATATCACTCGAAAATTCAACATTAACAATAAGTACCACAAGTAAACCAGTCATATCATTAGCATTTTTTCAATGTTTTATAATACATACATTTTATGAAACACTTTTTTTACATGCTTAAAGAACCTTGACAAATGTTGAGTTCAGTTAAGTATTTATTGACGTTCATACACATACATATTTAAATTACAGCTTAGATTTTCCCGTGTACTGTGTGTTTGTGGAGGACTGTTGTGGACGCCTTCTGCCCCATCTAGGGGACATAGGACCATAAGTCAAGTGTGTTTATCGCACTTACGTTCCTACTTTTTATTACAAAAAATACAATATGGGTTTTCAATTTTCATATCGCTAACATTCGAAATACATAAATTAATTTTACATACAAACTTTCATGCCTTATTTATATCACCCCATTAAAGTTTTATTTTCCTAAAAAACCTCAAAGCTCCAATAAAAAAAATCAGTCATCAATGGTTATAGATATATGCGCAAAATGTAAGTCAACAAAAAAACCGACAGTGTCACTTGCGCATTCATAATATTTGTATGGATTTTCAATTAGTATAACCAAGTAGTAATGTATATTCCGTACATTTTTGAAACATGTTTTATGTTTTCTGTGATGATTAGAATAAATTTTTGAAACGATGTGATAATAAACAATACAAACATATGATATAAGCAGGAAATCGACAGTGTAAACACAATGTAGGATCCTTGTTGTATATTGTATCGTGTATTTGTGGCCTTCTTTAACTGTCCTAGTAAATCAATATACAGCTACCAGCTGAAAACTTCGATAGTTCTAAATATTACGCAGAAAAAAACATTTATATCAAATGAAACAATATGACGTGTACACTGTACAGTCACGATCACTAAAGTACGGCCAACGAGAAGCGATACCAAATGTAAACAAACCCAATGTCATGTTCATTTGGAATAGCAGGGGTTTGACTTTGACATATTTTGGCGGGAGAACGAGACATTACGACAAATACACAAGATAGGAAGAGACAGAATAGATTGTCAGTTCGACAGTCGAATCGACCTTTTGTATCGCTGCTAGTTGGCCGTACTTTAACATGTAAACACACATAGCGTAGCGTAGGTAACGCGACGCTATGTATTCCGCTGTAATAAGGTCACAATGTATAGCCTGACCAGGAACATAAAAACCCTCGCCATGTTGCGGAAAACAAATGGTACTAATTTCTTTTAATGGCAACAGTAACTGAAAACTTCATTGACATGTCACCTTGCATGTCAGTCTATTGCTGTCAAAGNCAATATTTTGTAGTTTAAACAATTTCATAATTTTACAATTTCATATTTTACATTTTGATATTTCATATTTTACGATTTTACATTTCATATTATTATTACTCCTTTCTGAACTGCTGATCTCTTCGCATTTCCTCCTTGTCATCAAACCTCTGTCTCTGCAAGAGTGTGAACGCTTTCCTGCCGAGGAGATGCAAGAGTTTCATCTGGCACTGTGCGCTTGAGGCCGTGGAGGACGCTGCTTGTAGCCTAAAAGTGTGCGAGACCCGTTGGACCCCGGAAGAAGAGAGGAACGTTCAGGGTAACGGCTTATAACCGCATGGCTTCCAAGGTACCCACTTTTCCATCCTTCAAGTAGGAGTCTTTCCGACCTGACATCGCGCAGTTATCTTAACTATTAGAGTCTTTAAATATTTAGGCNCATCATAAGCCGTTCACTCTCCATAGGATGTAATCTACTTGTTTGGCCCTTTAGAACCTAAATCTAATAAGAATTACCTCAGTCATGACGTCAGCACATAATAGCAGTAATGACAGCGCGGGCCACACGGCTCACTGGAGGAGACTTTTCAACCGGACACCCTCGGACCCTCCCATCGCAACCCGTTCACTCTCCATATGACGTCATCTACCGATTGTCTGGCCCTTTACCTAAATAAAATTTGAATTACCCCAGTCATGACGTCAACATATAATAGCAAAGATGATAGCGCGGGTTAAACGGCGCGCTGCAGTAGATTCCTCGGCCGAAAACCTTCGTTCCCTCCCATCATAACCCGTTCACTCTCCATAGGATGTAATCTTCTTGTCTGGCCCTTTACAACCTAAATCTAATAGGAATTACCTCAGTCATGACGTCAGCACATAATAGCAGGGAGGACAGAGCGGGCCACACGGCTCGCTGGAGGAGACTTCTCAACCGGACACCCTCGGGCCCTCCCATCGTAACTTTCTCGCTATCNTACCTTAGATATGCCAATAAAAATGTGAGCGGAAGTTATAATTTTATGGACGTCATCTACCCATGGTCTGGCCCTTTACAACCTAAATCAAATAAGAATTACCTCAGTCATGACGTCAGCACATAATAGCAGTGATGACAGCGCGGGCCACACGGCTCGCTGTAGTAGATTCCTCAGCCGAAAACCTTCGTTCCTTTCCCATCATAAGCCGTTCACTCTCCATAGGATGTAATCTACTTGTCTGGCCCTTTACAACCCAAATCGAATAAGAATTACCTCAGTCATGACGTCAGCACACAGCAGCAGTGATGACAGCGCGGGCCACGCGGCTCGCTGGAGTAGACTTCTCAACCGGACACCCTCGATCCCTCCCATCCCATCATAACCAGTTTACTCTCCATATGACGTCATCTACCCATTGTCTGACCCTTTACAAATCAAAATCAAATAAGAATTACCTCAGTCATGACGTCAGCACACAGCAGCAGTGATGACAGCGCGGGCCACGCAGCTCGCTGGAGTAGACTTCTCAACCGGACACCCCCGGTACCTCCCATCATAACCCGTTCACTCTCCATAGGATGTAATCTTCTTGTCTGGCCCTTTACAACCTAAATCTAATAGGAATTACCTCAGTCATGACGTCAGAACACAGCAGCAGGGATGACAGCGCGGGCCACACGGCTCGCTGGAGTAGACTTCTCAACCGGACACCCTCGAGCCCTCCCATCGTAACTTTCTCGCTATCGGAACGCACCACATCGTTTCGCACGCAGTAATCATACGCCACTTGGAACGTCTGCAAAACACACACACGTCAGAACATCTGGGTAAAGGTCGAAACTACGACTCGGTCGACTTAAAAAACATTAAAATGGTTAAAAGTACCTCAAATTTTTTGCTTTATGAATGAAAAAAAAACTGAAATATGAATATTTTCCATCACCCCGAATACGTATGGCAAATATCGCTAAAGTTCTTTAGAGTTTTTGTTGTGTTTATTTTTGAGACTTTTTAAGTGAGTAGTATTTCGCAAAAGAGAACATTTATTTTTCCAAAAATACTACAATTAGATATCATTACAATAAAGTCATATTTCCATAAAAAATGCAACACGTTGCAATTTCACCCTGTATAGCCAAGATGCAAATTTGGAGTGCCAATAATAATATGTAAACAGTCCTAGTAACCCAGTCAACACCAGGTCAATGTTCAACAAACATATTGGAGCCAAAACAATGAGTATCGTATCTGACAAACCAAAGTACACATCGTGTTGTAACGTTTTTGATAACATAAAAAATAGTACTTAATAATTAGGTACAGTCAGCGTCAAATAGTTCGTGACGCCCAAAGTGGCCAAAAAGTTGACAACACAACCTTATTCCAATTGTAACAAAGACGCTTATTGGCTACTTTGGGTGTCACGATGTCTTTCGACGCCGACTATACAGTACACACAGTCGCGGTTATCAACGTGAGTCTAAATAATTAAGTATCATTTACATAATAATCAACAGGTACATTTTTAATTTCTCTTCAGAAGCTCTACGGTGAATATGCATTCTTATTTCCTTTTGGATATGCATATGTTAAAGAACAAAAGAAAACCCTTGGATTGAATTTGGCTCATCACAGTCCACACTAGTTACGTTATTGTAAATTCGAACATAACAATGAAATATACAGGATGTTTTTGTAGTTTCAAGCCGGTGCAAGAAGATTAACTCATCGATTGAAGTCCTCGTATGTATATTCAGCGATGCTTGGTGGGGCCTACTTTAATACATTAATATACTGTTTTTTTTTATCGAATCGATATTTTTACAGGATGTTTTAACCACGAATATAAACAACTTTTACTAGGGGACCAACTCTGAAATCTCAAAAAAAATCTGCTGTTTCGTACATTTTGGTCAATCCGTATTGAACTTTTGTATTATACAGCTGATTTTTCTTGTGATTTCAGAGTTGGTCCCATAGTGAAAGTTTATATTCATGGGTAAAAATATTAAGACTGTAAAAATCATGCAGTATAAATAAGATTCAATAAGCCGTAATGTATAGGTTTAGTAGTAGCAGGCCTGGCTCACTCCGCGCGGTACATCCGATAATTACCTACAGCGAAGCGCCCCGCCGGCGGGTATTATATCAGTCGAGTGTCACGCGCGCGCCCGTCAGGACACTGGCGTGCGTTGTAGTAGGTACCTAATTCTATGATCGAAGTATTATTTAAAAATGGACATAAAGAGAAAGAAATATTGTGCGGCGTTCGGGTGTTTAAATTCGAAAAGAAATCTACCGGATTTATCTTTTTTTTCGCTTCCCAAAGATGCTGAAAGGTATGTTTGAGGTAATCAATAATTCTTAGGATAGTATAGGAACCTAACCTACCATGACTACTGCTCAGAATGAGTTCGTTCGTTTCAGCCAAATGACGTCCACTGCTGGACAAAGGCCTTTCCCAAGGTTTTCCATAATGAATGCGTACTTACCTACATACGTACCTCATTACCTATAAGTAGATTAATTATATTTTCACTAGACAGCAACCCTAACAGCGTAAGAAGAGTTCAGAGGCACGCGATAGAAAGAGACAAAACTTATTTGGGGGCACGGTAGTGCAACCGCCAAATCGAGTAAAATTTTTCAATTTCGGTCCAGTTTTCTAGATACATAACTGCTGTCTACAAAATACAAAAAGAAATGAGATCCTATCAAAAACAATACTTGTCAAAAAAACCAAGTCTCGCAACTCTAAGTACTCTAAGTATTTAGTGCGATGGCCAAGTCAATAATTTATGTAAAACGTTAAAGATTTCCTGGCCTGGACTTGGTATTACATGGATCTCACAACTTTTTACCCTAGAACAACTGAGTTGCGAGACTTGTTTTTTTTGACAAGTATTGTTTTTGATAGGATTTAAATCGTCTTGCGGAGTAATCCTTCTGTACCTGTACTATTACTTATTCTGTGGTAGTAGTCACATTTTAGTACTTGATAAATATTTTTATCGCATTATCAGTGCGCTATCTTTTTTGATTTTGCGTTAAGCGTTATATCGGTTATTGTCGTATAAGCGTGTTTGCGGCGACCGATAAAATACGATATTTTATACCATTTACTCATTCTTGATGATTAAGTTAATTAAATTATATCTCGAGTAGTAATACATTGTAAATATCTTGAAATCAATGACAATATACATACAAAATTTCACATTGCAATCTGATATAAGTAGTTGTATCTACACCGTGTCCCAAAATTTAACGATAAGCCGGTGCCGTAGGGTGGCTACTTTAGTATAATATGTATGTATTTAAAAAAAATATATATAAGTAGTATATCCGTTAAGCTAGCACCCATAACACAAGCATTAAGTTGCTTACTTTGGGGCTAGCTGGCGCTGTGTGGAATTGTCCAATGATTTATTTATTATTATTTAGGAAATATAAGAAAAAAATTACAAAAAGTATTTTGTGTAATGGCTAAGTATATTGTGAAAGAGAAATAAATAATAATTATTATTATTATCACAATTTTTTTTTTCTTACTTTTCATAAGGTTTAAGAAAACTTACTAGTTAAACTTTAGGAGAAATAAAAAAAAAACCTAACTTAAAATTGTTTTTCTTATTTTTCCAAAAGTAGTCATGACCATGTCATTGTCCACCCTACGGCGCCGGCCTATCGTTGAATTTTGGGACAGTATGTATGTATAATATGTTCGCTGTGTAAAGTATTAATGGGGCTTACAAACCTGTTCTTCAGTCTTTTCAATGTGGAAAAACTCGTGCCGCAATAATTTTCTTAGTTCTTTATAATGCCGAGCTAGATCATCTGCCAAAACAAAAGCATGTTATTAGAAAAATACTTTTAAAAATGTTTAAATAAATTCAAGACATGTTCCTTTAAAATACCTATGATTATAATTACTTTTTAATTCAACGATGTCATCGTAATTATATTATTTATCGTAAATTTGTTTATTATATTTTCGTGCAGTTCGATGTAATTTTGAAAGGAACGAAAGGTGAAAGTTTTACTCGTGACAGGGCATACAAATCTGAAGTTTCCCTTATTTTCCCAAGCTCCTATACCTCAGACACTGAATGAGTTAAGCCCTAGATCAGGCCTGGCTCACTCCGCGCGGTACATCCGATAATTACCTACAGCGAAGCGCCCCGCCGGCGGGTATTATATCAGTCGAGTGTCACGCGCGCGCCCGTCAAGACGCTGGCGTGCGTTGTAGTACCTAATTCTATGATCGAAGTATTATTTAAAAATGGACATAAAGAGAATGAAATATTACTGTGCGGCGTTCGGGTGTTCAAATTCGAAAAGAAATCTACCGGATTTATCTTTTTTTTCGCTTCCCAAAGATGCTGAAAGGTATGTTGGCCATGTACCTACATCAATAATTCTTAGGATAGTATAGGAACCTAACCTACCATGACTACTGCTCAGAATGCGTTCGTTCGTTTCAGCCAAAAATGGCGTCCACTGCTGGACAAAGGCCTCTCCCAATGTTTTCCATAATCAATGCGTACTTACCTACATACGTACCTCATTACAAATAAGTAGATTAATTATTTTTTTACTAGACACTACTAGACAGCAACCCTAACAGCGTAAGAAGAGTTCAGAGGCACGCGATAGAAAGAGACAAAACTTGTAGGTGAATAAAATTGTAGGTACTTAGTGCTGTGCGAGCTGAATTCCACTGTATCGCGTCGTAGCAAGACTCGCATTTATTTAAATCGTCTTGCGGAGTAATCCTTCTGTACCTGTACTATTACTTATTCTGTGCCTAGATCTATAAGCGCGATAATTAATACTTAAATCATAAATAAATTAAATGACAATCGCATTTTCTTACCATATGTATGCGGTCCCCTTTGTACTATAACGCATATAAGCGCAGAAGGCACGAGATAATGTAGCATCGGATTCACGTACATTTGAACTTGGATTATTGGAATCGCATTCACCATTGTCTCCGCTTTTAATGTGTGACCTATAAATGAATAAAGTGATTAATAACTTTTATCAATGAGTCATCAACATACGATGTTTACAAATTAATTACTATCTCTCTTTGTTTGGTTTTGACAAAGGAATAATTAATATCCTTGGATATTTAATACTGCAATGTAGCCTGTGTTGCAGCATCTTACTTTATCTTTAACAAACATCAAAAATCTGTGAATCTCCATACAAAAACACCGGTTACGATTAAAGTTAAGGTGGGTCTTAGGTTTTGTCTTCAACGCAAAGCTACTAAGATAACATTATTTAAAACATACATAGTTACTAAAACACCCAGATCAATACAAATCGAAATGATCATGCAGATAAGTTTGTATTGTGCAGGGATCGAATCCGCGACCCTGGCATAGTAGTTCGGAACGCTAAACTAGGCGGACGAATTGGGAATTAAAACATACCTTTCATTTTCTTCTTCAACTCATCCGTGACATCTATAGGCTCCGATGAAATGATTCGGAGTCGTCTATCTTTATCTAACTTCCAAGACTTCGCCTGAACAACTAATACTCTATCAACATTCTTTCTCACATCGTCTTCGAATACTGTGGCTCCTAAACTTCTCAGAACCTTTATCATTCGGTCCACTTCTACTATAACTTCATCGTACGGCAACGCTCGTTGATTCATCAGACTTTCCATTAACACTAACGCAAGTAAATTTGATATAGTCGCTACAGAATTGGCCTGTTGTTGTGTGACGACATAATCTGCCACGTCTTGCACTTGGCTGAACTGCTGAGGCGATAATGTCTGCAACTCTGAAGGCTTGAGGCGCTCGTCGGTGTACGGTGTCCATTTCAAATAGTCTCGAACTGACATCGGCTCACCAAAGTTTATGTACATGTTGCCGAAGTGGCCGTTTAACGTGGTTATCCATTTTAGGAGGCCCTGCAAATTGTTTCCGAGTTAAAATAATGTTTATACGCACAAAACAAACGGAATGTCAGAAGCGATAAAGACATATGCGATCAAAATATTATTGACTAACATTTTGTTTACTTGGGAAGAAAAGTCATTTAGACCTCGAGAACTTGGGTTCAAATTCAATTCTGGTTGACGACACGTGTAAGTGAATTGAACGCGCGTTTTCCAGCGAATTCGCACTCTATCTATATCATTGCAATAGCTGTGCCCGCGACTTCGTACGCGTGAAAATAGTTTGAATAATATTTTTTGCAACATTTTTCTTTACTGCTCCGCCCCTATTGGCTGTAGCGTGTTGTTGAAAAAGCCTTCCTCGATCAATGGGCTATCCAAAACAAAAATAATTTTTAAAAACAGACCAGTAGTTCCTGAGATTAGCGCATTCAAGCAAACAAACTCTTCAGATTTATAATATTAGTAGATTCCCATACCTATGGTAATCATTTTGATAAATTATAAGACTGGCACTTATGTAGTTACTAGCTTTTGCCCGCGGCTTCACCTGCGTGAAATTTAGTTTGTCACAGATCGTCATAAATTATAGCCTATGTTATTCTGGGTTATAAACAATAATAAGTTTCATCAAAATCCGTAATCCGTAAATCAAAAGTAGTTTTTGCGTGAAAGAGTAACAAACATCTAGACATCCACACAAACTTTCTCATTTATAATATTAGTAAGATGTGGCGACCACGGGCTGGAAGACGTAGCGTGGGCAGGCCTCCTACTAGGTGGACCGACGATCTGGTGAAGGTCGCGGGAAGAGCCTGGATGCGGGCAGCGCAGGACCGTTCATTGTGGAAAACCTTGGGGGAGGCCTTTGTCCAGCAGTGGACGTCATTTGGCTGAAAACGTAAGATGTAGTGAACGTACCTATAGATGACACTTTTTAAGTCCTGTATGATTGCCACATTTTTTTTAATTTGATTAATAACAATATATCTCTAAAATAATAAAATGTTTACATTTCATCAGTTTAAATCGTATATTTTAATTTTTTAATGCTGTTCTCACCTTAGTGGTTTCCTTCGGCTTGGGCACACCTAGCAGTTCGTAAGCGTAAGGGTTCTGCTCCATGAGCCGGTCGTAGCTGATGTTGACCGGCACGACTGTGATGTCTGATAGTTCGCGGGCGAACAGCGGCATCAGCGTCATTGAGAGCATACCTGAAGGAAATGATCATCATCAAGTTCATCAACATAATCATCATCATCATTAGCCCCCCTAGTGAAGTAACAAAACGTGACAGTTTTCATATCGAAATTGCTTTACGGAGTGAAGTTTTTTTGTAAAACGCCGGAGCGAATCGATTTCGGAATTAGAACTGTCACATTTTCTAACTTCACTCCCGGAACACGACGAAAATGTTCTAGCGTTAAAGGTCACCTCTCAATCTAAGTTTTAAAATAACGTGACAGCAGTCGCCTGGCAAGTGAAAGGTCGTGGATTTGATTCCCACCATAGGCGATTTTTCGAGTTATTAAAAAAAAGAAAGTCCTTTTTTTGTTTATGCATAGCAAGGCATCATCGCGGTGAGGAAGACGGTGGGCGGGAGTTTGCATCGTGCGGTCCACACAGCTTATGACCGCAGTCTGTGGAGGAACACTATCTGTGGTCGCTATCCTCATCAGTGAGGGACCGAGGAAGAAGAATAGCAAGGCAGGTATTTGACCGCATTCGCACCTGGTTAAGTGAGATGCAGTCTAGGATGGTACATACTTAATACTATTTTTAAAACATAGTAAAAGTGAATGAAATACATACCATACTTAGGCGGTAAGCTCTTATTGCTCCTGCTTCTAGTGCCTTCTAGAAAGAATTCGACAGGCGCCGCGTGCTTGGCCACCAGCGAGCGAACGTACTGCTTGAGGGTCGCGGCGTACAGTGGCGCCCCCGTGAGCGTGCGGCGGATGTAGAAGGCACACGTCTCGCGCATCAGCTGGCCCATTATAAACATCGAATAGAAATCTAAAACAAAACAGGCAGAATTTAGAGAAATAAAGATGACGATTATTTTTATCACAGTCAGCGTCAAATAGTTCGTGACACCCAAAGTAGTCAAAAAACTCGAAACACGCCTTTTTAGGGTTCCGTAGCCAAATGGCAAAAAACGGAACCCATAGATTCGTCATGTCTGTCTGTCCGTCCGTCCGTCTGTCCGTCCATATGTCACAGCCATTTTCTTCCGAAACTATAAGAGCTATACTGTTGAAACTTGGTAAGTAGATGTATTCTGTGAACCGCATTAAGATTTTGATGCAAAAATTAAAAAATAATAATTAATATTGGGGGCTCCCTATACTTAGAACTGAAACTCAAAAATTTTTTTTTCATCAAACATACGTGTGGGGTATCTATGGATAGGTCCTCAAAAATGATATCGAGGTTTCTAAAATACTTTTTTTCTAAACCGAATAGTTTGCGTGACAGATGCTTCCAAAGTGGAAAAATAGTTGGTCCCCCCCCTCTAACTTCTAAAATAAGAAAATGAAAAATCTAAAAAAAACACATATGATGTACATTACTATAAAAACTACCAACGAAAATTCTTTTGAACGAGATCTAGTAAGTAGTTTTTTTTTAATACCTCGTAAATCGTAAACCGCTTATTACCGCGTAATCTTTCATACTAATAACTTAAATAAAAAAAAATAATTTTAATTTCATAAATCAATGGTACGGAACCCTCGGTGCGCGAGTCCGACTCGCACTTGGCCGGTTTTTACGATTGGAATAAGTTTGTCTTTTCAACTTTTTGGCCACTTAGTGTCACAAACTATTTGACGCTGACTGTAGTGACTGTACAAAAATTGTAGATGGTAAACATATTTAATGGCACAAGAGACCAAAACCAGTTTTAATTAACCCTTTATAATAGGTATATTACATAATACTTTTAAGCCATCTAACTGAATAACCTTTTTGCCATTTAAAAATTTTAACATACTTAAAAAAAGGCATATGACATCCATTAGTTGTGCTTGATAAGAGGTTGCCGTATTATAGCAGCAAGCAGTAGCAGTTGAAGCAGCAAATCGAACACACAGCGTTGAATAGAGCTCTGTGATTGGTTCGTGTGTGACCCTATGCGTCCACGCGCACTCATGTGAGACCTCATAGTAATGTTTGTGAATACAAGCGTAATACTACATAACAACCCATGCAAAAGCATGAAGTACTTATTTTTTTTAATTATTTACACCAAAACATAAGTTTGATTGTGAAAATTAAATTTATTTTTTTTATTTACTATATTCATCCTAATATTAAGACATGCATATTTTCCTTAAACACAGATTTCATTAAATCCATATTTTATTTTCCTTATTGATTCTAAATGCAGATTTATATACCTAATAAAAGAAGTTAATGTGAACTTTGGTTAACCAACATCCTTGAACACACAAATGTTGCAGTACTGTTTGATTTTACAAGTTTGTGTCAACTCCTATAACATTAGTAAATATTTGACATGCTTGCCTACACTACAATGTTATCCAAGCACACCATTTGTGTGTAATTTTGTAATATCCAAGAATAATGTGTTGACATTGACTGAGATAACTAAATATTTTCGAAATATTGAATACAATTTATGCTCTATTAAATTAGATGCATGTAAAAAAAAGAGGACCTGACCAAAAAACTTTGAAATAAAAGAGATTAAAAGACAGGTTGGCTGACTTAAAGAGTGAATTTATTTCACTTCATTTGATCATTGTATTTTTTTAGTTTTATTAGCCAGAAGATTAATCTCTTACTTAGTTTTAACTTTTTCTTTTTATCTTTTTGACCACTAACAAGGTTACATTGTAGCATTTGCAGAGCAGTTTTGTTAATTTTCTGGACACTTAACAGGTTGAAGTTTGCCAAAGACCCTTTAGACTGATAATAAAAAACTAATAAATGTGCTACATACCCATCCCAGCGGCAACAGCAGGTAGTTCAATGTCATAATGGTAGCAGAGGTAAGTTAGAATACAGAAATCGGCATAGCTACGATGTGTAGGCAAGAATAGGACTGGGTTGTTGCCCATAGTGGATTTTACCTAAAAGAAATAAGATTAGAGTCAATATCAGAGATAGAGAAGTAAAGTTTATCATTCAATTTACATATTTTCTATTACTAACAGATTTTTTTCAGCAGCCGGTGTAACCCTTGACCAAATCTCAATTTCAGCTGTGATAACTTGTGCAAGTATATTTATAGATTGGAACAAATATCCCAAAAACCTAAAGAAAGACTTAAAAGATGAATATACTTGCTTTTAAAACCGCAGGCTCATTCACATAGATTCCAATGTTCATTTTGAAGGCAACCTTCAATGATAGAATGCCTATCCACCTGATGACATGCATCTTTTTTTCCATTCCAATCTCATTGATGTACTGAAGCACCTCTCTTCGCAGTTTCTCTTTGCTGACACCACTCTTGGAACTCTCCTTTTAATTTAAAATAGGAACTTGTTAAAATTACACATAATGTATGGCATCCTATCCACACTATCCAAAATACAGGGCAAGGTTTTTTCAATAAAGATTATGTTTCATGACATAACTAGGTACATATTTGTACTAGTTTTTATCAGAATTACCTTGCATATGTGTTAGGTTTGTGTACAAATGCTCTGAAAAGGGTCTAAATACTGTTAAAGAATTTCATTAAAGGGCATTTGCCATTAAAGTAACTTTGTTGACTTCTATGTATTGAACAAAGTGGTAGATTATTATTTTTTAATTGGAATTTAATGGGGACAATTAGAAAATCAAGCAGGTTGATCAATTTATTAAATTCCGTACATACCGCTTCAATAATTGCTTCCATAAACAGAGATGAAGCAGCAGCATCCTTGATGTCTTGTGGAGAATAGATTTTGTCCAAAGTTTGTGTTCTCTTCGGGTACCAAGCTTTGGACATAAAACTAAATATACCAGATTCAGTCTTCCTAGGTTCTAAAATATCTTTAAACTTCGATTTTTCACACATTTTTATTATTTTTTTTCCGTATGCTTGCTTTAGAACCACGAACTCATAATAATACTTAACAACACTGTAAGACACTGAAGTTATTCTGTTACAGATAGGATTGTTTAACCAGATATTGTTGTTTTTCTAAAAAAAATCTTAAATTTGATTTATTTCGCGTAAACACCAAAACACTTCCTCCCACGCTTTGATAAAAATTTGACTGATGGATGAATGATCGTCGAACGAATCAATGCATTTGACAACTAGATGACAGTGACGGATAATATCATGAAACTACAGATAAAAATGGAGGCCACACTCCAAATACCTACTTGAAGCACAAACTATGTATCACTATCTCGCTCTCTGTGGGCAGACTCTCTCTTTCTAAATAAACAAAAATTAAATTTGCTCAAATTCAATGAAACTCAATGTAAAATCTTTATTTCTTGACATAGGTATCATTAAAAATGATAAGTGTAAATACTGGTATAGCCTGACCAGGAACATAAAAACCCTGGCATAGAGGCGCGTCAATTGCATTTGATAGTGCAACACTGAGTACAGTCGTACCTGTGTTAAATTAATAGGCTAACTTTATGTATCAGGATTCAGGATTACGTCCTAATTAATTGATATTTTCATAAATTAACGAATAAAGATTATATAGGTAATCTGGTTTAAATAAATTACATGAAACCATCAATCGAGCTAGTATGATTTATTTTATTATTCATCAATAATCAAATTCAGAACTTGNCATTTATAGAATGAAAAATATAGCCCAAAAACCTAAAGAAAGACTTAAAAGATGAATATACTTGCTTTTAAAACCGCAGGCTCATTCACATAGATTCCAATGTTCATTTTGAAGGCAACCTTCAATGATAGAATGCCTATCCACCTGATGACATGCATCTTTTTTTCCATTCCAATCTCATTGATGTACTGAAGCACCTCTCTTCGCAGCTTCTCTTTGCTGACACCACTCTTGGAACTCTCCTTTTTTATATAAAATAAGAAATTGTTATAATAAGACATTAATATTTCGCACCCTATCCACACTATCCAAAATACAGGGCAAGGTTTTTTCAATAAAGATTATGTTTCATGACATAACTAGGTACATATTTGTACTAGTTTTTATCAGAATTACCTTGCATATGTGTTAGGTTTGTGTACAAATGCTCTGAAAAGAGTCTACATACTATTAAATAATTAAATTTAAAGAACATTTGCCATCAAAGTAACTTCTGTTGACTTTTAAGTATTGAACCAAGTGGTAGATTAATATTTTTTAATTGGAATTTCATGGGGACAATTAGAAAATCAAGCAGGTTGATAAATTTATTAAATTCCGTACATACCGCTTCAATAATTGCTTCCATAAACAGAGAAGAAGCAGCAGCATCCTTGATATCTTGTGGAGAATAAATTTTGTCCAAAGTTTGTGTTCTCTTCGGGTACCAAGCTTTGGACATAAAACTAAATATACCAGATTCAGTCTTCCTAGGTTCTAAAATATCTTTAAACTTCGATTTTTCACACATTTTTATTATTTTTTTCTCCGTATGCTTGCTTTAGAACCACGAACTCATAATAATACTTAACAACACTGTAAGACACTGAAGTTATTCTGTTAAAGATAGGATTGTTTAACCAGATATTGGTGTTTTTCTAAAAAAAATCTTATATTTTGATTTATTTCGCGTAAACACCAAAACACTTCCTCCCACGCTTTGATAAAAATTTGACTTGATTTGACTGATGAATGATCGAATGAATCAATGGATTTGACTGGATTTGACAACTAGATGACAGTGACGGATAAAATCAGGTGTCATTTTTTTACTGTGGCATCCCAAAAATAACGTTACCGTTATGTGGATAGCAAATACCGTTGACTTATTTATGCTGCTGCAAAGACAGCGATCAAGTTTACATCGATTGTTACGAATAGATAAATTGAATTGATGCAATAAGCACTGTAAACACACTGCATCAATTGGTTAGTAGACCACATAGCACGTAATAATGGTTGACTATGAGTTAGACAGAGATAATAAGGCATTTATCGGGTTCTATTACATTCAAACGGCACAAAGGTGATCTTATCGATAAGAAGTGATCTATTCCAGGCAACCAGACCAGAGAAGAAGATACACACACACATAAAGATCCTTCCAAAGGCATCCTTTCCTTATTGGCATCACAAATTTTATTGATGTTTTACTTTTAAATTAATACTTAGCCCAAATTCGGTTTAGGGTGACTTTCAAAATAACACTGATTTAACTAAGATATTGCAAGGATTCCAAAATAAAGAAAGCATAAATTAATTTCATCGGATTGCCTATGTGATTATTTTGAATAAAAAATCGTTTTAAATAGTTTAATATTTTATTCTGCAAAGTTCACACACACTACAAAATTATTAAAGCACAATATTGAATGGCATCATCAAAATACTTAGAAATATAGAGATTTCTTAATGATTATTTGAATAAAATATAATAATAGATTTCCAAAGAATAATTCAATTTCAAATTAATGTCAAGTATTTAATACTAAGAAACATTCACTCATGATCAATTGCATAATTTTTCATATTGGAACATTTCAAGAGGCGGAAAAGTATATCTTAGGTAAAAGCTCTAGCTTTAATAAAACCATAATTTTATCACATCTGTTTCATGATTTTCTTTGATGTGATCAGGAAACTTAACCATAACACAATAGTTTTGAAGAAAATACAGGTCAATATCGCTATGTTTAAATAGACACATATAACACCCATTACAACGTTTATAAATCGAGTAGTAAAATCCTTCTAAAGTAATATCTACTGTTTCTTGGTGGTAACATATATCTACCAGTAATCAACTACTTGCTATCACAAAGTGTCCTTAATTCTAAATTGAGAAAACTTATTAACTAAAGCCTTACTGCATTTTATCAGTGAATCATTAACATGAAGGAAATGGCATTTTCGGTGGCACCTACATTGACTTAGAATAGAATTAATCTTATCTTAATTAATTATACTGTTTGTGTTCATTGCTCAAAATAATAGCTATATTAATGAGTTACAGATATGCTAATAATTTTTCACCTAAACTTTTTAAGAATACAAAACAAAATCAAAGAAAATACCAACAAACGAATACAAACAGTGTGTATAGTCCAAAAGTATAAAATAGTTCTTTTTTGTAAATGCTATCAAAATAAAATAAAAAATACGTTTATCTGAGATAACCTTAATAGACAAATAAGTAAGTATAATATTTCTTACATCTACCAAACGGTTTTGAAGACCGCAAACTTGTGTAAAAAGTAATTTATTTCACGTTAGTGAATAATATGTATGGCACTGCAACTACGTAGTCAGTTAACTTGTCTGATCCGGGCTCAGCCTTTCGTTATGTTTGGTCCTTTCATTACCATCCATGATCGACATTCAAATTTGTGCCTTTAGGCCAGCAGCTTAAAATCAAAATTCAAAGCACCTTTCATTTCTCGAAAGTCCAAGTCTAAGAAGGAATATTTTAAATTCAATCAGATATTTTCTTCCCCTCCTAGACTTTATATCGAGTAAGGACTAGTCTAAAGACTCGAGTAAGATTTTAAAGTTCGTGTGTTCATCCCTAGCAAAGTGATAAAGTTCCATATAACAAAAAAATCTTATTTGGTGGACCAAGCCAGTTTTTAATAAAAACAATAAAGAAATATGATAATCCCAACACCAGTTTGGAGATTTTACATCATTACATAGGTAACTACCATTCATTTGGCCTCCAAATCTTATCTAGATTTTTTACACATAGACTTGTTTCAAAACTACAACATCAATTGTAGAATTGACAAACCATACCAAAATTATACTTTTATGTAAATCTACAACTATGTATACCATATTATACAAATAAATGACGTCAATATTTAGATATGCAAGATCGAATGATAAAATCGATTTTTATGCCTAAGTAATATTAATAAGTTACGTCGTCATTTATTAAATAACTACAGAAATATTCAATTGAGTTATGTTAGTTGTAAAATAATCTTTAAAAAACTATAACATAGTATCAAAATATATCTTTACATACCAACTATCAATAAAAATATAAATTGGCTTAGTCCTTTCTCTAAAATGTTCAGTAAATGAATATCATGTGCAGCCATAATAAGCACTTTTTTATTATCACTTGTTTACAAACAACAACTGGCGCGATAATAATATTATTTACTTGTTTAGTTTTTTAAACTCAAATAACATCGCAAAAAAGTGTTGTATTATAATACTTTATTCTTTCAATTTTGCTCAAACAACAAAAAACACGTGATTTTTTAAATCTTGTGTGTTAACAATTTAGTAGCCGGACTTAATTTTTATTTTTTTTTCACTATGAAAAAAATATGGACGTTAATTCGTGTTTAAAAAAAAGATGCGTACTTAAATAAATGTATCTTTTAAAATACGCGCCTGAATTTAAAATAGTATAAGATAGATTAAGTAACTGTGAGTGAGGTAAAGTAAATAAGCGTCTGTTTATTCGATCACTAGCCATTATTGATACGGTATCTATGCCGCTATATATCCGTATGTTTACAACATTGCATTATAAAAACGATGTCCACACAAATATTTCTTACACTGGAAACTATACAAATTACAAAACAGAGAACAAAAAAGGGATACTGTGTATTAATAAGCTCATACCTACATACCTCGGGCGCTATTGTCGTATTTGTAATTAAAATTACAGATGATATCGATCTACGTTACAAAATCAGTCTTACGTCTCAATAGCCTAGTTCAGATAAGTTGACAATTTGACATCACGCGGTTTAGTGTGGTTTTATAGTGATATCTTATGCCGTTTTTTTTATAAAGGCATCTTGAAAACGTACATATTTTGAACTCTACGTGACTATGAAACCACACTTTGGCAGTCTATCCACTGGAGAGGAGAGGAGAGTGGAACGGAGCTGCCGCACCAAGCCAACAGGATTACTTAAATTCTCCGCTTCGCTACAGTGGAAAAGATGCGCACTAGTTTAAATTTTAATGCAAAGCGCGTATGTGGAGCGGGGAAGTGGAAATACAGGGTCGCGGTATTACGAAGTTTTATTGGTTGCTTATAACGCGTCTCGTCTCCGTTCTGGTGTGAAACGGCCCACACTCCCACACCTCGCTCTACTACCTCGCTCCGCAGTTTAAATCTTGCCTTTATTGATCTTCAGCTCTTCAGCACAGGACGTAAATGCTGCAACATGTCATCTTGCGCGAGCGTACCGTTAACGGTTGAGGCGTAGAGGCTGGCTTAGGTGAAGCTTTGGCTTTACTCTTGACTAAAACTGAGCGGAGAAGAGACGAGTATAGAACTTATAATGCGTCTCGTCTACGTTCTGGTGTAAAACGGCCCTTACTTCTGCTGCGTCGCTCTGCTCGAATGGACATACTTTAAGCCTTGCCTTTGTTGATCTTGAGCTCCTTCAGTACAGGCCGTAGGCGTTGCAGCATGTCATCTTGCGCGGCCACAGGGTTGGCGACATTAGCGTCGTGTCCCGCGTAGGTGAAGCTTGGCTTTTGCGCGATTTTAGCTAAAGCTGAGCAAAGACGAGACGAGTAAATAACGAAGTTTTATTGGTTGCTTATAACGCGTCTCGTCTCTGTTCCGCTGGAAAATGGCCCTTACTTACCCCGCTCCATTAATTCACTAAGGCCTTTCCTTTGTTGATCTTGAGTTCCTTCAGCACAGGCCGCAGGCGCTGTAGCATGTCTGCATGTCATCTTGCGCGGCCGCAGGGTTGGTGGCGGCAGCATCGTATCCGACGTAGGATTTTATGACTTTAGCGTAAATTAGAGCCACGTTGACACGCTACAGCTGATCGAAGTCGAGACGAGTAAATAACGTTTGCTTATAACGTCGTCTCCGTTCCCTACTCCCTTATCCCGCTCCGCATCAATGGATGGATTTAAGCCTTGCCTTTGTTGATCTTGAGTTCCTTCAGCACAGGCCGCAGGCGCTGCAGCATGTCATCTTGCGCGGCCGCAGGGTTGGCGGCATTAGCGTCGTGTCCCGCGTAGGACTTTATGACTTTAGCGTAAGTTAGAGCCATGTTGACACGCTAATGCTGAGCGGAGACGAGATATAATAACATTAGATTGCTTGCTTATAGCGCGTATCATCTTCGCTTAGTTGGAAAATGGCCCACACTCCCTCCCTCACAATAACAACGCTCCGCATCAATGGATGGATTTAAGCCATGCCTTTATTGATCTTGAGTTCTTTCAGCACAGGCCGCAGGCGCTGCAGCATGTCATCTTGCGCGGCCGCAGGGTTGGCGGCATTAGCGTCGTGTCCCGCGTAGGTGAAGCTTGTCTTTGGCGCGATTAACACGCCAAAGCTGAGCGGAAACGAGACGAGTAAATAACGAAGTTTTATTGGTTGCTTATAACGCGTCTCGTCTCTGTTCTGATGTAAAACGGCCCTAGTCCTACACTCCACTCCATTAACATTTCCCTCTGTACCTTAAGCCTTGCCTTTATTGATCTTGAGTTCCTTCAGCACAGGTCGCAGCCGCTGCAGCATGTCGTCTTGCGCGGCCGCAGGGTTGGCGGCATTAGCGTCGTGTCCCGCGTAGGTGAAGCTTGGCTTTTGCGCGATTTTAGCTAAAGCTGAGCAAAGACGAGACGAGTAAATAACGAAGTTTTATTGGTTGCTTATAACGCGTCTCGTCTCCGTTCCGCTGGAAAACAGCCATACCCTTACCCCGCTCCATTACTTCACTTAGGCCTTTCCTTTGTTAATTTTCAGCTCCTTCAGCACAGGCCGCAATCGCTGTAGCATGTCATCTTGCGCGGCCGCAGGGTTGGCGGCATTAGCGTCGTGTCCCGCGTATGTCCCGAGCTCGCGGCAGCGGTCCATGAGCGCGCGCCACTTGGCGTCCCGTCCCAAGCATAGCGGGTTGCCGATTATGATCGCCTTGGCCTTGGCGCGGGTTATGGCTACGTTGAAGCGCTGGAAAAGAAGATTTTGGTTAGCTAATCTGCACATTGGTGGGGTGATTGTTCTGAAAAATTCTAGTTTGTCTCGCGCCGGTCGAGTTAACTGCGCACCAGAAATCGTCACATCGACGCTCTGATACGGTCGAGGCGGATAAGTTGGAAAATTCTCATTCCATTGACTTAACTTAATTGACTTTCCATTTGACCTGTATGTGTACTTATATTCAGCTCACGGAGAGCAGATATTACTATTGCTTGCTGGAAGGAAAGTGACTTGTTATGCGAACATTATGTACTACCTTGTTATCAACAAGGAAGCCGAGCTTATAGACTAAGAGCTAGTGAACGCCAGACCTACGTCATTTTATAAAAGCTGAAAGTTTGTCAGCGTATGCTCCCAATATAGGATAGAATGTTAGTGAATCATGAAGTTTGGGTCATCGTCAAATAATAAACATAAAAATCAGATTTTAATAGGTATAACGATATAACCAATAAGGCATAAATTCAGTGAACCCACCATGTCATCAACNCTGTTCTGATGTAAAACGGCGCTACTCCTACACTCCACTAACATTTCCCTCTGTTCCTTAAGCCTTGCCTTTATTGATCTTGAGTTCCTTCAACACAGGCCGCAGACGCTGCAGCATGTCATCTTGCGCGGCCGCAGGGTTAGCGGCATTAGCGTCGTGTCACGCGTAGGATTTTATGACTTTAGCGTAAATTAGAGCCACGTTGACACGCTAAAGCTGAGCAAAGACGAGACGAGTAAATAACGAAACTTTATTGGTTGCTTATAACGCGTCTCGCCTCCGTTCTGGTGTAAAACGGCCCTACTCCTACACTCCACTTCACTAGCATTTCGCTCTGTACCTTAAGCCTTGCCTTTATTGATCTTGAGTTCCTTCAGCACAGGCCGCAATCGCTGCAACATGTCATCTTGCGCGGCCGCAGGGTTGGCGGCATTAGCGTCGTGTCCCGCGTAGGATTTTATGACTTTAGCGTAAATTAGAGCCACGTTGACACGCGATGTTGAGCGGAGACGAGATATAATAACATTAGATTGCTTGCTTATAGCGCGTATCATCTTCGCTTAGTTGGAAAATGGCCCGCACTCCCTCCCTCACAATAACAACGCTCCGCATCAATGGATGGATTTAAGCCTTGCCTTTATTGATCTTGAGCTCCTTCAGTACAGGACGCAGGCGCTGCAGCATGTCATCCTGAGCGGCCGCAGGGTTGGCGGCATTAGCGTCGTGTCCCGCGTAGGTCCCGAGCTCGCGGCAGCGGTCCATGAGCGCGCGCCACTTGGCGTCCCGTCCCAAGCATAGCGGGTTGCCGATTATGATCGCTTTGGCCTTCGCGCGGGTTATGGCTACGTTGAAGCGCTGGAAAAGAAGATTTTGGTTAGCTAATCTGCACATTGGTGGAGATAATGATTGCACCGATAAGTTCTCAGAGAGGTTTGTCTAGCGAACAGTGAAATCTGGTTTTGGGTAAATCCAACCCTGTCGACGTCACATCGACGCTCCAGTACGGACGAGGCGAACATGGAGAGGTGTACGGGTACGGAGTAAGTGAGAGGGAGAGTCGCATTCCAGCAAGGTGCGGTTAACTCGATCTGGTAGTAAGAATCAAAACCCAGCGGGATATTCATCCACTTTTGGAACTATCCGTTTGACCTGTATGTGTAGTATTCACCTCACGGAAAGCAGATATTACTATTGCTTGCAGGAAACTGACTTGTTCTGCGGACTTTATGTACTATAAGAGCAATAAGGTATCAATTCGAGTGCACCCACCTTATCATCAACAAGGAAGCCGAGCTTATACTTGGCGTCGTGGTCGAGCAAGCCACAACTAGCGCGCACGGTGGAAACGTCTATGGCACACTTCTCCTTGGATATTGAGTTCTATTTCAAGAGCAATAAGGTATAAATTCAGTGCACCCACCTTATCATCAACAAGGAAGCCGAGCTTATACTTGGCGTCGTGGTCAAGTAAGCCACAACTAGAGCGCACGATGAACAACGTCGATGGCACACTTCTTCTTGGATATTAAGTTCTATCTCAAGAGCAATAAGGCATCAATTCACCCACCTTATCATCAACAAGGAAGCCGAGCTTATACTTGGCGTCGTGGTCGAGCAAGCCACAACTAGCGTTTACGGTGGACACGTCGATGGCACACTTCTCCTTGGATATTGAGTTCTATCTCAAGAGCAATAAGGCATACATTCACCCACCTTATCATCAACAAGGAAGCCAGGCTTATACTTGGCGTCCTGGTCAAGTAGGCCACAACTAGCGCGCACGATGAACAACGTCAATGGCACACTTCTTCTTGGATATTAAGTTCTATTTCAAGAACGATAAGCAATAAATTCACCCACCTTATCATCAACAAGGAAGCCGAGCTTATACTTGGCGTCGTGGTCAAGCATTGTCTCGTTCTCCCGCCAAAATATGTCCAAGTCAAACCCCTGCTATTACAAATGACCATGACATTAGGTTTGTTTAAATTTGGTATCGCTTCTCGTTGGCCGTACTTTATTGCGCACGGTGGGCACGACGATCACTTGCTTATCCTTGGATATTGTGTATTATCTAAGAGCAATAAGGTACAAATTCGAGTGCACCCACCTTATCATCAACAAGGAAGCCGAGCTTATACTTGGCGTCGTGGTCAAGTAAGCCACAACTAGCGTTTACGGTGGACAAGACGATGGCACACTTCTTGGATATTGAGTTCTATCTCAAAAGCAATAAGGTACAAATTCAAGTGCACCCACCTTATCATCAACAAGGAAGCCGAGCTTATACTTGGCGTCGTGGTCAAGTAAGCCACAACTATCGTTTACGGTGGAAACGCCGATTGCACACTTCTCCTTGGATATTGAGTTCTATCTCAAGAGCAATAAGGTACAAATTCGAGTGCACCCACCTTATCATCAACAAGGAAGCCGAGCTTATACTTGGCGTCGTGGTCAAGCAAGCTACAACTAGCGTTTACGGTGGACACGTCGATGGCACACTTCTCCTTGGATATTGAGTTCTATCTCAAGAGCAATAAGGCATAAATTCACCCACCTTATCATCAACAAGGAAGCCGAGCTTATACTTGAAATCGTGATCTAGCAAGCCACAACTATCGTTTACGGTGGAAACGCCGATGGCACACTTCTCCTTGGATATTGAGTTCTATCTCAAGAGCAATAAGGTACAAATTCGAGTGCACCCACCTTATCATCAACAAGGAAGCCGAGCTTATACTTGGCGTCGTGGTCGAGCAAGCCACAACTAGCGCGCACAGTGGAAACGACTATGACGCGTTTCTCCTTGCCTTGGAACGCTTCCACAGTGCCCACCTCCAGGGTCTTCAGTCCTTGGCTCAGCAGCCAGGACTTAATCTTATACACCTGGAATGTTAACACAAGATATTCATATTAAAGTCAACGAAAGCTACATAGAAATAAAACATAATTTGTGGTAATTTGTTTGTTTTACATTTAAGTTGTAAAAATAAAATCATTAATAATATGAACATTAAACTTTAAAAAAATATGACGTCACATTAACGTATTTCCAAACTTCTTCTTGTTAAAAGGGTCAATTGATTATGAAAGTGTCCAAATGCCAATTATTTGATGGCTGATGCATGAATTAATAGGAGTGTGTGCAAATCGAGGTGTTAATATAAGAAGAAATTATGAAGATATATCGGAAAAATATAAGACGCCATAATTATTATCTGAAGATAGCATCGATGTGTCGCATACAAAGTATAAATATGTACAATAGAAATCCAGAACCAGAAAGTGAGTAGAAAGAGTGTCATAATAGTACAAGTTTTACAAAACAATAAAACTTGTATTATTGAGCAGAGACGATGCACAGCATCTGGTGAGAGATGCGTCTACTTCCGGTGTAGTTTTNGTGCTACTTGTCTAGGGGGGCTGGCATTACTAATCTAAAACTATATTAAAGATAACTTTAATTTTCTTACTAAGCATAAAAGCTTAACCAATTTCACTTCCTGATAAAGGCCTTAAACCCAACAGTAGGTATCTAAAATGTGACCTTTACGAGGCTTCTCGCAGACTAGCTTATGTATATTTCTCTCCTACCATCTACATCAGCTGCTGACATGATAAAACATAGTCTCACCTGAATAATTTCCTGAATAAACCTTGACCTACGAGTAAGTTCGGCACCGTTACGGCATCATACAAACAACTGGAAAAAATGACAACAAATCCCAAAAAACAACATAGGTATGCCCTTGTTACGGTTGTGTAAGTTACTAGAATCAGGCGAGCAGAGGCGAACAGCGGAATATAATAACACATTATTTATTTATTTTTCAACACCAAGTGATACTAGGAATCTACATGGATAAAAACAGTATAAAGGTTGTTGGATTTAGAACCTCTCTTGGCATTGTTGACTTCGTTGTGGCATCTTTAATTTGGGTTGATATTTAGCCATAGATGAAAATATTTGATGAGATATTGGCGTAGGCAGAACAATAATAGCAATATTATAAGGCAGACACTTTTATTAACTGATCTACGACCGATACGCCAAATGACATATTATTTAATTAATAACTTTCAATCAACAGATCTAAAGCATGTTTGATACTCCTCAATCACATCGTACGCCTGTAATTTAAACTTATGTTGATGACTCGCATGAATCTCACTGCCATGCGAGCAAATTATATCAATACACACTCAATCTGCATTCTAATGAGGAAAGAATTTCTGAATTCAGTTCAGTAGCTTTCCAGTTTATTCATTTCAAACATACAAAAGTACAAACCCTCCTACTTTGTGATATAAGTGCTGCTCTCACTGGGCATTTAGAACAAAACATGTTAATACCCTGAAATTAATCATGTTCTAATCTAGTTCTGTTACAGAAACTCGAAAACTTTCATCACATAGCGCCATTGGTAAGTAGTCACCAGGAGCTAATAAACAAATCTCTCACCAGATGCTGTGCATCGTCACATGCCGAATAATAGTACAAGTTTTACAAAACAATAAAACTTGTATTATTGAGCAGAGACGATGCACAGCATCTGGTGAGAGATGCGTCTACTTCCGGTGTAGTTTTTTACCTTTTTATACCTTAAATGACGTCATTTCCGCAATTATTTAATAGGAATTGATTTGACTTACTTCCGTTTGCCGCCATTTTAGTCACCTGGGGGCGAGCTTGCTCGGAGTTCTTCATAGAGAGCTCACCAGGAGGCCTTCTTGGGATGCTGTGCATCGTCTCTGCTCAATAATACAAGTTTTATTGTTTTGTAAAACTTGTACTATTATTCGGCATGTGACGATGCACAGCATCTGGTGAGAGACTTGTTTATTAGCTCCTGGTGACTACTTACCAATGGCGCTATGTGATGAAAGTTTTCGAGTTTCTGTAACAGAACTAGATTAGAACATGATTAATTTCAGGGTATTAACATGTTTTGTTCTAAATGCCCAGTGAGAGCAGCACTAATATCACAAAGTAGGAGGGTTTGTACTTTTGTATGTTTGAAATGAATAAACTGGAAAGCTACTGAACTGAATTCAGAAATTCTTTCCTCATTAAAATGCAGATTGAGTGTGTATTGATATAATTTGCCCGTATGGCAGTAAGATTCATGCGAGTCATCAACATAAGTTTATAATACAGGCGTACGATGTGATTGAAGAGTATCCAACATGCATGCTTTAGATCTGTTGATTGAAAGTTATTAATTAAATAATATGTTATTTGGTGTATCGGTCGTAGATCAGTTAATAAAAGTGTCTGCCTTATAATATTGCTATTATTGTTCTGCCTACACCAATATCTCATCAAATAATTTCATCTATGGCTAAATATCACCCAAATTAAAGATGCCAGAACGAAGTCAACAATGCCAGGAGAGGTTTTAAATCCAACAACCTTTATCTGTACACTTTTATACTGTTTTTATCCATGTAGATTCCTAGCATTACTTGGTGTTGAAAAAAAAAAAATAAATAAATAATGTGTTATTATATTCCGCTGTTCGCCTCTGCTCGCCTGATTCCAGTAACTTACGCAACCGTAGCAAGGGCATACCTATGTTGTTTTTTGGGATTTGCTGTCATTTTTCCCAGTTGTTTGTATGATGCCGTAACGGTGCCGAACTTACTCGTAGGTCAAGGTTTATTAACTTAATCTTGAAATTATTCAGGTGAGACTATGTTTTGTCATGTCAGCAGCTGATATAGATGGTAGGAGAAAAATATACATAAGCTAGTCTACGAGAAGCCTCGTAAAGGTCACATTTTAGATACCTACTGTTGGGTTTAAGGCCTTTATCAGGAAGTGAAATTGGTTAAGCTTTTATGCTTAGTAAGAAAATTAAAGTTATCTTTAATATAGTTTTAGATTAGTAATACCAGCCCCCCTAGACAAGTAGCACTTTTTGATCGAATCGAAAATTGGATACGTTATAACTTCGTATAGAAAAAAGAAGGCTAATCGACCATCCTTCGACTGGTTTGCGATTTTAAAGTAAATTTTGTCTAGACCCACAGGGCATAAAGGTAGTAGAAGAGTAGATAAACGATTTAGTCTAGCAAATAAATCTTGCTGTCGAGCTTCAAGAGGTAAGTATATAGCTACGACTGTTTTCCTTAGGCCATTAGTTTAACCACCAAGGCCAGGTTATTTTATAAGTTTTTAAAGTGGATTTTTGCCAGGTATGTTTTAGGAACGATACCTTATTACCCCCAACTCAACATACTAAAAAGTTACATGTTACCTGATCCTGACGTGGAGGTCACCATGTGGTAAGAACATGGTGGAGATTCTGTATTTTGAGGGTCGGTCTCGAACCCTAAGAAAAGAGCTAAGAAAAGCCAGAAAGGTCACTTCGAGGTGCTAAGCAGGTACCTTTTGCTGTAGTGAGAAACGGGACAGCAAAGATTTAGCCTAGTTTACCACCATAGCCACCCTGGTTGAAGTCGTTGCAAAGGCTGCTGGTGAATCTCTGTGGGGTCTCTGGATATCCAGTTTCCCGAACTTTTGGAATATTTACCTTTGGATTTGAACCCAGGAGATGCCACTAAGTAGGTTGTTTTCCCCGTAAATCGACCTAGATCGTCAGATAAATTTGATTGAATCGACCTGGGAGATAATATTTTGCGCTGCCAGAGCTATTTTTACCCGACTGAACCGAAAGGGGGTGATGTTTTTCAAGTTGAAAAGTTAGAGAGACAGTTCCAATAGAGGCTCTGAATGTGCCCCTTCCTCCCTTAGTTTCGAGTATAGGCTATGCTTTGATTGTCCGATAGCAAAATTAGTGAACGCACATGAAATGAATGAAAGAATGAGAAATCCCCCATCGCTGATTATGATTTCTGATATTTTGCAGACATCCAGATTGTTGTTAAGAGATGCTGAGCTGGAGTCTTGTGTATTGAATCGGTTGTGTGGGGTCGAGTTGTAATGTGACGAGCCCTCACTGGAGATCAAGCTTACCATTATAGGCACTTGTTGAGTCGTATAGATTTCGTATTTACCGACTAAATCCTTAGAGATGACGACTTGTTGAAACTGAGTTCACGTAATTGACAAGGTTTAAAGTGTTCCCGAAGATAAATGTTACACACTAACCTTCCGTTCTAGTAGTTGCTGTCTCGTCTGGTTTGTCAAAGGTGACGAGGTTTAGTAAGTAGTTTGTGATTGTATTAATGTTTTTCGGTATGCAGTAGAGAACGAGAGATTGATAATTTTAGGGTACCTTGACAAGACATGCGGAGAGGCCGGCGGTGTCTCTGTGATCGGTATCTGCATCCAGATATAGAATTTAGCATTCAACTACTTCAGATCAGATCAATACTTACATACTTGTATCTACTGATTAGAACGTTTAATAGAATAGGTTGTTTGGTCTGTCCTTCTTGCGAAGGAATATTGTGAGGAGCAGGCTCATGCTGAGCGGTGCCTTATCTGGTAATTTCAGCACCTGTTTTAACAGGATTTCGGTTTATTTGGTCAGCGTTAGACAGTCAAGAGTGTTAAAACGCTGAATAAAGCACGGCGTTGAAGGGACAAGCACCGGCTTGGAGGTGAATGGCAGACGCATCCCTGGAACCATTGTCAGGTAACAGGTTGACCTCCGCAGTCTGATGACGCCTGCCACTGCCTAAGATACGCTCAAAGGCAGCCTCCGTAGAATTTGCTGAGTGGAAAGTCACTTGACTTTGCTATTCTTATTTGGTCAGCGCTAGACAGTCAAGAGTGTTGAGACGCTGAATAAAGCACGGCGTTGCAGGTGCAGGGGCAAGCACCGGCTTGGAGGTGAATGGCAGACGCATCCCTGGAACCATTGTCAGGTAACAGGTTGACCTCCGCAGTCTGATGACGCCTACCACTGCCTAAGATACGCTCAAAGGCAGCCTCCGTAGAATTTGCTGAGTGGAAAGTCACTTGACTTTGCTATTCTTATTTGGTCAGCGCTAGACAGTCAAGAGTGTTAAGACGCTGAATAAAGCACGGCGTTGCAGGGGCAAGCATCGGCTTGGAGGTGAATGGCAGACGCATCCCTGGAACCGTTGTCAGGTAAAAGGTTGACCTCCGCAGAATGATGACGCCTGCCAATGCCCAAGATAGGCCGGTATCATTTGACTTATTGGTCGTCAAGGGGACCTGAAGGGACTGATTTGGAATCCTTGGCTTTTTGTTCTAAATCAAAGGGAGTTATTTTGAGGCTTATGTATTTGCTTTAAAGATAATAAGATGTGTAGGTAAAGGTTACTTACTTATTAGTATTTGACGATTTGTAAGAACTAATTTAATCAGTCTAAGCAAATAAAGATATTATTATGTTTTGATTTTGCTTGAAGTGACCGGCTAGAGAACCAAGGTCGGATTATTTTTTTGATATCACCAGTACGAGCACAGGGTGATTTTGCCGAACAAAAATCCAGCACTGGGAGGGTGCTCCTCGCACAATGCTTATTAGGAATTTTAGCCAGAATACGCTCGTGACATGTTCAAATTCAAATTCAAAAACGTTTATTGCATTTCACATTACAATTTATATGTTGTTGCAAAATAAAAGTATACATGTTCGATGCACTTAGCACATTTTTTCATACTTATTAAGCTTCTTGATTTGCAAAAAACATTAGAATTTAATAATTCAAGCTGTAAGCTGGCTCAGTGTTGGGGTTGGCCACCCAGTCTACTAATAGTTGTAGTTTAAATGGGTATTTATTAAGAAACTCGTACCAGAAAGAGTTATCGTTCGATTGTGGTGATGCTAACAACGTATTTTGATTGGTAATGTTTGCGATTGGGGCTGACGGGGCCGCCGTTAAAATTGGATAAGATGGTTGTGGGTACGTTATTCAATCTATTAATACAATATAGAGATTCGCGAGAATGCTCATTTGATCGAAAAGAGTGTTAAAGCTATCAGAATCCCACGTACCTCGTTTCATCCGTTTTGAATCTCGCCGGGGTCCGAGTTTCTCCGGTATCCGACGCTCTGGGTCCACCTGCTCGTCGTCCGGAAGACACTCGTCCCCTTTTGCGCCAACCACCATCACGTACATGTCGTTCGTGGTCACACACGCGCGGTCAATTGCACTTTTTAATTTTAAACTTAGTATAAGAACCTTGAGAAATAAATTATTTCAGTAAAAATCTGAGCAGAGTTTCTGCTTACGATGTTGCTAGTTTGGAAGTTAAAGACGCTATGAAGAACTCCGAGCAAGCTCGCCCCCAGGTGACTAAAATGGCGGCAAACGGAAGTAAGTCAAATCAATTCCTATTAAATAATTGCGGAAATGACGTCATTTAAGGTATAAAACGGTAAAAAACTACACCGGAAGTAGACGCATCTCTCACCAGATGCTGTGCATCGTCACATGCCGAATAATATAATATTATTCATGGCCGGTGAATTGAAATAAATAGTTGTCGATTTTACATTGCTTATGAACTATTATTTTATGTACACTGTTATTCATCTAACATAATCTGAGGTAGATTTTATTACGTTATAAAATTTACATAAGAATGATCTTTTTTGCACACACTTCCGTACAAAAGAAAGTTCATATTTGATTGTTGAAATATATCTCACGTGTACAAAGTCACAGGCACTGCTAGTTATCTAATATATGTAATAGAGATTTACCTGGCGAATGTAAGGCGTCACTATGCCAATGTCTTCTGGCGGTATTCCGTGTCGTTTTAACAGTGCTGTTACGTACATCTGTACTATCTCAAATTCCATGTTGTTAAAGTAGCTATAAAAACCAACACGCGTTAACATTTTATTCACAAGCAGAATCAACCCACACCATTCAAGGTTAAATAATTTAACGATGAATATATCAATACTTCCTGACTGACAGAAACAGGAATCTGTGTTTTATTTATATTTGTGTTCAAATTTGTAAGACAGTACGTTAAGGTGGAAAGTATTGATAGTTCAACGTAGATAAGAAAGGAAAGCATGGTGCTGAGTGCTCATTAAAATTGTTATTATAATAATTTTAATTTGATTAATGATACAGTAAAAACCACGCACCAAAAACCACGCCAAATATTAAGAATTAAGACAACGTGTAATGTAATGAAAATCTTCGGGCATGGGAATAAGGTGAGTTTTAGATAAGCAATTATTACGTGCATGCATTAGCAGAAAGAAACGTCTATGGTTAAAATAATGAAAACTTGTTATTCCTAACCTGGGTGACTTGCCCATTTTTGATTCTTGTGAGAGCACTCCGTGGAACACAATGGCTCGGCTTTCCTTCTTCTCGCCCAGAATGTCGACGTTGCTTATCTTGTCCTCAATCGCTAAAGCCTGCAAAATGTTATTTATTAATTTAATTGTATCAACTCAGACAATACGTAAATTACAGCTTGTTATGGGATTATCGAATACAAAGGTTACTAGGAAATTAATTGACAAAATGTAACTTAAGTAAGCTATATCATTAGAGCCATTTAAAATATAAAGAAATACATTACATAGAAGTGCGTGCGCAGCCTATATTGCCGTTGTCGTTGGGATACAAATACCTAGTTGCTCGAAAAAATGTTCGATTATTCCGAAACTCGATAAGAATTTTATGACATGACCACCAGCCGGGCTAAGATACGCGCCTTCGTGTCGATAATTTTAGACGTCAACGAGCTTATCGCGTTTGATAAAAAGGCGCGATAAACACTTATTACGGCGTGCATCCTAGGCCTACAGATCCCAATTTTTATTTTTTTATTAAGAAAAATAATATAAAAGTGGTAAACTGTAATGCATTCAGGACTCACCCGCAATTGCCCCTTGTAGAACAGCCGGTTGGGTATCTCCAAGATGTCGGGGTTGGAGCGGAAGTTGTTGCGCAGCATCACCGTGTACTTCGGATCCATGTCGGCCTCCTCCGTGCCGTATAAGGGACACGTCGTCATCAGGCGCTCCATCAGCGAGAGCCCTGTAAGAACTGTGTGATTAGATCCAGTTTCACGAGCATACGAATGTAAACATCAGGCTTTCCCAACCCTTCTGAACAGCGTTGAGATAACGGCCTACGCTAAAACTCGCGCGGGCCCCCCAAAAATACACTGGTCATCATAAAAATCGACCCACCCGCGACAAACACTTTCAAACGTATGCATCTCCACTTCCCACCAATATTACTATACTATATTACCATTTAAAAGCCTAGTTCTAAACTTCATTTCATTAAAGGAAAGGTTTTTACCCCAAAAATGTGTCTGTAGAAGAATCCAGAGTCACTTCTTCAAAAAATAGGTAGTTACGCTTGAGCCAATTTTTATGGCTTTAAAACTGTTAAGTTGGGATTAATCGCTATCCATCTGTTAAAGAGGACACGTGAGATCACTATTTGGTTTTATAACCATAAAAATTCGCCTAATTGATCCCAGAGGTGAGCCCAAAGTGAGGTCTTTTTTCAAGTTTTTCAAGTCACATTTATTGTATATGTTAATCGTTTATTAGTTTATTAGGAAATTAAATGTGTTTTTCTTTAAGGGTATTTATTGGGCTTTCATATAACACCAATATTGTTGGGGCACCATGATTGTGTCAGTAGAAACGAGTTTTCCTGTAAAACGTAGGTGGGCCGATTTTTGTGATGACCAGTGTAGTATGATTAGCGCAGTGTGGCGCGGACGCGTGTGACGGGATTCCCATACGCGTGGCAGGGGGGGCGCCAAATTTATTAACGTAGGCCCTAAGTGTTACCCACAGTGGGTCAAATCCTCTATTTGTCTTTGGTGAATAAAATAGAGCAGCTCCTGCAGTAGAGATTAAAATGATTGGTCGTAAACTAGCATGCTATATAAATCTAAAATGGATTTAAGGCACACGGATATGTGACACCTTATCAATAAAAGGATAAAGGTAGGGGCATGTCAATAATTTTAATTACCGAGTCCCTGCAAGCGCGCGTTGTTGGAAATAACCACAGGTCCCAGCTGCAATGGATCCCCTGCCAGCACAAGAGAGCCATTCTTCTCCAGACGACCAAAACACCGGGATGAGACAAGCTGACTAATGCCCGTTTTCACCATCAATACCTAATTTTTAAGTGACCCTTATTAGAACAAAATTCTTGGTTTGTGTTACCTTACTTTAGGGGCCACTTAAAATTTAGGGATTGATGGTGAAAACGGGCATAATTCACTGGCATCTCGTCACTACACGAGGGGATATATGTAGTTATAAGTTACCTAGCCCCTGCAATCGCGCGTTGTTGGAGATGACCATAGGTCCCAGCTGCAATGGATCCCCTGCCAGCACAAGAGAGCCATTCTTCTCCAGAAGACCAAAACACCGGGATGAGACAAGCTGACTAATGCCCGTTTTCACCATCAATACCTAATTTTTAAGTGACTCTTATTAGAACAAAATTCTTGATTTGTGTTACCATAGGGGCCACTTAAAATTTAGGGATTGATGGTGAAAACGGGCATAATTCACTGGCATCTCGTCACTACACGAGGGGATATTTAGTATTTATAAGTTACCTAGCCCCTGCAAGCGCNATTCTGGCGGATTTTCATTCAGCCGTATTCAATCCGGCTAAACGTTAATCCGCCGTATTACAAAACAGAGCTGTAATGCAAAATGCCTAGCTGTAATGTAAAACGGCGGATTATACAATCTGACTGCGACAAATATATCAATACTTCCTGACTGACAGAAACAGGAATCTGTGTTTTATTTATATTTGTGTTAAATTAAAAGTTGTAAGACAGTACGTTAAGGTGGGAAGTATTGATAGTTCAACGTAGATAAGAAACGTAAGCACGGTAATACTATCATACAGTATTGTAACTTCATATAAACGGACGAAACGCGAGCTTTCCTTCGAAATTCAAATCTCGGTATGCGCTCGACATGCAAAAGTCGGGGGTGTCGCGAATGTGCCACAGTAATAAACTGACGATGTGTTGTAAACAGTAAGTGTTGTTTTTATAAAAAATAATTACAAGTACCTATTTATACAGGGTGTTAGGTAAATGGGCTTATAAGCCGACACTACCCCATATTAACATTGTATGTAAATGGTATGGTGTAGTCAGTGAATCATTTTTTTTAATTTTCATCCCATCCCAACTAATATTATAAATGCGAAAGTAACTCTGTCTGTCTGTCTGTCTGTTACGCTTTCCCGCTTAAACCTCGCAACCGATTTTGATGAAATTTGGCATAGAGATAGTTTGAGTCCCGGGAAAGAACATAGGATAGTTTTTATCCCGGTTTTTGAAACAGGGACGCGCGCGATAAAGTTTTTCTGTGACAGACAAAATTCCACGCGGGCGAAGCCGCGGGCGGAAAGCTAGTACAAAATAAAATGTATAATATCAGATTTGTATAAAAATTAAAATTATTAAAATGCTGATATAAAATTTCTGACTTCACCATACCATTTATATGCACACCTTAACATGGGCTAGTGTCTGCTTATAAACCCATTTACCCAACTCTGTATATTAAATCAAGCATTTTGTACGCCTCGGTCGAGGAGCATACATTTTATGGTCGCAAAATTATAAGATTTGTTACTAAATCTTAACACAAATATTTTTTTTTAGTTAAATCTACTAATGACAAGACAACATGCATTTTTATACTATTTCATTCACAAAGTATTTTGTTTGTCAAAATAAAATAAAAAATTACAATCACAAAATACACTCACAAAACTAGATAGAAATTCTAACTAGGCAGATGTAGTGAAAATAGGGTCTGCAGGTGGGCAGCCCTATCGCATGTTGTCATACCGTGACGTATCGCTCGGCTGTTGACATTTATTTCAAAAATATGGCCGAGTTGGAATACTGTATAGATAGTATTACCGTGACGTAAGTATGGTGCTGAGTGCTTATTAAAATTGTTATTATAATAATTTAATGATACAGTAAAAACCACGCACCAAAAACCACGCCAAATATTAAGAATTAAAACAAGACAACGTGTAATGTAATGAAAATCTTCGGGCATGGGAATAAGGTGAGTTTTAGATAAGCAATTATTACGTGCATGCATTAGCAGAAAGAAACGTCTATGGTTAAAATAATGAAAACTTTTTATTCCGAACCTGGGTGACTTGCCCATTTTCGATTCTTGTGAAAGCACTCCGTGGAATACTATGGCTCGGCTTTCCTTCTTCTCGCCCAGAATGTCGACGTTGCTTATCTTGTCCTCAATCGCTAAAGCCTGTAAAATGTTAATTATTTTAATTGCACCTTGAAGTATGCATGAAGGAATTAGTTACATCTCAGTTACAGCTTAGTCAAATATTGTGAATCTTGACATAATTGAGATCACTATTGCCTGGTGTGGCAGGATGAACACGATCCCTATATAAATGTTGACTGCCAAACGATTTCTTCTGTTTAGCCGGCAAGTAAACTTTCAAAGAATTTAAGGAATTTTCCGACAGTTTACCTACGGGTTGGTAAACTCTAAATGTTATCATCAGTTATACAAGGCTACGCCTCAACGTAGGCTCTTTTGTGCTTCCTCTTTCTTTATACCCATTAGGTGAATTACGAAACTGTAAAGGGAGACAGTTCGTTTCAGCCAAATGACGTTCACTGCAGGACATAGGCCTCTCTCTAAGGATTTCCATAACGACCGGTCCTACGCTGCCCGCATTCCTTCACGTTCGCCAAAATGTAGACAAAGGGCTTAGCACACTAAACTCACAAGTTTACATCAAACCACAGAATAATAATAAGTACTACGTACAGAAGTTTTACTTCGCGAAGGTATTTAAAAATATGTATGCTCAATGTCATTAACAATATGGTGTAATTTAGCCTGTCTCAAGAGTCAAGCACCATTTTGTTGACAAACGTCAGTGATCGGCACTGCGCCGAAGCTATAGGGCTGACTTCGGTAAAAAGATGTGACGTGAGGTGCCAAACTGCGGAAAATGGCGGAGGAAATACCTACATGATTTAGCATGAATTATCATGAATAATATTAACTACTTATTTACCTCTCAGTGTTTTGAGGCAACTTAAAAAAGTACATTCTGTGTTTTTATTAGGCAGTTAAATACTGCACAGTATTTAGTTAGTACACCATTTTCTTTGTTTTCTTCCATCATACACAAGAATACGCGTGCGTGAGTCAATGTTCGCTCGTATTTGAGGCCTTGTCTAATAGTATCCTATAGGTGGGCCATTGTGCGTGTTTTGTTTTCGATGTAAATGAACAGGCCTGATCAAACGTCGACACTGTGAGCGCGTAAAAATGACATTAAATGACGGATTGCACAGCGCCCCTAGCGGAAACATTGAAGAACTAAAATTTTCATACATTTTTTTAACGCGCTCACTAGGGACGATTTTTGATGTAAACTCACACAGCCCTCAGGACTCACCCGTAGTTGCCCCTTGTAGAACAGCCGGTTGGGTATCTCCAAGATGTCGGGGTTGGAGCGGAAGTTGTTGCGCAGCATCACCGTGTACTTAGGATCCATGTCGGCCTCCTCCGTGCCGTATAAGGGACACGTCGTCATCAGGCGCTCCATCAGCGAGAGCCCTGTAAGGATTGTGTGATTAGATCCAGTTTCACGAGCATACGAAATGTAAACATCAGGCCTTCTCAACTAGGCATGGGTCGTACTTGCTAACAAGGACCAAGGCGCCCTTGTACCTTATAGTATAAAAACCAGAGCCAAATACCAGGTATTTACCATACTTTCAAGTATTTTTTGAATCGTTTGAAAATGGACGCTATATACTATAAAATAAGAAACACAATCGCAAGTAATCATGATCATAATATCTTTATTGCTTTATTAAGTAAACAACCAAATACCTTAAAAACGTTATGTTTTGTGGATTAATGCGCGGGTCATTAGTTCATAGTCATAATAATGCACTAATGCTCACAGTTTAAGGACTAAATTCGGCTAGCGAACCTAGTGGCGCGGGGTGACGGGGGCTCTCCTGACACATTTTGACGCCGTCCCCGAGCACTCCCGAGTAAGCCCGAGTCAAGCCGACCTAGCTAGTCCCGGTCGGTCGGTAGAGTCGCGGGGATAAAGTTAAATACTTTGAAAGTATTTTGTTGAATATTGATCTCTAAAACTACTAGGCTAGGGTTTAAATTAAAAAAAAATACCATGAAGGTTTCCAAGCGATTGTATTCCTTATTGTAAAGAAATAAGTCTAGTATTGGGACGTATTTATCTTCGTACGGGGCCGAGACGAACTGAGTGCGTCGCGTCGTGAGTAAAAACCCTTGAAGGTGTTGCGAGTATTTGGGGCTGGAACCTGGTTTACGCACTTGGAAGCTGAAACCTGGTTTTAAAACCTGGTCGCGTAAATACGCACCACCTCTATTCTCAACCCTTCTGAACAGCGTTGAGATAACGGACTACGCGGTAAAACTCGCGCGGGCGCTCCCAAAATAGTATGATTAGCGCAGTGTAGCGCGGACGCGTGTGACGGGATTCCCATACGCGTGGCAGGGGGGGCGGAAAATTTTACGTAGGCCCTAAGTGTTACCCATAGTGAGTGGGTCAAATCTTCTATTTGTCTTTGGTGAATAAGATAGGGCTCCTGCAGTAGAGACTAAAATGATTGGTCGTAAACCAGCATGCTATATAAATCTAAAATGGATTTAAGGCACACGGATATGTGACACCTTATCAATAAAAGGATAAAATTAGGGGCATGTCAATAATTTTAATTATCGAGTCCCTGCAAGCGCGCGTTGTTGGAAATAGCCACAGGTCCCAGCTGCAATGGATCCCCTGCCAGCACAAGAGAGCCATTCTTCTCCAGAAGACCAAAACACCGGGATGAGACAAGCTGACTAATGCCCGTTTTCACCATCAATACCTAATTTTTAAGTGACCCTTCTTTTTCTTCTTTTTCAGCCAAATGACGTCCACTGCTGGACAAAGGCCTCCCCCAAGGTTTTCCACAATGAACGGTCCTGCGCTGCCCGCATCCATATCCATATCGCATGCGGACGATATCGTAGTCATGGCTGAGACCTTGGAGGATCTAGGCACAATGCTCGATGGCCTCAGTAGAACCTCTCAACAAGTGGGCCTCAGAATGAACATGGACAAGACAAAAATCATGTCAAATGTCCGTGTTGCACCCACTCCTCTGAAGGTTGGAGACTCTACACTCGAAGTTGTTGACAATTATGTATACCTGGGACAAACAGTCCAGTTAGGTAGGTCCAACTTCGAGAAAGAGGTCAATCGTCGAATCCAACTCGGATGGGCAGCGTTCGGGAAGCTTCGCCATATACTCACGTCCGAAATACCGCAGTGTCTTAAGTCGAAAGTATTTGACCAATGCGTGTTGCCAGTGATGGTATACGGATCTGAGACGTGGTCGCTTACTATGGGCCTCATAAGAAGTGACCCTTATTAGAACAAAATTCTTGGTTTGTGTTACCGTAGGGGCCACTTAAAATTTAGGGATTGATGGTGAAAACGGGCATAATTCACTGGCATCTCGTCACTACACGAGGGGATATATGTAGTTATAAGTTACCTAGCCCCTGCAATCGCGCGTTGTTGGAAATGACCACAGGTCCCAGCTGCAATGGATCCCCTGCCAGCACAAGAGAGCCATTCTTCTCCAGAAGACCAAAACACCGGGATGAGACAAGCTGACTAATGCCCGTTTTCACCATCAATACCTAATTTTTAAGTGACTCTTATTAGAACAAAATTCTTGATTTGTGTTACCATAGGGGCCACTTAAAATTTAGGGATTGATGGTGAAAACGGGCATAATTCACTGGCATCTCGTCACTACACGAGGGGATATTTAGTATTTATAAGTTACCTAGCCCCTGCAAGCGCGCGTTGTTAGAAATAACCACAGGTCCCAGCTGCAATGGATCCCCTGCCAGCACAAGAGAGCCATTCTTCTCCAGAAGACCACACATCGGGATGAGACACGCTGGTTCGCTCGCCTGCGCCGCCTCGTCGATGAACAGATGCGTGATCGGATGCTTGTTCCTCATGACTCTGAACTGCCTGCAAATTCGAAATTCGACGGACTTAATAAAGAGGCGACAGTAGGCCAAGGATCGGTATCGGTAACGAACGTCGATACAAGATTCGAGAAACGATAGTTCGAACCCCACCAACCTGAATCTACAACATAAATATGAAGCTTATTGTTTGTAATAGTAATAGCTAGTAATTTGTTTACAATATTTAATTTTTCACATAAAATATTTTTAAAACTTAATTTTGAAAAAAAATCACTTCTGGATGCGGGCATTGCAGGACCGGTCTCTGGGGATTGTGGAAATCCATAAGAGACCAGCAGTGGACGTCATTAGGCTGAAAGAAACGAATGAATTTCATCCTCGCAGAACTTACCTGACATACTTGGCGGCGTGAGACAGCGTTGCTATGATGATGCGGTAAGACAGAAACTCGTCAACGGACACATTTCTGAAGTTGAAAAAGTCGGAACCGTTCGAGAACTTTATCAGGCAATCGGGCAGGGTCTCCCTGAAAACACACAAACAGGTGCTGCAATGAGGGCTATTATCNTTTATTTAAAAAAAAATCACTTTTGGATGCGGGCATTGCAGGACCGGTCTCTGGGGATTGTGGAAATCCATAAGAGACCAGCAGTGGACGTCATTAGGCTGAAAAAAACGAATGAATTTCATCCTCGCAGAACTTACCTGACATACTTGGCAGCGTGAGACAGCGTTGCTATGATGATGCGGTAAGACAGAAACTCGTCAACGGACACATTTCTGAAGTTAAAGAAGTCGGAACCGTTCGAAAACTTTATCAGGCAATCGGGCAGGGTTTCCCTGAAAACACACAAACAGGTGCTGCAATTGAAAGTCTAAAAATATTTTGAATGACGTCACTTGTTTATTATCTTGATTTCTGAAATTTTGCGCCGACATGACGTATTTGAGATGACAATGTATAATCATGTCATGGAGCTGATCTCATGCTGTACGGTGCATGCATGCAAGTATTTGTATAGTTGGCAGTCTGCACACAACTATGAAAAACTGCGTCAGCCATGCAAGCTTAGGTAAACTAACTGAGCTTATTAGCTCTTGGTCTGCAACTGACGTAATGGAGTCAAAGTCATATGGACTCTTTAGATGTTGTTCAAAAGCATGGTTTAAAAAAAATGTTATCTTTTATTAAACTATTACTTACCACACTCTGTACTTAGAGTTAGCGCGCAGAAGTAGGTTGTGCGGGAACATATGGGTGTACCGGATCAGCATCGTGGCCACGTGATCCGCCGCCATGTTGGAATCCGTGCAAACCAATATGCGGTTTCTATTGTCTTTATTGACAAGCTGAAAACAAACCAGAGTTTATAACAATTAACAATATTAATTGACGTTAGCATTTCTTATTGTCGCTCAAAGAGAGATAGGGCCATCAACACATCTTTTTGCGTAGTCGCGCTGACATGATCTTTTTGTTTGGCTTGCAGACATAAAAATCTAGTTTATTTGATATACGTGTATGAACTTGAATGTGTATTGTGTAATGTGTTGTTTCTGTATTCAAATACTACATCAGTGTGAGCGCCTCAACTTTCGTTGCCTGGCCTATATCGAAGATTACTTTTTGGAGTCTGTGGTATCCAATGACATAGAGGCGCGTCAATTGCATTAGATAGTGCAACACTGAGTACAGTCGTACCTGTGTTAAATTAATAGGCTAACTTTATGTATCAGGATTCAGGATTACGGGCTAATTTGATATTTTCATAAATTAACGAAAAAATATTATTATAGGTAACCTGATTTAAATAAATTAAATGAAACCATCAATCGTCCTAGTAAGATTTATTTTATTATTCATCAATAATCAAATTCAGAACTTGAATATTCAACTGCAATGTCTGCTCATGAACGCTTCAAACTCGGTACTTCTTTCCCAATTCCATAAAATTCAACACTTAGAAAGTGACAAAAAATGTTAAAATAGGTAGTTGAAACAAACCACAGCTAATTTTCATAGTGGACTGTACTATACGATAAACATGTCAGTCAATTTGACAACCTTTGTCGGAAACATTATTCAATGAAAATATTGTCCGAACTCTTAGTATTTCTCTTCGACAAATACTTTAACACATTGTGAACCACTTTTCTTTCACGACTATAAAAAGATTTTAGCAATTTAATTCACAAAATCAATTGCACACATTTAAAATAAAGTTTGTTTACACTTTGACAGCAATAGACTGACATGCAAGGTGACATGTCAATGAAGTTTTCAGTTACTGTTGCCATTATAAGAAATTAGTGCCATTAGTTTTCCGCAACATGTCGAGGGTTTTTATGTTCCTGGTCGGGCTATAGAAGCTTTAAAAATCATAAATCATCAGAAATCACTATCTTAAATAGCTTCAAAAAATTTGCAAATTGTGACTTTCCGCTCTTCCATTGGAAAGGAACGACCCGATCCCTATCATTTGTCCCCCATCATCATCCCTACGCCCGTATTCACAAACATTACTATGGGGTCTTTCAGTGCGCATGGACGCCCTGGGTGAGACACGAACCAATCACAGAGCTCTATTCAACGCTGTGCGTTCGATTTGCTGCTTCACTTAAGCAAGCATCGTTTGTGAATACGAGGGTTTGTCTCTTAAGCTTCGACCGCACCAACGCGTGCAGATCGCCATCGCCGGCGCGATCATAGGGAAATGACAGGTCGCGTGAACTGTCATGGGTCGCGCGACCTGTCATAGTCACGTTCGAAGCTGTGATAATGTCATATCACAGCTTCGAATATGGTTGAAGCATTAACCTCTGTCTGACCTGCAGTATAGCCTCGACGATGGTGACAGTCTTGCCGGTGCCAGGCGGCCCGTGCAGCAAGTAGGGCGCCAGGCCCGCCGTGCCCGCTACTATATGCTCGACGGCCAGGCGTTGCTCGGGGTTCTGCTCCACGAGGAGGTTGTAGTAACTGTTGCAAGAGGAAACAAATTAAAGACAAACAGGTGTAAACAACACAAACAGTATGGAAATATTAAGACCGTCGCTGTAAATACTCGTACTTACAGGTCAAAGGACCTGCCAGCTACACTATAGTTCCAAAATACTGGACTGTCCTGTCGATGACATTGACAGTGGGGCGCCACCGTCAATACCGGATCGCTGGTTCAGATTTTTGTCATGTTGGAAACCATATACACACACCGGCAGATTTAGCGGAACGCAAAAAAAAGTATGAAAATAAGGAAAATTACTACTGATCTATGAAATATTTATTATACAAAATAAAGAGATAATTAAAATAAAATAAACTAACATATATTTTTTAAATATTTAGTCGTTTTTATTTAATAAAAAATCATCGAAACGAAATTTCAATTTTTCAGTTTTGAACAAAAATTAGAAATTGTGGCCAGATTAAAAATTAGGGTAGCTTATCACTATCCAAATGAATGAATTAATGATGGGTATTTCCCCCTCTTGCTCTGATGATGGTTTCCATTCATCTGAGCATGCTGCAGTTAATGATATGAAGGGTATTTTGGGGCAATGTCTGCCATTCCTCTAGTAACGCGTTTCTCAACACCACCGGTGGTATTCTGAGTTTAACACATCTTTTAAGAAAGTCCAAGACATGCTCTATAGGATTCTTGTCTAGGGATCTTGCCAGCCACTGCATCATGGGTATATCCAAATGGTTTAGATGTGCCTGTACTGAGCGAGCACTGTGAAAACGAACATTATCGTGAATTAAACTAAAGGAGTCCACAATAAATGGAGTAAATGGCACATCATGTTCTTCTAAAATGTTCCTAGTGTACCATTCAGAAGTCGTATTTCCTCCATCACCCACCACTAACTCCGTGCGAGCTCCCAAAAAAATCCTTCCCCACACCAGAATTAAGCTACCTCCATNAAGTGACTCTTATTAGAACAAAATTCTTGATTTGTGTTACCATAGGGGCCACTTAAAATTTAGGGATTGATGGTGAAAACGGGCATAATTCACTGGCATCTCGTCACTACACGAGGGGATATTTAGTATTTATAAGTTACCTAGCCCCTGCAAGCGCGCGTTGTTAGAAATAACCACAGGTCCCAGCTGCAATGGATCCCCTGCCAGCACAAGAGAGCCATTCTTCTCCAGAAGACCACACATCGGGATGAGACACGCTGGTTCGCTCGCCTGCGCCGCCTCGTCGATGAACAGATGCGTGATCGGATGCTTGTTCCTCATGACTCTGAACTGCCTGCAAATTCGAAATTCGACGGACTTAATAAAGAGGCGACAGTAGGCCAAGGATCGGTATCGGTAACGAACGTCGATACAAGATTCGAGAAACGATAGTTCGAACCCCACCAACCTGAATCTACAACATAAATATGAAGCTTATTGTTTGTAATAGTAATAGCTAGTAATTTGTTTACAATATTTAATTTTTCACATAAAATATTTTTAAAACTTAATTTTGAAAAAAAATCACTTCTGGATGCGGGCATTGCAGGACCGGTCTCTGGGGATTGTGGAAATCCATAAGAGACCAGCAGTGGACGTCATTAGGCTGAAAGAAACGAATGAATTTCATCCTCGCAGAACTTACCTGACATACTTGGCGGCGTGAGACAGCGTTGCTATGATGATGCGGTAAGACAGAAACTCGTCAACGGACACATTTCTGAAGTTGAAAAAGTCGGAACCGTTCGAGAACTTTATCAGGCAATCGGGCAGGGTCTCCCTGAAAACACACAAACAGGTGCTGCAATGAGGGCTATTATCGTTTTTATACTTAACAGTTGGCACCCCTGGCGATTGACAGGACCTTACTCTACAGTGGCGCCATCTTGATGAGTGCAAATGCGATAGTCCTCCTACCACTTTAGCGCTCACCAGCTGGCGCCACTGTCTTCGCTACTAGCAAGTGACAGGACCTTACTCTACAGTGGCGCTAGCTGGTGAGCGCTAAAACGATAGCCCTCATTGAAAGTCTAAAAATATTTTGTATGACGTCACTTGTTTATTATCTTGATTTCTGAAATTTTGCGCAGACATGACGTATTTGGGATGACAATGTATAATCATGTCATGGAGCTGATCTCCTGCTGTACGGTGCATGCATGCAAGTATTTGTATAGTTGGCAGTCTGCACACAACTATGAAAAACTGCGTCAGCCATGCAAGCTTAGGTAAACTAACTGAGCTTATTAGCTCTTGGTCTGCAACCGACGTGATGGTGTCAAAGTTGGTCATATGAACTTTTTAGTTGTTTACTTTTTTTAATGTTATCTTTTGTAAAATTCTTACTTACCACACTCTGTACTTGGAGTTAGCGCGCAGAAGTAGGTTGTGCGGGAACATATGGGTGTACCGGATCAGCATCGTGGCCACGTGATCCGCCGCCATGTTGGAATCCGTGCAAACCAATATGCGGTTTCTATTGTCTTTATTGACAAGCTGAAAACGAACCAGTTTATAATATTAACAATATTAATCGACGTTAGCAATAGGTCGCTCAAAGAGAGATGAGGCCATGAACACAAGCAGAGAGTTGTATCTGTAGGCATTGTCTGTATACGTTGTCTGCGCTAGCATCTTGCGTACTCGGGATGACAAGTGCTTTCTGTCTCGCTAGCAGACATTCAACAAGAGCGAGGTATCTAATGTATTCGATATTTGAACTTGAAGGTGTAATGTGTTGTTTGTGTTCTGTATACAAATATTATTTATTCATAAAATCTTATCACATAATAAATAGTGGCGTAATAGGCGCGTTTAATGCCATGTGGTATTATCTTCCAGCGAACCAGGAAGTTAGGCAAAACAGAGAATTTATTATGTTTTCGTCTCAACCTTCGTTGCGCGACCTATATCGAAGATAACAAATGCCAGTGCAAAGCTGTTATAGCTCTTTAGTACCTTATAGCCTGACCAGGAACATAAAAACCCTCGCCATGTTACGGAAAACTAATGGTACTAATTTCTTTTAATGGCAACAGTAACTGAAAACTTCATTGATAATGTCACCTTGCATGTCAGTCTATTGCTGTCAAAGTGTAAACAAACTTTATTTTAAATGTGCGCAATTGATTTTGTGAATTACATAGCTAAAATCTTTTTATAGTCGTGAAAGAAAAGTGGTTCACAATGTGTTAAAGTATTTGTCGAAGAGAAATACTAAGGGTTCGGACAATATTTTCATTGAATAATTTTTCCGACAAGGGTGTCAAATTGAATGATATGTTTATCGTATAGTAGTCCACTATGAAAATTAGCTGTGGCTTGTTTCAACTACCTATTTTAAAGTTTTTTGTCACTTTCTAAGTGTTGAATCTTATGGAATTGGGAAAGAAGTACCGAGTTTGAAGCGTTCATGAGCAGACATTGCATTTGAATATTCAAGTTCTGAATTTGATTATTGATGAATAATAAAATAAATCCTACTAGCTTGATTGATGTTTTCATTTAATTTATTTAAACCAGGTTACCTATTAAAATATTTTTTCGTTAATTCATGAAAATATCAAATTAGCCCGTAATCCTGAACCCTGATACATAAAATTAGCCTATTAATTTAACACAGGTACGACTGTACTCAGTGTTGCACTATCAAATGCAATTGACGCGCCTCTATGCCAGGATTTTTATGTTCCTGGTCAGGCTAAAATTTTTTTATTTATTCAAAAGCCTTTAAAATTAGAAATCATCATAAACAACTGTTTTTTAATGTGGCTTGACTCCTCCATTTTAAAGGATACCCACCCCTGGCATAGGTTCCTTAACCTCTGAGCCTGTAACTAACCTGCAGTATAGCCTCGACGATGGTGACAGTCTTGCCGGTGCCAGGCGGCCCGTGCAGCAAGTAGGGCGCCAGGCCCGCCGTGCCCGCTACTATATGCTCGACGGCCAGGCGTTGCTCGGGGTTCTGCTCCACGAGGAGGTTGTAGTAACTGTTGCAAGAGGAAACAAATTAAAGACAAACAGGTGTAAACAACACAAACAGTATGNGTGTAGTTGAGCGATGGTAGCGCCCCCCTGTCATTGAGTTTGGTGGGACAGTTCAGCGTGGGTCAGCTATACTACTGTTTTTCGTCTTACACTCCTAGCTCTGTTATAGTTCCAAAATACTGAACTGTCCTATCCATGACATTGACAGTGGGGCGCCACTGTCAATACCGGACCGCTGGTTCCGATTTTTGCCATGTTGGAAACCATATAGTTGAACGATGGTAGCGCCCCCCTGTCATTGAGTTTGGTGGGACAGTTCAGCGTGTGTCAGCTATAAATCCGTCACTGAGTTCAAATGATAAGGTTAGCGAACCTTGTCTGTCAAACTGTCAACAGTTTATTGGGAAGATTCTGGTATAGATGACCCACGCTGAACTGTCCCACCAAACTCAATGAAAGGGGGGCGCTACCATCGTTCAACTATATGGTTTCCAACATGGCAAAAATCGGAACCAGCGATCCGGTATTGACGGTGGCGCCCCACTGTCAATGTCATGGATAGGACAGTTCAGTGGGTCTAGACAAAGTGCAAATTATAATCGCAAACCAGTCGAAAAGTGGTCGAAAAGCCCCTTTTTTGTATGGAGTTTTGACGGATTCGATTTTCGATTCGATCAAAAAGTGCGTTTTGTCTAGGGGGGCAGTATGTTGGAACTTTAATCGCCACTGAAGTCACAGGAAAAAAAAACATAGAAAATAAAAATGAGTTTGCTTTTTTAAATCGAGAAAAATCTCAGAAAAGCAAAATCTGAAAAAAGAACATTAAGAACATCCTCATTTTCTGAGCCACAGAAAAAAAAGGGGAAAAAAAAAGAATGGAGTCGATTAAAAGCTAAAAAGGTTTGCTCACTTCTGGATAGACTTCGGCTTAGGAACTTTTCGGGTAGCTGGCTGCGGGAACACGCGCGCCTCGTGGCCGTGTTTGACGACGCTGTGCACGGCGCAGTGCATTCGCTCCAGCGGCATGCGAGACATGAAGAAGCGCACGTCGTACTTATAAGACGGCCCGTAGTACTGCCAGAACCTACGGAATTTTTATATTATAATGGCGACCAAGGGCCGATCAAGTGTTCAAGTCTTAGCAACAGTAGCAACTGCAACGCGACTGCTACGCCAACCAATGACAGCGCCGCGTTCAATTACAGGTGGCGCTAGTTTCCTTACACTTTTCGTAAACGCGTTGGAATTATACAAAAAGCAATCGGTTGCTAAGACAATAAAAGGAAAGTTAGTACAGACAAAGTACCTTACACTCAGTGGACCGACCATCTGGTTAAGATCAGCATTGTAGAAATCCGCGAAGGAAGCTTTTGTCCAACAGTGGACGGAATTAGGTTGAAACGAATGATAACAGTTATTCCGGATTATTTTACCAGTGGGAGCAAAATTGTTCGGTTAGATTAGTAAAAGGGCTATGCAGCGTTAAGAAATACACGTTGTACTTCTATGTCAACCATATTGTCCACGAGTAATGTTAATCATTCGTTTCAAACAAAGGACGTACGATTATACTAAATTAATTCGAATGTAATTTATGTTTTGGAGTTAAAATTTTCAGGGAATTTTCCCTTCTCTAATGGAAAACTAACAACAAACTTATTTAACAATACCTTTATTTTTTAGCTTAATAACAGGATAAATATCCTGTTATTCTCTAAAGAGGAAAACAAAACACGTTTGAAAGTAAATAAAAGATTTAACATTAACTTACTGATCATCGAGTCCCCTAATGTGGATATAATTCTCGAGTATCTCGGATATCACAGCTTCGAACATGAAAGCGTCCGTTTGTTGTGGTTTTACAAACACCAAGTCACCTGTAAGAACATTATCAGAGTAAATACAAATTCGGCGCACCACCCCGCTAATCCACGCTAAATTTTGTTAGTGTGTGTGTGCGCGCCGCATACGTATTGGCGCGCTCACATACAAACCGAGCTCGGTGCGTTTCTATGAAAATGACCTACTCATTAGTTAGGCTGAACAGTTTTTGTTGACATTTAGTATGGAGGTAGCTGGCACCATGGACTAACATTTATTGTCTTTGTAATTCGCTTAAGTATCATTAACCCTTAACTAGGCTCAAAAAAGTCATTGGTATTCAACCATATCTTCACAGCAGCATAAAGTTCAAATTATTTTCAAACATGTAAATTGTAAAATGGCTATTGAGTTTCTTAATAATAAATAAATAAACGTATAGATAAGCTCCTTTTTACCTGACTACCCTAAAAGGAGGGTAATATTTTAGTGTATTAAACTGCGGGTAGTCTGCGACGAAGAGGGCGGTACAAAGTTCGCCGGGTAAAACATACCTAACAGCAAAGACGGACGTTTTTCTGCCAGCCCCGGCACAAGCAACTTCAAAGCGTCGCCGCCAACCCTTTCCAAAGTCACTCCAGTCATGTTGTACTTCTGGAAAAAGGAACTTTAATTATATCATTTTAAGGTCGATTTTCCTACGTCAAGCTTCAACTTGTAAATAAGATTTTTGATAACAAAGTGGGACTAAATGAGTAACAAACATCCGTGGGAGTGGATGTTTGTGTTTATTAATAGCATAGATAGTATGCTTCTACAAATTGAATTGCGAACAAAGAGACATGCACAGTGTGTTAGGTAGGTACAGTCAGCGTCAAATAGTTCGTGTCATCCAAAGTAGCCAAAAAGTTCTCAGCATGTCTCTGTTACAAATTAGGAGAAGGTTGTGTTGTCAACTTTTTGGCCACTTTGAGTGTCACGAACTACACTCAACATCAAATAAATCGCACCCTCCGCGACGCGAACTTTAAAAATTTTCTTCGGACACAATCATGGTGCCCCAACAATATTGGTGTTATTTGAAAGCCCAATAAATAAAGTTAAAGAAAAACACATAGCAGGTACCATAAATGTGACTTGAAAAAAGGCCTCACTTGGGGCTCACCTATGGGACCAAGTGGACCAATTTTTGTGGTTATAAAACCAAATAATGATCTTACGTGTCCTTTTTAACAGATGGATAGCAATTAATCCCAATTTAACAGTTTTATAGCCATAAAAGTTGGCTGAAGCGTAACTGTCTATTTTTTAAGAAGTGTCTCTGGATCCTTCTAAATATACATTTTTGGGGTAAAAACCTTTCCTTTATTGAAATGATGTTTAGAACTAGGCTTTCAAATGGTACCAATGTCGGGATGCATACGTTTGATAATTAAGTGCTTGTCGCGGGAGGTGCGTTTTATTTGATGCCGAGTGTATTTGACGCTAACTGTACCTAATTATTAATACTTTTTTAATGGGAAAGAAAATTAGAAACCTTAAGGTTAATCCTGACGATTGTCTCTTCATACCACAGTAGATGGTGAAAGAATCTTATGTAATTATCTTGGGTGATTCCGGTTCTGAAGATATTCCTGAAAACACATAGTTTAGTTAGTAATTGGTCTAAGACTATGTGCAGACCACCGATTTTTAGTTGGGCGATAGTTGTACCCGATTTTAAATTGTATGAAGAATCGGCCAAATCGAATCGGCGTAATGTGCGCACTTCCATACATGCCCATACTGATCAACTGCCCGACTAAACTATCGGCCGACGAAAAATCGATGGTCTGCGCCTAGGCTAAGCAGAAAATTAAGTTTATATTCTTACAGTTGTCTTGATAACAATCCCTTCAACACTAAGTTTTTTTTGCTAGATCTAGAAATAAAATCTAAAGCTGTAGATGTATTAGCAAGCTCAGTAAAATTGAATTAAAAAAAACGGACCTGTAAGGCTCGTTTTCCATCAAGATGGAGCGGAGTGGAGAATAGTCAATCAGATTTCATTATTCAGTAAACCAGGAAATCTGATTGGTTATTCAAAACACTTCTCCGGGCTTAAAGCGTATCGCTGTGTGAGTCTACACTGAACACACGTATGTAAAACTAGCTTTCCGCCCGCGGCTTCGCGCGCGTGGATCCCTGAACCCTATTTTTTCCAAAATAAAATTTAGCCTATGTTACTCGTGGATAATGTAGCTTTCGAATGGTGAAAGAATTTTTAAAAACGGTCTAGTAGTTTTTGAGGCTATTCATTACAACCAAACAAACAAACAAAGTTTTCCTCTTCATAATATTAGTGTAGACTGTAGATAGACTACATAAATAGAATCTTATACATAAATAAATAAATAAAATATATTAAAACGTGGTATACCGCCACATTTCCATACCTTATGTCCTCCGCCAATGACTTGATATTTTCAGCGGAATCTGGTTTTACTTTGAGTCCATGTGCGTATATTGTCTTATAATTCTTGGGGATGCGAAACTCGTCTTGGTTTTCGTTGTTGCTGTAATAAAATTATCATATATATATATTTTTATGTGACAGGTGGCAAACGAGCAGACGGATCACCTGATGGTAAGTGATTACCGTCGCCCATAGACACCCGCAGACCTAGGGGCGTTACAGGTGCGTTGCCGGCCTTTAAGGTGAAGATATGCTCTCCTCTTGAAAGCTTTCAGGTCATAATATAAGTTTAAGGTACTAATACTAACTTTCTTTCTTCAAAAATATTAAACTAGAATCCAGACAAAATACATAAATAATTTTACACAAAAAAATAAGCAATTACAAATGCCGCAGGACGCTACCAACCGGGCAACAAGGAAAGCATTGGGGGAGGCCTATGTTCAGCAGTGGACGTCCTATGGCTGAGATGACGATGATGATGATGAATTATAAATACTTACTGCGATTTAGTGGTTCTAATTAGAGTTTCCGCCATGACTGCTTTATTTGAGTAGGGGCTGTTAATAGTTTCATGTACGATGTTGTTCACTTCTACGTATACAGTCTGAGAATAAAAAAATACAGTGGTTATTTTACTAATACCTAGATCACACTACATGCCTAGAACTATAAACTAAATTAGACTTTAAATATGACGGTTAGCATACCTACCTCGTTACATATTAAACATGCATGATAAATTGTTTCTAGAAATTAAACAATATGTTCATTGTTTATAAATCGCTATATCAGATTATTGTTGCTTGTAAAACCTATAACACTAGATTATGCTCGCGACTTCGCTCGCGATCCTATACGAAAACTCAAGGTCACCCAAAGGGCGATGGAGCGTGCTATGCTCGGAGTTTCCCTGCGTGATCGAATCGGAAATGAGGAGATCTGCAGGACATAGCCCGCAGTATTGCTAAAATCAAGTGGCAGTGGGCCGGGCACATAGCTCGCAGAGCTGATAGCCACTGGGGCAGAAAAGACGACCACGGGCCGGAAGACGTAGTGTGGGCAGGCCTCCCACTAGGTGGACCGACGATCTGGTGAAGCTCGCGGGAGGTGCCTGAATGCGAGCGGCGCAGGACGACAGAATCCTTGGGGAGACCTTTGTCCAACAGTGGACGTCATTTGGCTGAAACGTATGCTCGCAACTTTGCTCGCGTGGATTTTGATACGTCATTGACAGTATTTAACACAAGATTTTTTTGCACTTACTAAAAATACTTGAATTTAGGTTTGAATTGTGCACTGAAAAGTTTAATGACTCTGGGATTATAGGCAAACATTTCCTAGTTGACACATGTATTGGAATTAAAGTTTTTGTGAATATCAAAATATCGAAATAATATTAAATTGATATTGAATACATACCTCAAAGAAATTACTATCGATCTTTAAGTATTAAAAATAACTTATAGTCCATTATATCACATAAACTGAACTTGCTCACTGTTTTATGATTTCGATGCAAATCCAACTGATTGAATGAAATTATTGAATTCGTATGAACGTCTGACAACACGGTAGGCGGTTAATGCCAGGTTTGAGCGGGACTTTCCCTGCTGGAAGTACCTACCTAGTTGGGTAGTTCTCATTAAAATGGACGGATACGGATACACCGGATACTACGACGTGCCACAAATAGAAAGTCGAAAAGCTATTTAATGATTTGTATGTTTTGTTATTAAGGATTATGATAACATTTTGTTAACAACCCTATAGTCACTGTGGGCTCTTTATAGAGATAAGCTCACCAGTACCTATTTTTATATTATTGGAATCTATTACTATTCAGAATCACTGATATAATAAAGATGAAGAGTTTGTTTGTTTGGTTGACCCGTTATCTCAGAAACTAGGTTACTGATACGATTTCAAAATTTCTGTTTTTTGTTGGTAAGGTTATCGAGGAAGTCTATAGCTTTACGTGCCATCAATAAAAGATGTTGAAAAAACAGGGAAAAAAATTTAAACGATTTTCACGCGCACGAAGTCGCGGGCACAGCTAGTCACCGATTAATGGAGTCGTTACATAGTCGTTAGAAATCCCACTAGAATCGATAATGTTAACGCTAAATTAGTGATCATGAGTTTTCAAAACAATATTATTATTTTCTTTAAAGGTTTCTCGATAAGTTTAGTGTAAGCCTAGGCGTAGACCATCGATTTTTCGTCGGCCGATAGTTTAGTCAGGCAGTTAATCAGTATGGGCATGTATGGAAGTGCGCACATTAAATCGGTGGTCTGCGCCTAGTATCTCTGTATGTAGGTACTTACTCGCAGTTGTATCAAAATAGTTTTAGGGTATTTACCTTTGCTTAAAACTAGATATGATTTATCGTGATCAAACATAGACAAATGTTTTTTTTAGCAACAATTTCAAGGCATTGACTCAGAGATTTAAAATGCCTTCATGAAATACGAATTTTAGGTTTTGCTTGAAGACTAGAGAATTGTAATTTTGTGGAGGTATGTAACTGTAAGTATATCAATCACGCCGACAAAGTGGGAAAATAAAATTATGGAAAATATTTTTAGGGTAGCTGACCCCCTACTTGTAACGTGGGGTGTTTTTTTTTATCGTGTACTCCATCGTTTGGAGTATCGTTCAATAGGGCCTTTAATATTTTTTGTTTAAGTAGGGGTTCCCCTCTCTATAAGCTGGACTATTAACTTGAAAACTCCGGAAAAATCTTTCCATGCTATGAACTTTTTTCAGTTAGTCAATCAGTTATGTACCAGAAAAATTCTTAATAATTGCTTGTTTTAACGTTTGACCTTGCATTGATAAAAAACATTTAAAAAAATAAAACTACAAGGGCTATAAAATAAACCCTTTCATTTTTTTTCTGCGCGTGACACGACACGCACTTGGCTGGTTCTTTCTTTTAATTGTATTTGTAATTACTTCGATTCGTGAAGCGATTTCGAAATTTTGACTGTCACAAATATCACTTTTTATAATTGTTTGTATAGGTAATCTAGCTTACGCATACTTACTTTGCAATTACAATTCCAATAAAACAGTTAAAACAAGACAATCAGATATTACACAAACTTCGCTATGCACAATTTTTACTTATATCAAAAAGTGATGATGACCAAACAAATTATTAAATTAATTTTAAACAGTTGCTATTTTTTAACAATCTAGGAATTAACTGGAACCATTGAATTTTCAGATAGTTCTAGTTTATTCTTTAACACAGGTTACCGATAACAGTACCAATAACAGTTATTGGTACTGTTTGAAAGAGCTCGTGAAGCACTTTCAGGATCGGTAACCAGTTTTTCGAAATTTTGTATAGTTTAGAAATAACTAAGGTCGCTTATTGTTTCCACCCTGTATAATAAAATATGACCTTACCATTTCCCTCATGAAGAAAACTTCATCATTTGGGGTATCAATATAACATGAGACCATAATAGGCATGTTGTATTCTCCTATATGAGGAGATTTAAATTTGACGTAGATCTCTTGCCTTAGTTTTGATTCTGTAAAAAATATAAATTATTTAAATGTATGATTTTTTTATAGCATCTTTAATAATAATTTTATTATCAACAACAAAAAAAAATTGAAGTAATCAAACCTAAATAATATAGAAACAATATAACTTAAATTAATAAGTTTATTTTTTTATCTGTAGTCTGTCCAAATGGCGAATATATTTTCATTTTGAAGTATCAAAATAACAGAAAGATCAGCTTAAATGACCTTACCTGGTGTTACGCAAGTCGGAGCACAGCCATACCCTAGATTATGATCATTCATTGTGAAGTTCAAGTTATTTGCAGGAACTTGAATGAAGTTGATAAATACGCAGCCATTGCTGTTTTCATTAGATAAATGAAAATAAAATTTCACCTCTTCGTTTGGTTTTGCCTGAGGATAAGAATGATAATGTTATGTAGACAATTTTGAAACGCAATGGTTAAAGGTATTCACAAATATCTGTGAAACCACAGTTCTGTTACTATGTTTGCTTCAGTTCCATTTCAGTACTTCAGCGTCAGTGNAGTCAGTGGTTAAATTCACACATGTCAGTATTCAGTACATGAAGCTTCATGATTGCCGGTGATGGATCTGACACTGAACTGAAAGTACTGTGTCGTTACTGACACTAACTAGTGTGGATAGGTCCATATTTTATCTATCAATATTAAATAATTTTCATACACAGATAAACAGTGACACAAAAAATAGGACAGAAATCAGCAGTTTCCACAGTTCGGTATACATACCGTTTTGAACACTTGTAGGATAGTTCGCAAATTCCTTCAGAGCGAACTAACCCAATAAGCCACAACAAATTGTTGCTCACTTGGCTTCGGCCCGTGAATGACATTAAATCAGATTCCAGTGGAAACCGTGCCTATTAAATATAGCAGAAAAACATAACAATGTTCTATAAAATGATACTCACAGATATCTGAATACTTTTTGCTTCGGAATCAGTAACAGTCATGACTGATGAGCTGACATTGCATTTAAATGCTATCCCTCTCTTATTACCACTCAACACTTTTCTGTAAGAACGATATTAGTTTTAAAATATTACAAGATGGATTCACGATTAAACTGAGTCACGTTAGTAATTCTTCTATTAAAAATTAAAGCTGCTGTTTTTTTATAGTCACTAACTCGTTAAACTCTAAAAAAATAAGAGTTATCAACCTAAGTAGATGAAAGATTTACAAAATAGATCAAAAACATTACCGGTAAAGTGAATATTCGTAAAGAGCTTTATTCTTTACATGCTTTCCAGTGACTTCATGTTCAGCTCCCACATAGTATTCATTACACAAAGTGCACCTCTGCATTTTTATAAGAATTTAAAACTTAAGCAATAAAATCCTACAAACAAAGGATGCGTAATTATTAATATCACACAGAAGAAAACATTTGTTTCTTGGAAGTTTTGTACCAAAATCTTCAGCATACAACGATATTTTGTGTTATAGTTTTTGTAAAATAAAAACTATAAACAAGCTACTACAACAACAAAAAAGCAAGCAAGCAGCCAAGCAAGCAGACAATGACATTTGACACTTGACACACAGAAATTGACAAGTTTGACAACAACAAATACTAGGGATGCTACGTTATAGATGACCCACGCTGAACTGTCCCACCAAACTCAATGACAGGGGGGCGCTACCATCGTTCAACTATATGGTTTCCAACATAGAGTTATTAACCCAGGAGTAGCAGCGCGCGTTTATTTCCATACAAAAAATTTCGCCATTTCCTGAGGGGACGAGGTAATGACATTTGTGTAACAGCTGATGGCGCTGGGACACTATCGATATTTTTGTCGATGAGAATCATTGCTCTATGGTTCATAGTCTATGGTTTTTGTTATAAATAATATGAATTAATTTATTATCATAAGGAAGATTCAATGTTTCAGATCTCTATTTACAGGAAAATACGCAGAAGTTTGGCATTTCTTCCTTAGCACCAATACGAATTGTGAAGTTTATGAGTTACATGAAAAAAAAAACTAACAAGCCATTTATTTATGCAAGTAGGGCTTTTAAAAAGCAATTTAAAACGTCCCAGTATTAACCCTACCACCATTACCCTACTACCCATGAAATAGGTACCTAATATTTATACAGCGTGTAACCTTTTGATATCCCATTACTTTAAGGGTTTATTCTGTACATAAAAATAATTTATAATGTCCAAGAATCATGTGTCCCAAAATGCATATTTTCGAAGATATCATCATTTTTAGTTCTTAAACTGTCACCGCTATGACTGGTTTTTATAATTGCGACGTTTAAATAATTACACTAGTACAGACCACAGTACAGTAAGTGTAACCGTTCCAATGCAACATGCGCTTTTATTTTGTAGGAGATAAAGACGATTTTTAAGTCAACATGTCGTGAGGTTTATTCTTCGTTTGTATTATTCATAATTTAAAAGAAATGTAACGGTGTTTTACATAATAGTCGTATTCTTGGCGAATGAATTTGCATGAAAAATGAAAAAGAAATAATGAATTGAAAAATATTAACTATGCCATTCGATCCTATTATGTGGTCGTATTAATACCCTAGAGTTATGGGATATCAAAAAGAAATATTTAATTATTTATATGTTTAACTTCTGATTTGGTTTGTGAATTAGCTATTTCGAAGAATTTACTAGGAGATTTAAATCAGGAGATAGCAATACTACAGTCCACACTAAAAAGAGAGGTCGGCCCACAGAGAGCGAGATAGAGATAAGTAGGTATTTGACTCAAGTTTTTGTTCCAAGTCTGGCCTCCATTTTTATCTTTAGCTTCATGGGAGCGGAGCAGTGGCGATGAGCAAATAAGGGAATCAGAGCCCCGATTACGGTAATTTTTAACGTCAACAATCCAGACACGCTTCTCGATTCTGCGATACGATTGGTCGTTCAACAGCGTACGTCAGCTGTTTTGACCAATCGTATCGCAGAATCAGAAACGCGTCTGGATTGTAGACGTTATAAAAGTTACCGTAATCGGGGCTCTGATTGGTTATTTAAAAACTTTTCTGCTCCGCTCTGCCTTAGTGTAAACCGGATCTTAGAGGATGAACAGGAGGTGGTATTTGGAGTATTAATTCTCTTTCAATATTCAATATTGAATTTCGACGTTGAGAAGGGTAGCTCAACGTCGAAATTCAACTTTAAAAGATGGTATGGAACTCTGTTTCAATTTTCTTTTGTTCGGTTTATACGTAAAATTATTTACAGGAGAAGTGCGACTCTTACATTTTTCTAACAATACAATCACCAAGTCGATGTCGATATCGATATTTCATATTGTGCTGTACCACACTAAAATTTCCGCTGGGTGGCCAGCGTATTGAAATAAAAATGTACACTTTTGGGTTACCAAACACTGACCGTACTATGTAATGATGAAATAGGCAGATTCGACGAACATTATTTTATTGTATTAATACAAACGTTTTGACATAGGATTTATTTACATTAATTAATTAGTATATTGACCAAATAAAAAAAAACTTTCTTTTCCAAATACTTACTTCCTGCCAATAGGTAGGCAGTATCAAATTTTTAACATAGAATTTCGAATATATTCGTAATTACACTATTCTTAAAAATATTACAAAATTAGGAATTTGTGCTTTCCAGTGGCAAAACTTCTTGAAATTTAGTTTTTTGCAAATTTAGTGTATTAATTAATGTAAAATAAATAAAATAATATTTACTGATGGAAGGTAATATTGTCCTTTTCAAGATTTGAAGTTTCAGATCTCTTTTTACAATAAAATACACTGCAATTCACCATTTTTGTCTCAGCACGTTACTCATCAATAGTGACATTTGGAATATGTCATTGGTGGCGCTGCAACTAGTTTTTATAAACTGAGTGAACCACTGGTCCACTCACATTGCTAGAGGGGATTGCCTGTCAGTTCCACTCCTGGGTTAATAACTCTATGGTTTCCAACATGGCAAAAATCGGAACCAGCGATCCGGTATTGACGGTGGCGCCCCGCTGTCAATGTCATGGATAGGACAGTTCAGTATTTTGGAACTATACTGATGATTCACATTTCTTCTTCTTTTTCTTTTTTGTTCTTGACAATACTCGTCGAGGCCGACTTGATTTGTGCCATTTTCATGTGAGTGTGGGACGAGTTATGAAGTGGGACCAAGTGGGATGGGACGGCAAGAAGAAGGTTGCTATCCCTCGATTTGTGTAGGTTGTTGAAACAAAAAAAAACATTGTTGAAAGGCTGAGTTGCACCACCTTAATTTAACAGTGTGTGACTGACTGACTATGACCATTAACCGGTGTTTTTTGTGTGGAGTTTGACAGACTTTTGACGTATGTTAAAATTAAAGGTACAAATTTGTAGATGGTGAAACCCAGCCTAGGTAAATTAAAGTGCAGAGGGTCTAGACAAAGTACACATTATGATCGCAAACCAGTCGAAAAATGGTCGAAAGGTCTTTTTTGTATGGTGGAGTTTTGACGGAGTCGTTAATAGATTCGATTAAAAAGTGCATAGGGGGCAGTGGAACTTTTTTAATATGGGTTGTACCTTGTCCCGCGGAAACGCGTATTTATAGAGGGACATGCTGTGGCAGCACTAGGTTGAACTCTATTGTCTTTGGTTTCAGGGTGGTTGTCATTATTGACTTTGACGTTGACAGAAATAAAAAGTGAAGAAGGAAGCAGCCTTAGGTTTTAATAATCTAAGGAAGCAGCACAGAACGCGAACAACCAGACAAAAAGAAAACCAATACAACTAAAGTACAATTTCTTAGACAATACTCTCTTTATTAGAAATCAACAATGTCTTACCAACTTTATAGAAATACCACAATCGGTAATACATTACAAGAAAGCCTCGACGAGCTTATACAGGTAAGTTGTATTGTTTATATTTCCGAAGGCTTGTTTATTAGCAAGAAAACTTGAATTATTTTTGGATTTGCATTCCAGTATGGCCAGATTACGCCAGCCTTGGCCGTAAAGGTGCTGCTGCAATTTGACAAGTCTATAAACCAGGCACTGTCCAACAGAGTTAAATCGAGGCTAACCTTCAAAGCAGGAAAATTAAACACATACAGGTAATATAATGTGGTATTTTGGTACATATTACAACTTAGTAGACCCTTGTGCTAATAAAGTATATAATGTGTACAATAATGTATTGCATTGATGGATAACATGATGCAATAAATGTTTATGACTGACTACTATTTTTTGTAACAAGTCCTATCTTTTATAATGGTTTCATTTCACTTTTCAGGTTCTGTGATAATGTCTGGACATTCATGTTGAATGATGTGGAGTTTAGAGAAGTGCAAGAAGTTGCCAAAGTAGATAAAGTTAAAATTGTAGCTTGTGATGGCAAAAGTAAGTATTTTTCTATTACAATGCCTATCGTTTTTATCAAAATAATATATTCATTATACCTCTCTTTTTTGCAGATGTTGATGACCGAAGATAACCAAAAGTGATAGTAAATATTAGTTATAATATTTCTCATTACATAATTCTGATCGCATCCAAATATTTGAATTTCTTAGTAAACTGATAATTTTTCCTTACCATGTAAATTGATTACCTACATAATAAATAAATTATTTAAGTGGCAAGTATTATCTATTCTTTTATTAGCTAGCTAGCTTAAAAACTAGCATTCTGCAGTATCTATGTCAGACCCTATAAGCCAGGGGTGGCCAACCGGTCGATCGCGACTATTAGTCCAGTCAATCGTGGCAAAGGAAAAATACTACATGATTGAGTACTAAACTGATCTACCACTTACATACATCTTGAAATCTTAAATGAAGAGATTTCAAGATGTATAGTGGTAGATCACCCAGGGTTTCGTCAGTAAACAGTAGATCTTAGGTCTACTCAAGTTGGCCACCCCTGCTATAGGCAGTTGTTTATTTACTCTGCCTAATGAGTAATGGTCAATCTCTAACCTCTTGATATAGCACTAGCTATGCCCCTAAATACATGGATATAATACAGTGTGAGTCACGTTAAAGTGTACATATGAAAATGGATGAAACTAGACCTATTTTTGTTGACAAAAAAGAGGTCAAAAAATTTTTAAGATTTTTTTTTAATTTTTTATCGAATTTTTTNTATATTCAAAGAAAGTTACTAAACATCTAACAACTAAAAATAGGCCCAAGGCCATCAAGTTTAGGCAGAGCCCAAAAATTACTTGCTTTGTTAATGTATTAAAATATTTCCCTGGTGACTTTATGTTGTTAATTAAGTATAAGTAATGATGAAAAATTCAAACGAAAGATAATGTTACTCATCCATTTATTCAAAAAAAGACCATAATCTAAACAATATATACATGATGTACCTAGTTTGTAACAGATCTGCAAAGAAAAATGATTGAAGAATAGGTAACCTAACTAAATTGCTATAATCATATCGAAATATAGATACAATACTAAAACAATCCAAAATAACACAGGTACATACTTAAATCATATTACAAAAATAATGTATCTAATAGAGAAATAAATACTTTGTAAATAAACAATTATGCATTTGTATCTTTTGAAAACTACACATAAATGGAGTAACTAATGTGTCCAATACAGTGAGACCATTATGAATATACTTATACCTTTGCCACAATTATATCTATCGTCAAAAAGTTTCAATTACAGTCTAATGGTAATTATTTGTGTTATGAAATTGTATATGATATGAAACAAAACCCGTAACAATCCACCACCTCTGACGAGATAAAAATAATGATTGATTCTTCAAATTGTCTTAGTGGCGATAGAGGTTTCCCAAGTAAGCAGGTGACACAGGGAGTAGAACAGTAAAAAAGAAAATATTATACCTTGTCTTGCATGAAAACTAAATTATAATTGAGCACTACTGATTGTAAAAATAGAAATATTGTCATGTTAGATTGAGATGAAGAAAAAAGAAGAAACTGAATAGTAGCAAATAAGCAATTTTGATATTGGTCAGTCTGCCAAATCAGTCCTATTGGTGATTCGTGAGCACTTATTCATTATGAATTGCTGCGCTAGTCAGATTAATTTACTGTGCGTTTAAATCATTATTGAACGTCAACATAATTATTCAAATCAAACTTATTACATTTCAATTAAACCTCAAACTACATACCTAGTATTTTTATGATAATTTAGGTACATTTACTGCATATTGTTTTCATACACATTCTACTGACCATTGCTGATAATACAGTGATAATAATAGTATACAGAATACCTTAGATTATCATATAATGAGTTTACCAGATATTTGTTACTTGGAATTGTATACTTTCATTAATGTCACATACCAAGAAAAAAATACAATTTTCAACATTTTATTTAGTGTATAATTGAATAGACGTCACTTCTAGTATTATTCATTTTATTTATGGTTATTTTATACATAAACATATTTAATTAAACACCCGTCTTATATCCGACGTGAGCCATGGTTGAACCAAAACATTAATTAAAATAATATCTGATTACAACAATCACATGAAAACACTTCAGAACCCAACCTTAAATAGAATTTAAGTCAACAACATAACAAAGAAACATTACAAAAATAAAGAAACTTTTTAAATTTGAGTCCCCGTCGGACGGTAGTTATAGAAACGTATAACCTGTCACGAAGCGACGCGCGCGCGTCAATACGCCGGGGCCGAAATGAGTCCGCAGTTAAATGATTAAGCAATAGCATCGCTTTTCTAATACACAAGTGTACGGCGACGCGAATAAAGTTAACATGCGTGTCAGAGAAAAATAATGTGAAATAAGTTTTAACACTAGAGTACACGCGCGGACTACTATAGTAGACCAGGGTAACATTTTACGCTATGACTTTTTGAAAACTTGCACCAGAGAGCTGGTATTCCAGGAAAGCCTCGTTTACTAAATTTGTCAGTAAGCCAGTAAAGCTTGGGTCGATAGAGTCTGCGCACTTTTCTAAAATTGGCAGTCAAAACTGCGGGTCTACTCAAAAGCCCGAAATCACTCGACAAAAAAATTATGAAAGACTTGCAACAAATGGATTTACACCGTGTACCAAGCCGTAGAAAGTCATGAATACTATGACAGATAAAAAACTAATCATATTTTTTCAGTAATTTTTTTTTTGTTAACATTGGTCTCAGAGTGCAATTTTGGTCCAAAAAATTTACAACTTTTAAATCTCTTTATAATGTTTGATCCCAAATAGTCACATAAAGAAACTTTCATAATAAAATAACAATAATAAACACTTTTATCATTTACATAATTATTCTATTCATAAATTGCTTACAAACTGATTTACAGTGATTTTAAATTGGCTTACCAGAGTAGGCCGCGCGTGTATTCGTGTAAAAATAGGGGCGCGTGTACTGCAGTGTTAATTACGTTAACACTATCGGCTGCGAAAGCGTACAGACATGTGCGCCACAGTAATTAGATAAGCATAATTATGTAGAGAAAAATGCAAATTGAGACGATTATAGCTTCACCCATAAACACTATTTGTTTTTAAGCAAATATAACTATTGTATTGATAACAGAGCAGAGTTCTGAACTACTGCCACAATGGCACAAACCAAAATTACTCTGTCGTAAACATCGCTACAATTTTCAGAAGCTACCTACTAAAGTTTATTTAGCTCGACAGTACTGCGATGAGAAGGTATATAACGCTGCTATTACATTGCAGACTCATATTAACAGAACTATCCAAAAACATCATCTACACAAAGACTTCTTTGTACAACTAGATAGGGTATATGAAATTAAAATCACGTCAGAACGACAATTTAATCTGTCAAAAAGCTGGTATGGCAATAAAAGTTGATTCACTATTGATATTTATAGATACAATATCAAAAGCACAAATCAATGTCAATGCAACTAGAAATGTAAACAAAAACAAATTCTTGACCATAATAAGGTTTAAAACATGGTGGGAACTATTTTCCCACTGCTTTTTAGAAGGTATTCTTTCAGGACAGCCTGTCTAGTTGTGCACAGAAGTCTTCGGTCGCCGTAGCCCTAGCATTGACGCGGCGCGTGCCGCTTAGGCGCAGTAAGATGGCGGCGAAGTGAGGTCCGCTAGCAAGTCTAGTTCGGCCTCGGTGAGCTGGTCGCGGTGCTTGGCCCAGTCGTCCTGGTGCGTGCGTCGGAAATCGGCTAGCGCTGCGCGGATCGTCGCCGGGATCGGGTCAGGCGCGTTCGTGTGACGGGCTAGTTCGGCTAGCACGTTGCCTGCGGAGTGAAAAGAATGGTTAGCGACGCTAGAACTAGTTTCATCATCATCATAATTTCAGCTATTCATAATAATAGGACGTCTACTGCTGAACATGGACCTCCCCCAATGATCGATTGGTAGCGGCTTGTGTCCAGCGCTTCCCTGCTACCTTTATGATGTCGTCGGTCCACCTTGTAGGTCGACGTCTCACGCTGGTTTATTTTTTACTAAAAATGCTTGTAATTTTCAAATGTTGCTAGATGGAGCCAGCAAGTGGCCTGAAGACGTGAGTAAGGTGGTTAGTTTAACAGGACCTCTTAAGCTATAAACTGGTGCGTTTTTGATGATTTCTTGAACGTATTCGAAGCGTTATATGTGGCACTAGCTTGGCAAGCTACCACGTGGTTTGCGAGGATGAAGGTTAGAAGGCTGATTAAAGACTACTATGCTTATAAATATGCTGCTGAGCTCCTGACAGTGGTGACATCGGCGGCGGCGCTAGGAACTACTGGCTACGGTGGCGCCCTTGGTGGCGGGGCTAGGAACTACTGGCTACGGTGGCGCCCTCAGCATCGGCGCTAAGAACTATTGGGCATGGTGGCGCTCTTGTCGGCTGCGCATGAGCCGCGCGATGGTGGCGCCCTCGTGGCGGCGCTGGGAACTACTACCGGCCGCGTGTACGCACCCAGCTTGGGCCCCAGGCTGTAGGGCCGCGAGGCGAGGTAGGCGCACAGCCCCGCATGAGCCGCGCGACGTGGCAGCGCTAGGAACTACTACTGGCCGCGTGTACGCACCCAGCTTGGGCCCCAGGCTGTAGGGCCGCGAGGCGAGGTAGGCGCACAGCCCCGCATGAGCCGCGCGACGTGGCAGCGCTAGGAACTACTACCGGCCGCGTGTACGCACCCAGCTTGGGCCCCAGGCTGTAGGGCCGCGAGGCGAGGTAGGCGCACAGCCCCAGCACGCCGCAGTGTCGCTCCAGCAGCGGCGCGGCGCGGCAGTTGCGCATGAGCCGCGCGATGGTGGCGCCCTCGTGGCGGCGCTAGGAACTACTACCGGCCGCGTGTACGCACCCAGCTTGGGCCCCAGGCTGTAGGGCCGCGAGGCGAGGTAGGCGCACAGCCCCTTTGTGGCAACCAAACCTCTCTGGGAGGTTTATTTCTGCCAATGTCGAGTGAAAAATATTGACATAGTTATCAATAGAACGTGGGTGTTTCAGTTCTATTGATTTTTCATGGATTCCGTGGAGTTAAGTATGCCCGTAAGCAGGTTTCGAGACGCCACCGGGTCCAAAGCGGGTTGTTCATACGACAACCCACTCGACACTCGATGCGCGCTCAAATTCGAAGTATTTCAATGTTTTTTATAATTTATCACTTCACTGCACTTTAGAACACAAAATAACACCAAATTTGTACACTAAAGTCCATTAAATAATAAATTGAAACCATTAAAACAGATCGACCATGCTTCCCGTTCAACTACCCTCCACGGAATCCTCTTGAATTCGGTCCAAATGCTGCGTGATTGATTTTTTTTGACATGACATTGACAGATATGTCAAAATCCACCAATCACGCAGCAGTCAGACCCCACATCCACGTCCCGCCATCTAGCGGATCTTTCATACGCGAAAACCCTCATTGGTGATTATGAAAAGTTCTCGCGGTGTAGAGCGAGGGTGAAGAAGGCAGTGGAGCTTGCTCATAATCGACATAAAGATATGGTGCAGTGTAGTTTAGAAAAAGATCCGAAGGCGTTCTGGCATTTCGTCAAAACAAAAAGAAAAAAAGAATTAATGACAACACTTAAAAATCAACCAACACTGTCCGTTTTCTCGAGTGCGATGTCTGCATGAGTATTAGAAATAAATAGACGACTGGAAATACCGAAATCGCCGTCATGTTTCATGCTAAAGTCCGGTCGCCGAGCACGTAGAATATTTTTTTTTATGTGACAGGATCACAGGAGGCAAACGAGCAGACGGATCACCTGATGGTAAGTGACGTCCAATTTCGTCCAATGACCCCAAGCTACCCATCCTTATCGCTCGCGCGTAATTATATTGTTGTCGCGACTATCGGCTGCAGTGAGTGTGCGAGCGCAACAGTAATATACTTACGCGCGAGCGATAAGGATGGGTAGCTTGGGGTCATTGCCAAATGTTTGTCTCGAAGCGCTGGTAGGGCCCAAAAGATTTTTATTATTTTACTATATTTTGACGAATTGGTCAATAACTAAATGCTCTAGCTAGTACACATACCTCGAGACGAGGATCCCTCATGAGCCGCAGCGTGAACTCCTCAGCCAGCACGGCGCGCTCGGGTCGCGCGCACAGCAACGGCAGCGCGTAGAACAGCAGCGGCTGCGCGAACTCCACGCTCGCCAGCCGCGCCCACCACGAGCGACCTGCGTGAAACGATCGTGAGCTTCGGTACTATTGAATATGTGATACGTGTACGGGCGATATAACGGGTTTTAGCAGATTGCTGTAATAAAGAACGCAATTTCGTCGTTCAGAGCGTCACCAATAAAGTAAGATACTCATACGAGTATTTGGGTAGTAGGTTAACAGTAAGTGCCTTTTCACACGTCCCGGTTGCCGGCTAACCGGCGCCGGGTACCCGGTCGTGAATGTATGGGCATGCCGGATTAATTACGCCGGAACATGTGAAAGCTACGTACCATGCCCATACACTTCACCACCGGATACCCGGCGCCGGTTAGCCGGCAACCGGGACGTGTGAAAAGGCACTAATTGTACGAGCACGATCGTACATCCTGCTGCACCGTCAGCATCGACCGCCGGGCGACCCATGAACCCTCAGCGTGCACCGTCGGCACTCTACACCGACGGCACACTAGCAAATACGTTTCATTGTGTACAGTAAATAACTTATGTATAAATAGCAATAGAATCATAACAATAAACAGATATCAACCGTCCGTCGTTGTGTCTCATTTCCCCCCGCTGCGGCCAAGACACCCGTAGTGCCTTTTCGCACGTTCCGGTTGCCGGCTATCCGGCGCCGGGTACCCGGTGGTGAAGTGTATGGGCATGGTACGTAGCTTTCACATGTTCCGGCGTAATTAATCCGGCATGCCCATACATTCACGACCGGGTACCCGGCGCCGGATAGCCGGCAACCGGAACGTGTGAAAAGGCACTTAGCCGTCGCTATGATCAGTCCGGTGAGTCTGCCGGGCTGGCAGCGGGTCCCCGCCGCCTACCTGCCGTCCTAACGCTGCTGCCCTGGGCGAGCAGCTTCCTTCCTATCACACCTTAATATGTCTAAGTATTTATTGTTAGGCAGGGCTAGTGCTCTAGGGACTTAGTGTCTTAGGGAATAGGGACTCTAGGCTCACTAGGGAGTTAGTTCCCTTCCTGACCGCATTTCCCGGGCACGGGAGCGGTGCCTTACAACCACTGCCTCCCGCCCGTACAGTAATTAATCAATAAGGTCACCAAGTGTATATTTATGTGAGTCCGGTTTGGACAGCCGATAAAAAATTAGGTATTTCAATTAAGTTGTAGTGTAGGCAGATTATGCGGAGCTAGCGAGGGAGGTACCTTGCGCGAGGCGAGCTAGGTGCTCCAGCGCGGCGTCCACGGCTCGCGGGTCGTGGTAGGCGAGCGCCAGGCTGGCCAGGAAGCCGGTGGCGGCGCGCGGCAGCTCGTCGTGCGGCTGCGGCGAGCCCTTGGCGGCGGCGGCGCAGGCCACGCCCACTAGAGCCTGTTGCGGGTGCACGCTGCCGTTCACGCCGCGGACCGTCACGCCCGTGCAGCCGCGTAGCACTGAAATAAAAGGTGATGTCACGCACGGAACATATCGGATGGAGTGATATGAAACATTGCAAAATGCTGATACCGAGATTAAATTTAAGGATTTAAACACAAATTATTAATAATTAACGGACCCGTCTTGGGATGAAGAGTACGACTACGCACTTAATCTGTAGCAATGTATCAAAGGTAGCAGGAACATGCTGGACGCAGGCCGATACCAATCGGTCAACATGGAAACATTGGAGGAGGCTTATGTTCAGCAGTGGATGTCCTATGGCTGATTCATCTGTAGGCCTATGATGCGGCCCGCGAGCAGCGTTTATAGCGCCCATACATTTTGATGTCTAAAATCATCGATAAGATTTTATCACAGCGTGCATCCTAGCCCGACTGGTATCATTCCCACCTGTGGTGAGCAAGTTGACTGCGTCAGCATGGGCCTCGGGCCCGGGCGCGGTGGCGTCGCCGGCTAACCGCAGCGCGTTGTCGAGTCGCGCGCCGAGCTGTTTGTCGAGTCTTTCGCCACGCGGCGCGTTCTCGGCTTCAGATGCCTCGCCGCCTCCTTCGGCCGCCTGGGAGAGAAAGTGAGTTAGAAGATGGTTACAGGCTCTGAAGTAATTCAGGCTGCAAAGTAACAAACGTTTAATTCCGGCTTTTTTTATGTAGTTGCTTGGTGAAGTGATTGCCAAATTAAAATTGTCACGAATGGTAATTTGTCTGGGGAGGTAGGACGCCTAATTCTATAGACTGTCGACTACAAGAAAAAGCAGTTAATGGATGAAGACAGCGGAAGATCGTGCTTTGTCGAGTCCTTTGGGAAATGTCATTTTCATACCCAATTCGTGTCAATATGTAACAGTTTCCTGCGGCGTGTCATCCTTAATGGGGTTGTCAGAGGAGTGAAGCGCCACATTCGCGGCCATAGACGCCGGCTATAGGATAGGATAGGATAGGTTATTTAGTTAGCTAAGCTTAGTTTGATAGAGTTGAGTTTGATGGTTTATATTGTTAAAGTTGCCATATACCGCGACGAGCTCACTCGGGGAGGTTTGTGTGCTGGTGTCAAAGGGACTACTATTAGTATAGTACCTGTGGCGCGTCATCAGCAATGTGGTTGTCTGGCGACGAGCCCCACTTCGAAGGCTAGAGGCGCCGGCGCAGTTTTAAGCTAGCTTTAGTGGGGTGAAAACAATTAAGATCGTTACGTGGCCTCCCCAAGTGACGCAACGATCTCCTATCCTATAACTGGGAGATATTCTGTATAGTTACCCTGCGGCGCATCATCAGCGATGGGGTTGTCAGGCGACAGGCGCGCCACGTCAACAGCGCCGGCGCCGGCGCAGTTTAAAGCTACTAAAGCTAGTTGGGTATAAACAATTGAAGATCGTTGCGTGTCCTCCAAGTGACGCTACGATGTGTCGCTGCTGTTAGCGGGCCACGTGCGCGGGCAGGTCAATGATCTCAGGAGTGCAGCTGGCAGTGGGAGTCTGACGTCATTCGTGTTAAACGGCGTTGTCTTAAGTCATTCATTAAATGTCAAACGTTATAGTTACCTGCGGCGCGTCATCGGCGATGGGGTTGTCGGGCGACAGGCGCGCCACGTCGTCGGCTAGCGGCGCCACGTGCGTGGGCAGCGGCGTGGGCAAGTCAATGACCTCAAGAGTACAGCTGGCAATGGGAGGCTGACGTCATTCGTTTCGAACGTCTCTGGCGCCGCCAGCGTACTTTAGCTAGAGCATTGGTGGAGTGAAAACAATTGAAGATCGTTGCGTGGCCTCCCCAAGTGATGCAACGATCTCCCGCTGTTTTAATTACATTAATTACCTGCGGCGCGTCATTAGCGATGGGGTTATCGGGCGACAGGCGCGCCACGTCAACAGCGCCGGCGCCGGCGCAGTTTAAAGCTACTAAAGCTAGTGGGGTGAAAACGATTGAAGATCGTTGCGTGTCCTCCAAGTGACGCAACGATGTGTCGCTGCTATAAGCCTATAGCAATGGAAGATCGTTGCGTGGCCTTCCAGGTGACGCAACGCTCACTATCTGCCGCTGTCAACAGTACCTCTAGTAAATGAAAAATTAAACAGCGCCCCCTATATTATAGCCGCCCTAGGGGGCGCTGTTTAATTTTTCATACAAAATTTTTCGATGACACTTTGAATACGCAACGAAACGAACTCGAAAGTTTTTCCTACTAGAGGTACTGGTATTAGCCACGTCATCAGCGCCGGCGCCGGCGCAGTTTAAAGCTACTAAAGCTAGTGGGGTGAAAATAGTTGAAGATCGTTGTGTGGCCTCCCCTAGTGACGCAACGATCTCCCGCTGTTTTGAACTGGGATAGTTACCTGCGGCGCGTCGTCAGCGATTCGCTTGTCCAGCTCAAGGCGCGCCACGTCGCCAGGCTGACGTTATTTGTGTCGAACGTCTCTGGCGCCGCCAGCGTACTTTAGCTAGAGCATTGGTGGAGTGAAAACAATTGAAGACCGTTGCGTGGTCTTCCCAAGTGACGCAACGATCTCCCGCTGTTTTAACTGGGATAGTTACCTGCGGCGCGTCGTCCGTGATGAGGTTGTTAGGCTCAAGGCACGCCACGTTAACAGCTAGTGGCGCCGGCGCAGTTTAAAGCTAGCTTTATTGGGGTGAAATCAAAACAATTGGTCTTCTCAAGTGACGCAACGATCTCCTATCCTATAAATGGGAGATGTTTGTATGTTACCTGCGGCGCGTCATCGGCGATGGGGTGGTCGGGCGACAGGCGCGCCACGTGGACGGCCAGCGGCGCCGCGTGCGCGGGCAGCGGCGCGGGCTCGGGCGCGGGCACGGCCGCGGGCACCTCGCGCGGGACGCTCTCGCCCGCACCCATTGACGCCGTTGACTTTAAACACAGCCTGATAGACTACGTGGTAGTGTTCTAGCTACTTAATAGACCGACGTCCACATAAGAAGGTAGCTGGCAGTGAATCGATGAAGAGCGCAGGAGATCGTGTTTTGTTGCATCACTTGGGGAAGCTTGTGTGCTCTCATCCGCAATAGGCTTGTCTCGTCGACAGCCAGCGGCGCCGGCGCAGTTTAAAGCTGGCATTGGTGAGGTGAAATAGTGGAAGAACATTGCGTGGCAATGATCTCCCGCTGTTATAACTAGCATAGTTACTTGCGGCGCGTCATCAGCAATAGGGTTGTCCTCGTCTGGCGACAGGCGCGCCACGTACGCGGGCAGGTCAATGACCTCAAGAGTACAGCTGGCAGTGGGAGGCTGACGTCATTCGTGTCAAACGGTGGCGCCGGCGCATAGGTGGGGTAAAAACAATTGAAGACACTTCAACACTATCTGTCGCTGTCAAGTGGTATAAATTAATTACCTGTGGCGCGTTATTCGCAAGCAATAGGGTGGTTGTCAGGCGAAAGGCGCGTCTAGCGGCGCCGGCGCACTTTAAAGCTAGGTGGGGTGAAAACAGTTGAAGATCGTTGCGTGACCTCCCCGAGTGACGCAACGATCTCCTATCTATAGGCTGCGTCGTTGCGTCTGGGAGATATTTGTATAGTTACCTGCGGCGCGTCATCAGCGCTGCGGTTGTCGGGCGACAGGCGCGCCTTGTCGACGGCTAGCGGCGCCGGTGCACTTTAAAGCTAGGTGGGGTGAAAATAGTTGAAGATCGTTGTGTGGCCTCCCCTAGTGACGCAACGATCTCCCGCTGTTTTAACTGGGATAGTTACCTGCGGCGCGTCATTAGCGATGGGGTTATCGGGCGACAGGCGCGCCACGTCAACAGCGCCGGCGCCGGCGCAGTTTAAAGCTACTAAAGCTAGTGGGGTGAAAACAATTGAAGATCGTTGCGTGTCCTCCAAGTGACGCAACGATGTGTCGCTGCTATAAGCCGATGTATAGTTGTTGCTGTTGCCTGCGGCGCGTCATCGGCGATGGGGTTGTCCGGCTCAAGGCGCGCCACGTCGCCAGGCTGACGTCATTCGTGTCGAACGTCTCTGGCGCCGCCAGCGTACTTTAGCTAGCATTGGTGGGGTGAAAACAATTGAAGATCGTTGCGTGGCCTCCCCAAGTGATGCAACGATCTCCCGCTGTTTTGACTAATTATGTTGCTGTCGCGCTCGCACACTCACTGCGGGCGCCCGTCGCACAGTCGCGACAGCAACATAATTACGCGCGAGCGATAGGAATGGGTAGCTTGGGGTCATTGGACGGGATTCTACGTGCTCACGGACCAGGCTTTAGTCAGTTACCTGCGGCGCGTCATCGAGCGAGTAGCGCGCCATGTCAATGGCCAGCGGCGTCACGAGGATCAGTGACCTTTTGAGGTATAGCTGGCATCGGTGAGGTTAAAACAATTGAAGATAGTTGCGTGGCCTCTTTAAATGTCTCAAAGATATCCGCTAGTTACCTGCGGCGCGTCGTCAGCGATGGGGTGGTCGGGCGACAGGCGCGCCACGTGGACGGCCAGCGGCGCCGCGTGCGCGGGCAGCGGCGCGGGCTCGGGCGCGGGCACGGCCGCGGGCACCTCGCGCGGGACGCTCTCGCCCGCACCCATTGACGCCGTTAGTTTTACCACTGGAGGAAGACATTGGGTATTAAAATTTATTGGTCGATAAATCAAGGGAAAAGTGAGTAGCTTCTTATTTAAGCTTAGGTTGAATCAAATTACGATAGCCGAACAGTGAAGGGGTCGGACTGGCCGACTCATAATCCGGGGAACGCGGGTTCGGTCCCCGCCGCCGCTCGACTATTGTGGTGAGCTCACTCGTGCGTGATACAAGCATATTTAGCTTAGTACGAGGGACTAACGGGACTATTGTAATTTGTGTAATAACAAATTACTAATAAACTTAAAAAAAATATTTAGTGAATCTAGACTAGAAAAGAATGCCGAGGCCGTTTAGCTCGGAAAGTAACTCGCAGTTCCATCCCAAAGACTTTAGAGGACACCGCCAGGTTTTAGTGAGTAGGCCCTGTCCATCTGGCAGGGAAAGCCTGGTTCCCCCGGCCCAGTGGATGTGCAATTTCATACAATTCCTGACGAATAAAGAGACTAGAAATGTGTAGCTGCTGTTTTTGTCATTTTTAAGATTACCAAAATATATTGGCGCGGGCTTCACATCAAAATAAGTTGGGGTTAATACTTAGTACCATATTGTTACGTAATTCTAAGTTTGTGTCAGTTTGGGAAAATTACAAATATTTTCTGCTCTATTCCTTTCACAATAAAGTAGATTATCTTAATTTTTTTACTAAAGCTATATCTTACCAATGTCGCCGTTTTCATCGTACAGCGCAGTGAGCCGTGGCGGCACCGTGTCTAAGAAGTCTTGCAGCCGCGGCGAAGGGCCGGACTCCCCTCCAGGAAACACTAACTCGTTGTCGAATATTGTCATTAGTGTGCTGAAAGATATAGCCAGATTAATAAGTAATCAAAAAGCAATGGACTAGATTTTAATTAAGTTAAGTTAGCGCTAAACTGAGTAAAGTCCGGTCGCCAAGCTGATAGAATTTCGTCCAATTCGAAGGACGAAATTCTATGTGCTCGGCGACCGGAGTTTAGATGCGGTAGTGGAACGATGAGGGTGTTTTTGTTACGTTATACGCCAGTGAGACTTTAGATGAACTTCTGACGTGCTAGGTACAGTCAGTGTCAAATAGATAGTTTGTGACACCAAAAAAGTGTGTTAAAAAGTTTGTGACGACAAAGTGATCAAAAAGTTGGCAACATAAACTTGTGGAACAAAGATGTGTTGCGAACCCCTATAGATATAGCTTTGAGAAAAACGCCCGTATTCACAAACATTATTATGAGGTGAACGCACAGGATCACACACGAACCAATCACAGAGTTCTATTCAACGCTGTGCGTTCGATTTACTGCTTCACTTAAGCAAGCATCGTTTGTGAACACGGGTGTAAAAGTATCGTCTACTGACCTTCCAACAGTCTCCCGCACGTTTTGGTACGGGTGGTGCGTGAAGTTAGCCGCTTCTAATTTTGTGAGTAGTTCAGCTGACAGCGGCGCGGTTCGCCAGCATAGAGATCCTAACGCTCCCTGCGAATGACATGAAAAGGTCAATGATTGTTAAAGTTGATTCCTTTCAAGAAAAGTTTGGCGAGTATGACTAAAACAGAATTAAATGAGTGAATTTAATGAAGTGGGCGGGGCACATAGCTGACAGAGCTGATGGCCGCGGGGGCAGGAAAGTTCTCGAAGGGCGACCACGGGCCGGAAGACGTGGTGTGGCCTCCCACTAGGTGAACCGATGATCTGGTGAAGGTCGCAGGAGGTCCTTGGATTTGGATATCAATCTAAACACTGCCTTATAGTAGTTGCAATAGGGGCGATAATGCTGTACCTGCAGCGCGTAAAGGCGCGCGCATACTAGTAGGAAGCATAATGCGTCAGTCGGGTGGGTCCATGAACGCGCAGATGTCAGCATATCAAGCAAAACACTGCCTTAATGTGCTAGTAATAGGAGCGATAGTGTATCTGCAACGCATGAGGCGCGCGCACAAGAAAAAGGAGGCGTCGCGGTTCGGCTGCGCGGTCTATAAGCGCGTGGGTGTTGCCATATCAAGCAAAACACTGCCTTAATGTTGTCGCAATAAGGGCGATAATAGGCTAGTTGCCTAAAAAAATTTTTTTAGTCCGTAATGTTTAATATCAAAAAATATTGGACACGTATATTTTTATTTGTCAATCTAACAAATAATTACATAGTTATGGTGCGTTGAAGTTGCGCACGACGTCACAACGTGCGGCATTTTTAAGCAAGCGTTGACGTCACGGGCCTCTTCTTATGAACTTTGGGGCGCTTTATCTCTTTAAATTTTCATTAGTTTGAAAAAGTGAGAAATACGTGTAGAGTATTTTTTGATAAGTTAACTGACGGACTAATTAAAACTCTTGTTTTTTGACCCAGGCAACATCCCCATTCTATACCTGCAGCGCATAGAGGCGCGCGCAGACGAGGAAGGATGCGTCACTGTCGGGCTGCGCGTACGCATGCGGCGCTCATAGGTCTATGAGCGCGTGGATATCAATCTAAACACTGTCTTAAAGTAGTCGCAATAAGGACGATTATGCTGTACCTGAAGCGAATAGAGGCGCGCGCACACTAGTAGGAAGCATATGCATCATTGTCTATGAACGCGCAGATGTCGGCATATCGAGCTAAACACTCCTTTAATATGCTAGTGATAGGAGCGATAATTCTGTACCTGTAGTAATGCTGTACTGCCTGTGCTGCGCACACGAGGAGTAGCGTCGCGGTCGGGCAGCGCGTACGCATGCGGCGCTCATAGGTCGATGAGCTCGCGAATATCAAGCGAAACACTGCCTTAATGTAATCGCAATAGAGGCGATAATTCTATACCTGCAGAGCATAGAGGCGCGCGCACACGAGGAAGGATGCGTCACTGTCGGGCTGCGCATTCTCGTGCGCGGGCGGCGCGCACAGGCCCATGAGAGCCCGCAGCACGACCGCGCTCCGGTTCGGGTCCAGCTTCTCTACGCCCGTGGCCAGCGCCGTGCCCCAGTCTTCCATTGTCTCTGGTATTACTGTTGTGAGCCCTGTGAAAGAATTTATAGCTAGAGTGATTTGTGCAAGCACGCGTGGTTAGTCTAATAAGAAGTAGTAAACAATATGAAAAGGTTTCGTTACGTGCATCTGTAATAAATGTAATATTTCCTTATTCATCATAAAAGTCTCCATGACAAGAGGACAACCCTCTCTCAATTGGGGATTATCAGAGAGAAAAGGTTCCTCGAGAGGACCTACACTTCTCATGCTGGTCATATTCGCCTTTGACGTAGTCCGTACCTAATGTCGCTTTTTCGTCGCTCGCTCAGGCGTCAAATGTGCTAGCAGAAGCTCCCTAACTTATTTGAGACGCGCCCCCTTTCGACCATACAAACCCCCCCCCCCNTTATCGAATCGACTCGCTCATTCACTGCGGGCGCGCGTCGCACAGTCGTGACAGCAATATAATTACGCGCGAGCGATAAGGATGGGTAGCTTGGGGTCATTGGACAAAATTCTACGTGCTCATGGACCAGGCTCTACTCACCAGTGGTAATAATCTCAACGACCGCCTGGTTCAGAGCCTGCGCGCTCTCGCGAGCCCAGTAACGCGGGGCCCGCAGCGCGGCCGCCGCCACCTCGGCCGCGAAGCGCTGCGGCGCCTCCTGCGTGTCGGCCGCGCAACGGGTCGCACGCGCCTCTTTATTATGGCCGTTACATACAAGCGGATTGGCAGTGCTTGTTCCCGAATATTCATGTACACACGACCACACTGTTAACTATCCATTTCCGTTTTTGCTCTCGCTCTCATCAAATGGTGTTTTTTTGCGATAGAACGAGACGACATGACAGGCAATGGATAGTTAACACTGTTGCCGATGGTACAGTACATTTTGAAGTCCGGTTGTGCCGATTAGGCCAGCTCGTTTATGTATGTAGCAACCTTCAAAGAGTGCATTTATTAAAGAACTGTCATGGTGTCATATCACTCAGAGTGGTCCGTACCTAATGTCACTTTTTTGACGCTCGCTCAGGCGTCAAATGTGCTCAGCGGTCGCAGGTTTTTTATACTTAAGTACACAGATGGCCCGCGCCCCCCTATAAAGGTGTTTGCGCCTCCCTTGGGGGGCGCGCCCCCCACTTAGGGAACCAATGCTAGTGCTTGAAGGTAATAATGAAATTGCAACTTACCTCAAAATACTGGGTTTCTCGCTCAACGTTGCCCTAAGCAAAGCAGGCCAGATTACATAGGTACGACCAAATTAAAACACTTTTTCTACTCACCAGTGGTAATAATCTCAACGACGGCCTGGTTCAGAGCCTGTGCGCTCTCGCGAGCCCAGTAGCGCGGGGCCCGCAGCGCGGCCGCCGCCACCTCGGCCGCGAAGCGCTGCGGCGCCTCCTGCGTGTCGGCCGCGCATCGAAGCGCGTGCGTCACGTACTTCTTGGTGATTTCCCAGCCGAATTGCGCGAACATCATCTGTGAATAAGTATCATGATGGCTTATGTGTTACTCGTGTATGATATTTTATAAGACGACTCGACTCGAACGGTAGATTAAAATTAAAATTTTCACTTTTACTACGCTCTGACACAAGTGACTAACTAAGTTTTTAATAGCTCTGTACCTAATTTTTGAAATCTGAATGAATCAAAACTTGTGTTTTATTTATTTATTTATTTTATGGAAAACAAACAGCATATAATATGTATTATTAATAGATGAGGCGGTTAAGATAAAAAATGCCTTACATAGTTTTCACAAATATCATATCAAGATACAATCCAAAACAAATTATTTAGCATGCAGTATAACTACAATATATGAAAAAAGTTAAAACAATACAGAAAATACCTACTAAAGCCATACCAAAATAGCAGAATATTAAGCAGTAAACAGATACTTCAACTTTTTACCGGGTGAGTGCTAAGTAGTGTCGCCAAAGAATTCTTTATTACTTTTATTTTTGAAGTAGTTTGGTCTCACAATATGAAAAAGGTCAAAATTTTCAGAATAATTGCTGTTAAAAGTTTTAAAAACTCTGTTAAAGAAGGAATTGCGTCCATAATTAGTGGTACATGCATCAACGTGAAGTCTGAGATAATTTCTCCTGACATTGGCACGAGTCGGCACCTGTAACTTGATTCGCGAAAGAAGCTCACTGCAGTCTATTTTACCATTAATTAAGTTATGGAGGAAGGTAAGATCAGCGACTTCTCTTCGCAGTTTTAATGGAAGTAGATTATGATGTTTACAGTCAGCCTCGTAAGTCGTGCCCATTATCCGGTGTTTGCAGTTTAAAAATCTAAGTAACATTTTCTGAATTTTTTGAAAATATTATAAGTAATTATACTCGTAGGGCACAATTACAATTTTGAATTTACGATGCCCGTTTAAGGGTAATGAAAATACGTGCAAGCAACAGTAAACACAAATAAACTTGAAAAATATATGAGTACCTATATGTTTTTATTATTAAAACAATTTTGAAGCCATTGAAAGAGAAAAACGATACTTACTCTGAACATAGAGAACCGTATCCCGCTAAACTTATCCCGTCCCTTCTTTTCTTCAATCGTAAGAAACGCCACGAGGCGGTCGATATTCGCGTCGTCCGAGAAAAACTCGTACAAGTACCGCTCCCCCTCTTCCATTTCCTCGGGGGTGAGATCGAAGGAGAACACTTGGTCTTTCGCGGGAGCCACTACCTGCAGGATTAACGGTAAGTTAAGGGGGGTTAGGCGGTTAGCGAAAATTTAGATTTCGTGACGTTTCCGCACATAGATATGGATAGGATAGATACCGCATGTCAAATAAATAAAATGAAAAGTATGAAAACGAGCGAGCCATTTTTTAACGTCATCCATATCTGTGTCCATCAACGAGCTCAAAACTAAACATCGTAAGCGCCACTCAGTGGTGGACTAAGCACGTCACAGGCCCGGGCGACAAAGCTAAATGAGTCCCCCCAGCTTTAAAAACATTGGCATCTTTTTCAGGGCCCCTAATATGTCACGCGATTAGTTAGTATGATAGCTCATGAGTATCAACTATCACCTTGAAATCAGTAGCCCAACAATCATGGGGTAAATAGCGTCAGGTACAGTTCAATTTGTGGACAAGCGCAGGCGCAGGGCGCGTCTTCGTGGATGACACGATCTATAAATTCGGAAGTAAATATTCTAATGACATACCTCCAACGTTTTAGGCCAAGCGTAGAAGCCGTACCCCGTAGACCTCAACCACGGCTTGTCCCATTCCTCGTCAGTCGTCGGTTGCCTGTCCTCCGACCAGATCGCCCACTCTATATCTTTTCTATATCCTGTACAAAATAATTTTTCATAACATAACAAATGTAAAACTCATATAAGGGATAGAGAGAGAGAGAGAGAGAGAGAGAGAGAGACCAAGAGATGAAATGAAAGAGTCATTTGGATGAAATGTAAATTATTTAGTTTAAGCGACCCGACCAAGTTTCAATCTATGTAGCAGTCGTTCTAAAATCATTATTTTGATCTCTATCCTTATAAGATTTCTTGGTGATACCGGCCAAAATGCCTATTTTCGCAACATTTTCTAACTACATATCGTCGACTTAGAGAGAGTCGCCTCGGGAATGAATTTTATTCATGCATTTTATGCATTACGATCAATTTTACAGAATACAGTTCTGGATATAAAAGCGGGTGAATATTTCTTTATCACTTAAGAGGTTTTCACTCGAAGGCGTCGATATGCTCTTAAAATAGCAGTAAGCTAGAGACCCATAGCTTATTTTTTTTGTGTTTAACATTGTATGTAATGTTGATATCCCAAAAAATAATTACATAAAAAACTCTCTCTCTTACTTCCTCTCGTGTTCTACTGGTGAAAAATCGGTATCCTTCCGTTTGGCCAAATTACTTTTCGCCAAATTTCACTTCGCAAACAACTTATCGCCAAAGTTTCATTTCCCAAATGAACTTTTAGCAACTGTACTTTTCGCAACTAATTCATTTGGTCAAATTATCATTTGGCAAAATTTTACTTGGCAAATGTTTATATAGCAAATGTTTTATTTTGCCAAATATTATATCCCAAATAATTTGTTTGGTCAAATTGACACTTCACATACTTACCCACCGCTACCCACAAATCAAAGCATAAGGCAGATGATCATGGTTTTCACAAGAATTTTATGTAAAACAAAGAGATTGCAGAAAATAGTATGGTTGCAGAAAGTAGGTATCGCAGAAAATAGTAGGTTAGGTTAGGTTAGAACAGTGACCCTTAACGCGCGAAGGCGAGCGAAGCGTGCCGCGGCAGCGGCCGCCGAGCGCTAGAATCACCTCTATTGTTTAATGAATCATTTGGAAATTTCGATAAAAAGAATGAAATATGAAAATTAATATAGAACAAATTTTATATTATCTACCCACTAAACAAAATAATAACCACAAGCTAATTTGTAGTCCATTCTATGCGACAATCAAATTATTTTGTAAATAGTTTATCGTGAAATATTTTTGCCAAATGAAACATTTGGCAAAACATACTTTGCCAAACAATAATTTGCTAAACAATAATATGCCAAAAACGACATTTGCGAATTAAAAGTTTGCAATAAGTTGTTTTGCCAAATGAGAATTTGCCAAATGAAAATTTGCGAAACGTTGTTTGCGATGTGATAATTTGGGAAACGTTTTTTGGCCAAACATTAGTAATCCGAAAAATCAGATCAATATAAATCAGATGTTATAAGAATCTTGTAAAATGCCTACAAAAAATATAAAATAATCACCTGGCACATGTTTATCCGGCTTCGGAACGCCAGCCACCTCGTACGGGTCAACGTACAGCTTCTTTAACGGGCGCTTCCGTTGTTTCAGCACGTAATGTGTCAGTTTCTGCGCGCTGCGTCGCACTGCTATGTCGTCGTGTAGCAGCGACTTGACGATCAGCTTGACGGCGCGCGGAGTGTACGGCGTTTGTACGGAGGGGCAGAAGGTAAGCATTTGCATTGCCAGTTCTAAGCGACGCCATTGGCTGTGGGAATAACAATTTATATATTTAAAAAAAATCCCTAACCCGTCTGGCCAGCGTGGGAAGTGTGGGCCAAATCCTAATAGAGGGTATTTTGATATTAGATCAGTTTTAAGTATCATAAAATTATAAAGTGTTATCGCGAACTGCTTTTAGATTTTTCGGTTGTTGGCAATAGGTATCTAAATCTATAGTTACGTCAACAATGTTAATTCCGCTTAAATATGTCTACTGTGCCATAGCCCGCACAAAACATGTTTGGCACTGCACTGTAACCACTCATGGATGTTTTTATTTTGAACTACCCGAATTATTTTTTATTATGTTACTTGCTGCGATAGCCGTAAGATTTAAAATGTATTTGAATATTGTATTATCTCATAAGTGATTTTATGTAAATCTTTGAGAATAATAAAAATCTTTAACTGTATATCTTTAGACTTCACACGTAAGATCTGCAATACTCACATATTAGGAGTCTCGGCGACGTTCACTAATTCATCTACCAAGGCCTTATACGTGGCCTCCGTCTTATCCGAAGTGGCCAGCTCCCTCTCGACAGCCGTGCTCAGCTGCTCAGCGAAGACAGCGTCAGTCTTCATGAGCTCCTTCACGAAGTAGGCAGCGGCGTCCAACGCTCCCTCCGAGATTGTCAGCCGAGTGTTCACGGTTGGGAAGTGGCGGTGGATTGAATCGCTGAACGCTTGCTCCAGCCTGCAAAAAGTAATACATACTTTATTTATCACTACATAGTATAAAACAAAGTCGTTTTCCGCTTTCTGTCCCTATGAATGATTTTGATGCATTTTTATTAAATAGATAGAGTAACTCAAGAGGATTATAAGTATAAAACATGCATATTATAGAAAAGAAAAGTCGGGAAATTCCATTGCCGCGCGAAGCCGGGGCGGGCCGCTAGTTTTCAATATTCCTAAGTTATAAACTAACTGTTTCGTTATACGATTTGTCTGTCACAGGACGATAAAGGTATGTTTTACAATAGGGTATGTTTATCAAAAACCAAGCCAAATAGTTTTAAGTAAAGAAACTTTTTATTGTAACTATTTAAACATTTATTGTAGCTTTTTGGACAAGCTATAGTTATAACAGCGGTTTTACAACTCACAGAAGTCCGTGATCTCCGAGGGAAACACTTTTTATCCCGCCAGCTACCGCAGTCCGTAAGACGTTTTATAGCTCTTACGTCATAGATACGTGCTTGTGCTTGAAGACAACAATGAACTTGCAACTAACCTCAAAATACTGGGTATCTCGCTCAAGGGTGCTCTCAATATGGCAGGCCATAGTGTTTTGACGACCTCCCAATCTTGCTTAGCAATGAGGGGCCCGGCTCGTGGTCCCAGCATGATGTAAAGAGCGCCCTTGTGCTTGTTGTGCCATTCCTCCCCCTCCCCGCCCGTAGCAACTCCACTTATATTGCTAGCGCTTGAAGGTAATGAACTTGCAACTAACCTCAAAATACTGGGTTTCTCGCTCAATGGTGCTCTCAAAATAGCAGGCCATAGTGTCTTGACGACCTCCCAGTCTTGCTTAGCAATGAGGGGCCCGGCTCTTGGTCCCAGCATGATGTAGAGGGCGCCCTTATGTTTGTTGTGCCATTCCTCCCCCTCCCCGCCCGTAGCGAGTAACTCCGCCATCTTGGGAATCAGGGCCCGGTAGGAGTATGGGTAGTGGCTCAGCATCCAATAGAGACGGATTTGTGCCAGTATACGGACCTGCATGAAAATAAGTCTGTTAATTCCATCACTTCGGAAAATCAATTATTATCATTGCTGAAGAGGTAATTTTTGTATTACAAACATGGTCGATCTATGATTATATTGGTATATGGTTGTATTATCATTCTTTCTGTCCGGTCGTCGAGCAGATAGATTTCGTCCAATGACCCCAAGCTACCCATTCTTATCGCACGCGCTCGCGCAAAAATATTGCTTTCGCGACTGTGCGACGGGCAGCCGCGGTGAGTGTGCGAGCGCGACAGCAAAATAATTGCGACAACTGTCTTCCTTCGTCGTGTCCTTGACTCGTCCCATAGATTGACTGCTTCTGTCGTATGAGTAGTCTGGCCACCCTTGCACGTCTTATAAAGATTTCACCTTTGCGATGACTTACCGAGCTATAAGTGTTGATGGACAGCTCANGCGTGTGCTCACAGGCGCGTGGCGGCCCCGACTGATTTGCAACTTGAAGTTGTCGCGCGCTGTAGGTAATTATCTCGGCCGGCATAGGCGAGTGACGGAGGCCTGGTGTTACCTTCACTTAGTAGTCTATACAGGGTGTTTCTTGTAAGGTGTCAAGCCGAAGGCAGGTGATAGGTGAGGACTAGACCTATCGATTTCACCCCCATGTATGTTCTACGATTTTTCGTAGTTTAGAAGTAATCGTTAATTTTGTGATTTTTTAAAATTTTATGACCTAGTAGGCTTTAATTTTTTTTATCTTTTTTTTGGGTTGACTTTTCTCAGTGTTCCGGCTCATAATTCACCTACACACAGTTTGGTTGTGGTGCTTCATAAAGAGACAATTGCCGTCAAGTTTTTTGTAGGAGTTAGATGTGTCAGTTTGGTTTAATAAAATGAAATGTCAAAACTTCACTTACCTTTTGGTCGTCTACAAGACAACATGTAAATCTAAATTGCATTATAATCAGAGTTCAAAAAGTCATCAAGAGTTTTATTTGGCTCCATTGTGTCAACGACAAGACATAAATTGGTGGCCCATGAGGGGAACAAAATCGCAGAACAAAATTGCAGAAGATACAAAACCGTTCAACAAATTCGAAATTCAAGACCAACGGAAGGACGAGCAAATTCCCAAAAATTCGAGCAGCTGAGGAAAGCGGAGCAGTAAGGCAGCCAAAGCATTACGCCGTCTCATCGTGCCATCGGATTTATGAGATAAGTGCCCAGTCCTTTACCAAATTCCTAAAACCAAGTCTATACCTAAAACGTAACCTAAGCTCATTCCCGTACTATTGGATCGTTTTCACTTGTTGCAATCAAATTATCCAAGTTTTACGATAATTATAAGTGGATATTTGTAGTTATTTAGGTAAAATATTGCGAAATATCGTAATAATTCTAGGGGCAAGGTACATCCCACCTACCCACTTCAAAAAATTGTGCATAATTATCGTAGCAAAATTCATTAACTTTTATATAAATCTATATTCATTCAATTATTTAACTCGGAATTATTATTTATTTGTGATAACCGAGTTTGGTGGCCCATTGAAATTAAAATTAAACTTTTACATAAAATTTAAACTCAAGTTTTGTTACACGTAGGTCATAGTTGTTTGCCGAATATTTCAGGCTCATCGAAATTATCAAGTGCAGGAGCACTGAGCGTGCCTAAGCTGTGCGCCGTGCTGTGCATTAGCGGCGTCGACGCCGGTTTCCCGAGTCTACGCGCAAACACCGAGGAGGAGCGTGAGCTAAATTAATTATTTGTTCCTTCTTGACTATTTGCTGATTTATATTCAGTCGCCCTTTGTAAATTTCTTGTTTGTGCTGTATTTATTCCTATAAATTACAATGGAATCTGAAAGATCGGGTAGGTCTAATTTTGAAAAGGCTGACGAGAAAAGAGTTAGAGAATTATGTATAAAGCGAAGTTCAGTAAAAGGTCAAATCACTAAATTCAAAAATTTTTTGTCGAATATAAGTCAGCAAGAAGAATTGGCGAACCTTGAGTTAGCCGAGTTGACTTTGAAGCTCGGCAAGTTTGAGGCTTTGTCCATGAAGTTCGATGAGTTGCAAAGTCAGATTGAAGTTTTTAACCCTGATAATTTAGAAGGGGAGTTAAACGAGAGGGAAAATATTGAACATGATTTCGTGGCAAACATAGCATTGGCAAAAAATATAATAGAACGTCAAAATAAATCACAGCAAAGACGCGAATCATTTTTTGACGCGGATGCTCACTGTTCTATAGAAAGTAACGGTAATATTAATAGCAATACAATGGGATTTAAATTGCCGCAAATACAAATTTCTAAGTTCGATGGAACTTATTTCAGATGGCTTGAGTTTCATGATACGTTCGAGAGCTTGATACATAATAATTCCCACATTTCTCCTGTCCACAAGTTTCATTATCTTGTCTCATATCTGGAAGGAGAAGCTGCTCGAATAATATCTAATTTAGAGATATCAGCATCTAATTATAAAGAAGCGTGGCAATTGTTGTGTAATCGTTACAATAATAAAAGATTGTTAACTAATCATCATTTAAACTCATTGTTTAGTATTCAGCCTTTAAATCGCGAATCTGAAAAGTCACTTAGGTTCTTAGTTGATCACGTGACGAAAAACTTGCGTGCATTATCCAGCTTGGGACAGCCTACGGACAAGTGGGATATGTTACTAATATTTATGTTGTCATCCAAATTAGACAGTCACACACTCACTAAGTGGGAAGAATATCGCAACGTTTTAGACGATATACCTACTTTAAACCAATTTTATAAGTTTTTAACGGACCGTGCTGACGTGCTCGAATCTATACATAGGAGTAAATATGACAACAATAACTATAATTCAGCTAAAGGTGCGTCATCAGCGACGGCACCCGCGCGTAATTATGCAGCGACGAGCAATCATAATAATTACAACAATAATAATAGCCGATCTACTAAGTCGTTCGCTGCACTGAATACGCAACGGTCAGGAACATTTTTATGTATTATTTGTGGTGACAACCATAGAATTTATGATTGTGCTATGTTTAAATCAAAAGGCATAGATGAGCGATTGAATTATGTTAAGAAATATAAGCTTTGCGCCAATTGTTTGCGTCAAGGTCACCCGTTGAGCGAGTGCCGTATGGGGCCTTGCCGAGAATGCAACGAACGGCATAATAGTTTGTTACATAGGCCAAGAGCCATGGTGCATGATTCTAAATTAGACACTTCGTCTAATGACACTATTGTTAATTTTTCGAAACTCAAACAAGAGCAAGTGCTTTTATCAACTGCCATAATTGAAATATCCAATCCAAATACACACAAAACAACTCGAGCTCGTGCATTATTGGATTGCGGAAGTCAATCGTCATTTATGACTAAATCATTAAAAAACAAATTAGGTCTAAATTCAAATCAAATAAATGACATAAACGTAATTGGCGTAGGTAATAATTCATGCTGTAAGATCGAAGAAACATGCACCGCTAACATAAGTTCATTAAATAAAAACGAATTTAATATTGATTTGCAATTTTTTATCTTAAATGAATTAACTAGCAAAATACCTTCAATTCAAATTGATATTAACTCACTAAATATTCCAAAAAATATAACCTTGGCGGATCCCACTTTCTATCAGCCCTCTAAGATAGATATTTTAATTGGTGCTGACATATTTTGGGACATAATAGGAAATGAACAGCTGTCATTAGGCCTCGGTTACCCTAAACTTCGTAGTTCAAAATTCGGATGGCTAGTTTCTGGTCCATTCAACCCAAATTCAAATTTTATATCAAAAAATTCGATACAATGTAATTTTATGCAAAAAGAACAAAATAACTCTGATAACGAAATAGACAAAATGCTTCCAATTTTCTGGAATCTAGAAGAAATTCCAAATAGCAAAAATATATTATGCGAAAGTGATAATTTTTGTGAAAATCATTTCATGCAAAATACTGTAAGGTTAGATAGTGGTAGATTTCGAGTAAAATTACCCTTGAAG